AATTCCATTTATTGTTATTCATGCAACTTAAAAAATTCTCTAATTTCTGAACAGGTGTTATACCTTTATTTGTGCTGTTACCTCTGTTTAGATTTTCCCCTGCCCCATCTTCCTCTCTTCTCTTCAGCGTGCCAAATATGGCTGCTTAAATTGAGGTTCCTTTTATGGAATCTTTCCATACTTCTCAAGGAATACATCTCATAGTTTTCTTTGCCTATTTGTGTTTTGTATGGAGTTAAAAACTTAAAGTATATACTTAATGCATTCAAAAGAATAAATGCAGTATATGTTATACCATTTGTAATAACAAGACATGTGTGAGTCCACCAACTAACAGAAATTTTTTTCTTCTACCTGTGTGCTTCTCTCCATACTCCTGAAGGAAATGTTACTTTCTTTAAAAAAGTTCATCTTATTTATATGTATCCTTAAACAGTTATTGTTTAATTTTCTTGTGTTTGGGTTTAATAATAGATTCATGTTGTATATTGTGTATCTTAACTTTTTTTTTAATTGTAGCTTTTTAAAAAAACATCTATTTATGTGTTCGAGAACTGGGGTACAAGCCAGAGGTGCAGGAGGGTGAGAGGATTCACCAGAGATAGAGTGGGGAGCAGAACAGGCAGACAGACCGAAAACACTGCTGAGGGGAGCAGTGGGTGAGACGGGAGAGGTCTGCCGTGCCATGTGGGTTGCTCCCTGGGCGGCTGGAGATTGAACTCATGCTGCAGCAGCTGCATATTGCTTCACAGTGCTGTGCTTTAACCCCTTGCACCACCAGGGAGGCCCAATTGTAGCTTGTTTTTTTAACTCAGCATTGTTTCTAAGATTTATCTGTATTATATGTATAGTTCATTTTCATGAGTGTATAGTATTTTAATTATATATAAGACATTTATTTCCATTTGTGTGAAATGGATTTGGAATTTTTTCCCCTTTATACTGTGTGATAGCAATCATTTTCAGTTTCTTTCTACATGATTAATTAGTTTCCTTATTTGAGTAATGCATTTCTTTTCATTGTGCTATCACTGTGAGATACTGTGTTTCCTTATGTGCATGAGTTTGTTTTTGAGTTTTCTCTCCTTTTTTTTTTTTAAATAAAAGATTATTTATGCATACAAGAACCAGGGTGTAGGCCAGAGATGAGGGGGTTGAGAGATTCACCAGAGACAGAGTGGGGAGCAGAACAGGCAGATCTGCTGAAATGCAATGCTGAGAGGAGCAGCGGGCAAGACAGCAGCAGGCGTATGGGTTATCTCCCTGGCCCGTGAGTCAAACTCTTGCTGCAGTGGCTGGAGATAGCTTGATTGTGCTGAATCCTTACCCCTTGCGCCACCAGAGAAGTTCCAATTTTCTCTTCTTTTGAATTGATCCATTTAGCCCTATGTAAGATCTGTCTTTCTTACTCTAGATTTATAATAAATCTCAAAAGGTAACTTACCCCTACCTCTGACCATCTGTTTTTTCTTACCTTCTCTTGGTCGTTCTTTCATATGTATTTTGAAACCACAAAAGTTCCCTTTGGGGGTTTTATTGGGAGGCAATGAAACTTTGATCATTTGGGAAAATTTGGCATTAATATTCCATAGAAGAACAGAAGTGGGAGAACAAAACTTGTGACTGGGGAAGGGGGCTGTGTTGTACCTGGCTTTGAAGACCACATGATTTTTTCCCCCCAAGGTTAATTTGTTGAACTCCCATTTCACCATTTCCTTATTTTTTCTTTTATTTATAACTGGATGTGCAGAGAATTTCTTCAGGGTTTTATTCAGAAGGCAAATTATATATCTGATGTTACTCATAGCCATTAGTCTGTCTTACAATTCTTGATATTATTTGTAAATATTGTTTATATCACAGCATGTTAACTCTAGATTATGGCTAAATTCAGAGGCCTATTTGCTTTGTACTATACTACTGGAACTGTTTTTTTTTTTTTTTTTTAAAGATTTATTTATTTATGCATACAACAGTTGGGGTACAGACCAGAGGTGCAGGGTGGTGAGAGGATTCACCGAAGACAGAGTGGGGAACAGACAGCAGGCAGATAAACTGAGATACAGTGCAGAGGGGAGCAGCGGGTGAGTCAGGAGAGGTCTGCTGCGCCACGTGGGTTGCTCCGTGGCCCGCTGCGGATTGCTTCATGGTGCTGTGCTTAACCCCATGTGCCACCAGGGAGGCCCCATCATCATTTTTTAAGTAAACCTTGTGTATATTTAAATTGTACATCATGATTTCTTTTATACTTTGTAAAATGAGTATTACTAACAGCTAATTAATATATCTTATCACAGTCACCTTACTTATTTGAGTGATTAGAGCACCTGAAATCTATTCAGTAAATTTCCAGTGATTAATAGAGTATGATTAACTATTGCCATAATGCTGTGCCCTGGATCATTAGACTTATTCATTCCTACAAAACTGCAACTTTGTACCCTCTTTTCAAGGCCTGTGGTAGTCAGCTTCTACTCTCCTTTTTATGTGTTCAGTGTTCTTAGATTCTACATTTAACTGCAATCAGTTTTTTCCTCCCTCCCTGTGTCTGTCTTACTTCACTTAGTATAATGTCCTCCAGGTTTAACATTCATATTTCTAGTGTGCTATATAACATATATGTGTTTTCATATTAATATTTTAGAAATACTTTATCATTGTTGCAGAATTATGATTGGATAGTATGATAAATACAGGTGTGGTTAAATTTTTAGTACTTTTTGGTATTAAGTAATAGAAATTCTAATATCTCAAGCCCCATTTTATATAAGCAACATGGAATCTTAGTGAATTAAAGAGCTTGTATAAAATATTATAGCTAGCAGGTGAAAGAACTTGTAGTCAAACCAAGGTCTTCTGATTTCATGTTTGTGTGCTTTTTTTTTTTAAACCACTTGTTTTCAGCTGTGCTTCATGGGTCTAGACTTTGGTCACCTAGATCTTCTAATTCCTCTCAACTTGGGTAACTTAAATTTTATTTCTATTATGTTTGAATTGAAAACTAATTTTCTTTTTATCAAATTTCTTCTTTTGTTATCTAAAGGTAAGGAAAAAAGCATGAGAGCAAGGAAATTCAAGTAGGAGAAGGAATTAATCTCCCTGAAAAAGCTTATTTGTCTTGGTGAACATATGCATGCTGTTAGACAAATGTTCCAAGCTTGTTCCCCCTCCTCCTCCCTACTTTATTCACCCTGCCATATGGAGATTTGTGCGTTGCTGGGTCGGTTGTGATTTGGACTTTTGTGATTCTGAATTGGGAGATTGGGGGTAGACTTAGAGGAAAAATTTTCTTGTAACTTGAACAGTGTCCTGAATAATTTTGTGTTGTGTAAGGGAAGTAATAATGGTAATAAAAAGTGATTTTAAGGAGTTGTGGACACCATGATGTTTGTGAAAAACATGGAGAGAACTTGAGCCATTTTGAATTTGTTTTTTCCATGAAGACTGGGAACTGTGTGGGGTATTCTTTTAATAGCATTTAAGCAGGTGAGGTACCTTCAGATTTTTTCATTTTTTTTTCCTCAACAAAAAGTTATTTTTTTGGTAAGGATCACTAGTTACACCATGGAAAACAGATTAGAAAGGGACTAAATTGGATGTAAATGGCCAATTGGAAGATTATACTATAGCCAATGTGCGATATGATAATAATAATAGATTGACTAGGATTAAAGTATTGGAAACAAATTTTAGGTATTTAAAGGTAAACATGGTAAGATTTAGTAATGTTGAATATGAAGTAAGTACTAGATGCCAGGAAACTGAAATAAAGACATTGAAATAGTGTTGAGTAGACTTATGGTTGATATTGGACATATTAATTTTGATTTATCATTGAAACATTTGAGAGGGGCATTGGTTTTATGTATAATTCTGCAGCTCACAGAAGAGCTCTAGAGACAGAAAAAGCAAATAATCCTTATAATTACTGAGGGAGTAGGCAGTCAGAGATGTGAATTGTTTCACTATAAAAACATGTCTGCTTTGTTTCAGGAACTGTGAAAAGTCTGAGGCTGCCCTACATGTGAGCCAGCAGTTTGCCATGGTTTTGTAGTTTATGGTAGAAGGTACAAGTCTTCTGGGTCAGAGACATGTGACTGACTTGGGTGACCTCACGGGTCAGTCATGTCATTGATACCCTCAGCTAACACCAAAGGCAGATTTTGAACTACCTTTTTCTTATTGTATTACTCCCACTTTAGGGATTACTGCCTTGGAGTTCACATTATTAACAAGTTACCTAGCCTTCTTCAAGGGTCCCCTCCCCTGAGTAATCAAGACCAGTCTTTGGAGAGATCACATTTGTCTATGGGCTGTGTGATCTACTGGTAGTGCTTGTTTAAACATTTGAAGATAGATCCTATATTTTTATCTATCTATGATGATACATGTGTTGACATGATGGACCGATATGATGGACCTGGAGGCAGTGATGGCAGTCTGGGCAATGTAGGCTTGATCAGCAACATGCAACATTCAGTTCTTTCTGCCTTGAATAACTTTCTTATTTGCTTCTCTTTTCATCCTTTAAAAATCTGCTTATTCAGTAAGGCCTTTAACTGAACCATTCTCAACCTTAAGTATCTTTCTCTGGTCATCTTTAATTTCAAATAAACTGTGCAAGTGTCACAGCAGCATTTACCTTGTGTTGAAATTATTGATTTTTTTTTCTGGTTTGCATCCTTGCTATATAAAGTATAAGCTTTATTTAGAGCAGAACCAATTTTTCCCTTTGCTTACAGACCAACTCTTTAAGGAAGAAAATTGCATTCCTGAAAATTGTTTTGGAATCAAGTTCATTGCATTAGTTGGTGTTTTTCATCACTTTCAGGAATTTCCAGTTTTGAGTCTCAAGAACGTTACTATGCTTAGTTTTGAGGGGGATGATACAATATTCACTGGAAAATAGGCGATATAGTTCTATTGCCCAATTTATATATGGCCATCACATTTATTATGCCAAATAATGATTTTTTGCTTTGTTCAAATTTCAAATTTAGACTGTGGATATTCATAAAGAGAAAGTGGCTCGAAGAGAGATTGGTATATTGACAACAAATAAGAATACATCCAGAACTCACAAAATAATAGCACCTGCAAATATGGAGCGCCCTGTAAGGTATATTCGGAAACCTATTGACTATACAGTTCTGGATGATGTGGGCCATGGTGTCAAGGTAAGCATTTTTATATGACAGTAACTTGAAATAATTTGCATGTCTGATAAACATTTGGATAGTAAATATTGCAGTAAAAATAATTTTCTTAAAGAATTAGTAGGTTCATTTAGCCAAATAGCATTTTAATTTCCATAGAATATTTACTTAATATTAGTTATGTATTATACTAAGACTGTATACTGAGTAGTATGGCAGAATTTTACCTGTAGAATAGGCTATAATCAATAAGATAATAAAAATGGAGACAAAGGATGTTCAAAAAAATTGAAATGGCTTTTCATTAATTAATCCATTTGAATCCTAAACTAGTATTATAAATTTGTGTTGTGAACACCATGACTTTCTTTTACTACTGATTTAATCCTTAAAAATAAAAAATTGAGATGTTTTCCAGAATTAGAATGGAAAATGATTTATAAATACTTCTGTCCTTTTATTCTCAAGTATGTGTATTTAGTAGTGTTCTTATATGGATATAATTCCAGGAATTCATGACAAATGAAAAAATTATATGTCATTTTGTTCTATGCATATATACTCTATCTCCACAAACAGACTTTTAAGAAAGAGATTATTTATTGCCCATGTCCACTTCTTAGCATGGCAGAATTAGCTCCTCTAAAAGGATACCTTTAGCCTGTCAAGTTTTTAGGTATTTTTTTTAAAGATTTATTTATTTATGCATACAAGAACTGGGGTACAGGCCAGAGGTGTGGGGGGTGAGAGGATTCACCAGAGACAGAGTGGGGAACAGAACAGGCAGATTTACTGAAATACACTGCTGAGGGGAGCAGCGGGTGAGTCAGGAGAGGTCTGCTGTGCCATGTGGGTAGCTCCCTGGCCGGGGATGGAACTTGTGCTGCAGTGGCTGCAGATAGCTTCATAGGTTGCATCTTAACCCCTTGTGCCACCAGGGAGGCTCCAAGCTTTTAGGTATTAGTGGGTCACTTTGCAAGCATTTGAATTACCTGAATTCTTTAGCTATTTCTGCTCAGGATGAACTTTGGTAGTCCCGTTCCTAGAGGACCATTATTTGCCTTTGTTTGTGGTCTTCCAAATATTTACATTAATTTTTAGGAGTTAGCTAGAATCTTAAAGCCATTTCTACCTGATTGATCTTATAGACACTACTGCTAGGTCTCTTGCATTCTGAATTTTCTGGGGTTCCTGATTAATCCCTATTAACAATGTTGCCCTTTATTTTACTCCTTGACACTATTGAAAATCTTTACTACCATACTTCAAAGTATGATGTGTGTATGTGTGGGCGTGTGTGTCTATAAATTTAAAAAATTGTATCCAAATATATCAGTAGTTCTCCTGATAGCTGCAAGCTTTATGTTAAGTCTTTTACATCCCAAGATCGATACTCCATCATATGTTCTTTTTTGTTTTGTTTTGTTTTAAAGATTTATTTATTTATTTATACAAGCACTGGGTACAGTCAGAAGCGCAGGAGGGTGAGAGAATTCACCAGAGCCAGAGCAAGGAGCAGAGCAGGCAGAGGAACCGAATTACACTGCTGAGGGGAGCAGCGGGCAGCAGGAGAGGTCTGCGCGCCATGCGGGACCCTCCTCTGATGGCCTGGGAGCAGCCGGGGATCGAACCGGTGCTGCAGAGGCTGCGGGCAGCTTCGCAACCCAGTGCTCAACCGCTGTGCCACCAGGGAGGCCCCATATGTTCTTTTTTATTTTGATTAAGTTTTACTGTTATATATTTGTATTTCATTTAAATGATACTATATGATAATGCATTTTATGCTATAAATAGATGGTACATATAAATTTTGGTGGAATTAAAAATCTGGGCAAACATCTTTCCCTTTTTTTAATTATTTAGTAGAAGAACTTGAGTGTTTTGGGAACATATAACTGGAAGAACTTTATAGGTTGCTATTAGTTACTATTTTGACCTATAAAATGAGATTATTTCTTTTCAACACTCCTCATCCCCAACACATCAAAACTCCTGTATACATAAATACAATTAATAGAGGAGATTAGAAGTTATACACTTGCAGAGTTCAACTAGAATTTTCATTCCCAATCTAATTCTCTTTTTTCATTCTTTCACTTTGGACCAGTTTATACTTAAATGTTAAACTGTTACTTTTTGTGTTTGTGTGTGTTTACTTGAAACAATAAATGAGGCAAGTTGTGTGTTTGTATTTAAGGTACTTCTGAGTTACTTTATAATAGCAGTGAATGTATTGTTATACTATCACATTAGTATGTTTTATTTTCAAGATTAATAATGTTATTCAAATTTAACTCTAAATCTAGGTGTGAAATGAAGCAACTAGGTAGGATTCCAGACATCGTTTCCAGATAAAAATGAGTATTATTTGAAATAAACATTTAAAAAAAAACCCCAAATCCTGGCAGTTTCTAAACGGCGCCTATATTGAAGACAAAGGCATTCCTCTTTTGGGTGATTTCCTTAATGTTGCCTCACGATCACCTGAAAAATGATAGATACGTATTTAGAATGGCATATATTATTGAAAGAACGGGAGACCAAAAATGAAATTGTGGAAGTTATACTCTACACACTGAAGATATTTTTTCTTAAGTGGCATAGTATAAGTAGTGATTCTTAAGAACTATATATATTGCTTCATGAATATAGGCCAGTCATCTTTGATAGAAGTAACTTTTAGTTTCAATGCACCTTTTCTTCAATCTTGAATTTCGGCTAAACTGTTTAAAAAAAAAAAAGAAGCTTAAAACTCAAGCAGTCTTTTACTACTTACTCATGTTGACCTGTTTAGGATTTGGATTTGGAAATACAAATGAGAGGGTGTCTAGACCCTGTTAGAATCTGACTTACCTATTGCTGTACATTGTGATTGCATTTTTAAACACTGAGATTCTAGATTGTTTCCTGATTTTGGAAGCAACCCATAGTTTTGAATTCCAACATTTGTAGTTTATCGCTTTTTAAAACTGCTATGCTACCATTCAAATAACGAATACTCATACCTGGGCATTCATTATCTACTAGTCTTAGGTCTTATACAATGATATGAAAAATAGCTTTACATTTAATATGTTAAGGTGCTTGTATGTTTAAAAAAGTTGTTATTTTTTAATCTGTGATTTAGTTGCCATAGGATAAAATACTGACCTAAGAAATTATTGGTACCACATGAGATTGGTATAATTAGGTGGTGTCCTTATGATGTACTCTCTTGAAAAATATGTGATACACATGACTATCTCCCTATTGGTTATGAATATCTTTCCCTTTATAAAATAATTGAAATTTGGCTGGGTAAAAGCTTATTAATGTGAATTGAATAACTGTAAATGTAAACCTGTCCTATCAGATTTAACTTATCTAGAATTAATTTGTACTTTTTCCCCCCTCCTTTTTTTTGCCAACATAAAGTGGCTAAAAGCCAAGGTAAGAGATGTTATTTATCATTTGATCCACAGCATTCCCTCTACATTGATAGAGGCTGCAAAGCCACTAAAAATTGAAAACTCTTCCTATGTCTGTCTGCTTTTCCTCCTATAGGATTTATGTAGATTAAATATGCTCAAACTTAGTTCAACTCAGCATATTAGCTTTGATGTGTTAATATATCAAAGATATATTGACATCAGCATTTGTATAGGAACATTAATTTTGCTAACATTTATTGCTTTGCTCATTTTTTGATAGTTGCCTTGCTTTTATTGACTTACAATTAGGAGGTTTCCCAGACATCATAGATGACTTTGTTACCGAATTGTTAGGATAAAGATGATTTTTCAGATGGATATTTTAGCAAATTGATACTGAGATCTGTAGTTTATATTCATGCACACATTTCAAAAATTTTGGGAAACCCAGTATTTGAATGCAGATAAATTTGATCTCAGCAAACATGTTTAGCAATAAAGTCAAATATAAATCCAATAATCTCACCTCTATTTTGCCATAAATTAGTATGAATGGCACACAGTAATAAAAGTCTAGTGCAAGCGGTTTCTTTATTTTTTAAAATACAGCACCCCAAAGTCTGTTATTAAAACTGTCTGGGAATCCTTACATCACATTCTGATATTTAAAAAAATAATAATACATGGTGTCAAAACACCAGGAGAACAGTTTGATACAAAAATAAAAGCTTTTCTTTCCACATTTTAGCATGGAAATAACCAGCCTGGAAGAACTGGCACATTGTCGAGAACAAATCCTCCTACTCAGAAACCACCGAGTCCTCCCATGTCAGGTCGGGGAACATTGGGGTAAGAATTGAACTACATTGTACAGAAGAATTTGTATGTTAAAGGAAAATTTGTTTCTGAGATAAAGAAAATCCTTGGGATAGGATCCTTTCTATGGTAACACTGCCTTTTACAAATAATTTTGGTTCTTATTTCCTTGAATGGAATCCAAAATTAATTTGCCTGTATTGTAGTATCCTCTAAACAAGTCTGTATCAGGAAAGTCTTTGTATATGTGTAAATGAGCATTGTTTATATTTTATCTCCATTTTTAAAAATATAAATCTGACCAAAGTTTATTACAAATGAAATGACTAGAAGATTCTTTATGATGCTTTCACATGTATGTGCAATATTTATGGCACAGAGCATTAAATAAGTAGTCTATTTTGTGTAGTTTGACCTGGTATCTTGCTCCTCTTATTTTCCCTTTATACTTGGCCCCTGAGACTTAGGAATTCTTTTTACCTGGAGTAGTTCTAACTGCTTCTGCTGGTTTTAATCTTCATACTAGAGTAGCTTGGAAAGGCCAGTTGGAGAAGTAAGAAAGATAACTATTTCTTAGTGCAATAAAAATATTACTTAAACGTTTACAAAGATCATTTACTGCAACACAGGAATTGGTTTTGGTGGAAAGTTGGAGAATCATTTTATAGTAGTAGGCATCAGCAATCAGCAATCAACTTTTAAAGGAGATCTTTTCAGTGAGTTTCCATTTTCATTCTGTAAACCTCTTGCCCCTAAACAAAATGAAGTTGTTATTAAATAGAAAAATGAAAATGATTTGTTGCCAAATTAATGGCATTGCATCTAGGATTAGCATGTACTTGTCTGTATATTTTCATATTGAGTTAGGAATAAATTACAGAGCAGATATTTAGCTTCTCAAATGTAATGGATAGTGGCTTATGAGTAAGTTTGGGACTAATGTTTATTTAAGCTTAATATTACTGAGCATTTAAAAAATCACAACCACTATTTTTAGAAATAAGGTTAGACTTTAAATTGCCCTTAGGTTTTCCTAAGAAAGGGTAACATATTTTAATTTTTTTGTTAATGTAATGAAATTCACATATATCCCAATTAAGACTTCTAAACAAATTTTATTTCTAAAGAATTTTTAAAAGTTGCGTTATACTTGTCACAAAGGGACAGTCATACTTTGGGGGAAAGTATCATTTTTAGATGTCTTATCTTGCTTATTATTCCTTTCTCTATTATGCTTCTTCAGACGGAATACTCCTTATAAAACCCTGGAGCCTGTTAAACCCCCAACAGTTCCTAATGACTACATGACAAGTCCTGCTAGACTTGGAAGTCAGCATAGTCCAGGCAGGACAGCTTCTTTAAATCAGAGACCGAGGACACACAGGTAAACCTTCAGGTTGAGCCTTTTAACATCTGAGAATGGAGGTTATTGACTGGTGATAAACTATTGTGAGGTTGCTGAATTAAAACGTTAGTTGCTGAATTAAAGGTAAAGTATTACTCTAATGGTGACATAGAATTAAAAATTGGGAATATGGGCCTCCCTGGTGGCTCAGGGGTTAAAGTCTCAGCACTCTTAAGTTTGATCCCCAGACAGGGAACTAAACCACAAGGCGCAGCAGACCTTTCCTGTCTTGCCCACTGCTCCCCTCAGCAGCGTATTTCAGTAGATCTGTTCAATAGATCATATTCAGTAGATCTTGTTCTGCTTCCCGCTCTGTCTATGGTGAATCCTCTCACTCCCCACACCTCTGGCCTAGACCCTAGTTCTTATATGCATAAATAAATAAAAAAATAAATCTTAAAAAAAAATTGGGAATAATAATACTGTGTATCTTCCTGTGAATGTGTACTGTTCTTAGATTGCTAGTATTTCCTCATTTGATGGAAGTGCAGATATATGTTTGGATCAGGACTAAAGAATTTTTTTTTAATTTTTTTTAAGATTTATTTATTCATGCATACAAGAACTGGGGTACAGGCCAGATGTATAGGAGGGTGAGAGGATGAGAGGATTCACCAGAGACAGAGCGGGGAACAGAACAGGTATATTGAAATACACTGCTGAGGGGAGCTGTAGGCAAGACAAGAGAGGTCTGCCGTGCCATGTGGGATTCTCGCCAGTTGAGAACAAGCCAGCGCTGCAGAAGCTGCGGACAGCTTCACAGTGCTGTGCTCAACCACCTGCGCCACTGGGGGAGGCCCCCAATGGATTTTTTTTTTTAAAACTTGCTAGGAAACATAACATACATTCAGAAAATTATATGCTTCATGAAGTATACAACTTGATAGATTAATACAAATGAATTTTAATACAAATTGAACACTCATGTAATCATAACCTAGACCAGAAAATGGAACTTTAAGACCTAGGACTCCCCCCAGGGCTTTCCCAATGATTGCTTCTACCTCCCTCCATCCACTCCACCCCACCCCAAGGTACCCAAATTTTGGAGCACTTTTGTAAAGCCAGGCATTTTTTATATAGCTTAATATGTTTTATATCTCATTCAGTAATGTGAGCAAGGAGTGTCTCTTTGCCTTAATTTAGGTTAATAGAGAGTCAACTTAGCAAATTCATTTTTGGGGATTAAAATAGATGTTTTGAAATTGGTATTTATTGATATTACACCTTTCAGTGAGTAAACCTTTATATTGATATCTGTAATTACTATATCAGGAAAAGTTCAATGAGGACCCAAATTGTTCCTTAATAATGCTTGTTATTATTGTATCAAAGCATGGTTTTACTTTGTAGTATAAGTTGTAAGGGTTTGATCATATTCAGCAACTAGTTATTAAGAGTTAGTTCATTAGATGCTTGGGATTATATCAGTAAGATACAGTTCCTTTTGTTCAGGACCTCATTCTGTTAGAACAGGGATTGACAAACTTTTTAATAAAGAACCAGATTTCAATATTTTAGGATTTGTGGGCCATATGGTCTCTGTTGGAATCACTCAGTTCTGTTACTGTTGCATGAAAACAGCGAGATAACACATTAATGAATGAGCCTGACTGTGTTCCAATAAAACTTTATATATGGCATGGAAATTTGAATATCATGTAATTTCAATGTATTACAAACTTATTCCTTTGATTTTTTTAAAATTATTTAAAAATGGAAAAAGTTTCTTAGTTCATAGTTCATAAAAATTGGGTTAAATAGCTTTGGCCAAATTTGACCTCTGGGCTGTAGTTTGCCAGCTTCTGTGCCATAGAAAAAGTTACATAAGCCAATAATTGTAGAAGAGTACTTTAAGAGCAAAAACACTGATGTCTGCGATATGGGGTGGCACAAAGCATAATATTAATCTTGTGACTTAAGGGAGTCATGGAGCCCTTCCCATTGAAGCTATTTTTGTTACATAATAGCTTTCTTCCTTTTTCTTCCATTAATGTGATGATGTTTTATAGAATGACTATCTTAGGGTAAAAACAAAAATTTTATCTAGATGGTGTCTTTGCCCTTTGAATTTCTGGGCCAGTGAGCTTGATTTTAATACACAATATGGAGCCTAAGGCTATACTTGCCTACTTTTTTCCCATCATTTTGCTCATTTTTCAGAAAATTTCATGGTTTATCACCATTTTTGAGATGAATGGAGGTTTTAATACTAATTCTAAAAAGAATTTATTACTCTTTTAATTAGCTTCCAAAACATCTGTACTTTCTTTATTGTGACATCTATTGCAGTATTTTTCTTTTAGAGCTATAATTGACATGTAACATCATATTAGTTTCAGGTACACAAATCATGATAGATTATTTTTTTTTATTTATGCACAGAAGAACTGGGGTGTAGGCCAGAGGTGCAGGAGGTGAGAGGATTCACCAGAGACAGAGTGGTGAGCAGAGCAGGTGGATTTACCATTACATTTTTTTTTAAGATTTATTTATTTATGCATACAAGACCTGGGTTACAGGCCAGAGGTCTGGGAGGTGAGAGGATTCATCACAGGCAGAGTGGGGAACAGAACAGGCAGATTGACCGAAGTACACTGCTGAAGGGAGCAGGGGCAGTCAGGAGAGGTCTGTTGTGCCATGCGGGTTCCTCCCTGGCCGGCCTGGGGATTGAACGCGTTCTGCAGAGGCTGTGGACAACTACATAGGTTGCGTCTTAACCCCTTGTGCCACCAGGGAGGCCCAGCCATCACATTTTTTAATGTCTGTTCTCCCATTCTCAGCCATGGCACTGTGGTTCCATTGACAATGTGATTCATATCTGCTGTGTTAAGGTTGCCATTCATAGTAAGTTTTAAATAAACCCTTGTTGACTCACTGCACTATAAAATTTTATTGGTTATTTCTCAAGTGTATGATCTCTCTTAATGGTTGTAAGGCTGATGTTATAATTTTGTTTTCAAATAGATTGAGAGGTACTGTGAAACACAAGAGCCACTTAATTTGTATTGAACAATTTAAAAAATTTCTTGTTTTATACATAAATACAAATTTGTATAAATATACACACACATAAAAGGAGGATTTAGTGACTTCAAGTTGATTATTACAATTTTTTTTTGGCTGAATCTGTAGATTTGCTTTTTTTTTGCATTTTTTACTTTGTTTTTATAGCGGAAGTAGTGGAGGAAGTGGAAGTCGAGAAAATAGTGGAAGCAGCAGTATTGGCATTCCCATTGCCGTGCCTACACCTTCACCACCCACTATTGGACCAGGTATGTTATTTATGAATCTAGTTTTATGTGCAGCAATATTTATGAGTTTTATTATGATGCCTGGCATAATTTAGTTGTATTAGATAAAATTATTTGATAATTTTATGTGGTTGTTAAAAATTAAGGTTAATAAACATATTTAGATTGGATTTCGCAGAAACTCGGGGTTTTACTAACTGTTTCTACTTACATATAAAGCATATTAAAGAGCTTTATTAAATAACTCTTTTGGCCATTTTGTATTAGAAATACTTGTTTTAGGCACTATTCAAGATGATATGTATTATTTCAAGAACAAACCAATATTGATGGTCCAATGAAAGAATCACTGTCTCTAATGTGAATTATGTACCAAAAGTTATGTTGCTTATAGGCTGGTATCTCATATCTGGTATTAGCTTGTTCTATGACTACTACGTTTGTGTGGTGGTACATGTTTCAGTAAAATGTCATGAATATAAAATGGAATTAAAATCAGAAAAGTTCTTTTACTTTTTAGATTGTGTAAAAATTTCAGAAATCTTTAGGGAATTAAATCAGTCCCTTGATATTTAATAAATGAAATGAAGATTTTATAGTATTAAAAATATACATTATAAGAATATGGTAAATTAAAATTCTTCTCAAGGATGTTGTTGAAGAAGGAGAAAAGGTTACTTATAAATACAGGCATATTTTAATAGTTAATGCAGGTATGAACTCTCAATGGCCTTTTTACCTAGTAAAAATCTTATTCATTTGAACATGCTTTACATATGGGTGTCTCTCTCTTTCTCTCTTTTTTTTTTTCTTTCCAATACATTGTACTTTCTTACTGTTTCAGAATGTTTAGTTCTCTTTCTTGCACTCTGACCTGAATTATAAACTATTTTATTAGAAAACATTTCTGTCCCTCCTCCTTCTGGAGCTCCACCAGCACCACCTCTTCCACCACTTCTCCCAGTGAGCACTGTGATAGGTGAGATTGCATAACAATTGGAGTGATTTAACTTACGTTGCATAATTCATAATAAACTCCTCTGTTAGATGCTAGCTTTTATAGTTATTAGGTTGTAGGTGGTACTACAAAGGTTGAAATATTAAATCTAATTTACACTAATTTTTTTCCAGTGAAAGGCCTCTGAAGTTACACAGAAAACAAATATAAAATAGCTTTCTCTGTTATATGAAATGTTTCCTTGCTTGGTTTACAACCATTTTAATGTAGTTGTTGTTTAGGGTTTTCTAGGAAAATTATAGCAGTGATTGTTCAGAAGTTTTTTTTTTTTTTTAAATTACTAATGTAATATATTTTTTTAAGTGAAATTTGATTTGGAACTCCCCGGTATATACAACAGTCAAGGATTTGGGGGTGGGGAAATAGAAGAGGTGGGGAATAGTCAAGGTGGGGAAATAGAAGAGGAAATGGAAAGGAAAATGATGTGTGGTGGGGGGACTCAGACTTTCCCATGGATGGAAATATGAAAAACTCTGATTATAGGACAGTACTTATGGCATCTGAGGATGCCATGAAATACTTTTTTTCCCCATAGAATACATTTAAATTATTCCCAAGGTGGGAGCATGTAAGGATTTCCAAATATAGGCTCACTGTAAAAAATGTTCCGTGTAGAAATACACAGTAACAACAGTCTGGGTAGAAATGAATGACATGTTTCAAATAATGAGAGCTGAGTTCCAGTCTAGGTTGAAATAAAGCTGTCTAGCAACATCTTCTGAAAACATTGGCACTTGTATACAAAAGAAAAGGAACAAAAGGGAGTGGGTGATTAGAAAAAGGAAGACCCCAATAATAGAAATAATAGGTAGAAAGTCATATGAAAAAGAAATTTCCTCAATGTAATTAATAATCAGGAAAATGAAAATTAAAACTACAATGATAAATGCTATTTTTCATTCACCGCATAGGTAAAACTAGAATTCTCCCACTACTATCAAGTATTGATGAGGATGTTTAATAAATAGGAGAGTATACTGGCTTTATGAGTTTTATCTACTCATGTCTAGATATTTATCCTACAGCATCAGTTCCCAAAATATGGTTGTGGCAACTACTCCCACTCTCCAGGGGCCTGGGAGAGTGTCGTGGATACTGTCATGGAGTTTTTGAGGTCAGAACTACATTCAAAATATTAATACTTAATCATTCTCATTCTGGCTCAAGTATACAGTGGAATTTTCCAGAGCCTACATGATGATAAAACCATTTCTTTAACAACTAATGTAATGTATACTTTTATGTCCATGTGTTTGAAAGATACATCAATTTTAGTTTCTAATACAGTACTTACCAATCACTGTAATTTATCAACAAAACTTTTTTGAGGTTCCTAATTTTTAAGAGTGAACCTTAAGATAAAAATGTGAAAACCATATGTCCTATGAGCCTAGAGCTGTGACTCTGAGAGTGATACATAGGATGACAGCATCAGCATCATGTGGAAAGTAGTTAGAAATGTAAATTCTCAGGTCCCATTGCAAGTCTACTCACAGAAACTGAAGACTGGATCCCAGAAATCTGTATTACAATATACTCTCAGTGTGAAATTCTAATCAGTGTTGAATTTTGAACCACTATTCTGAAGAAACCCAGGAACCATATTTAGAAATGTTCATTATGGGTAGTAGTAGTAATAAGAAAAATCTGGGTGCAACCCAAATATTTGTAATAGTAGAATGGAGATATAAATTGTGGCGTATTCACATGCAAATAAGGCAATAAAAATGATTGGTATTTTGATATACTTATTAGCATGAATGAAACTTAATATCAAGGAAAAAGTTAATCAGTATTTTCATACCATTATTGAAGTTAATAAATTTGCAAAATGTGTATATTGTGTATTGATATGTGATTAAATGCAAACACACTGCATCTAGCAAAGAAAGAGAAAGTTTAACACAAACCTTGTGGAGTTTGGGATCCAGAAGGAGCATACAGAAGCTTCAGTGATACTGACAATAGGCTATTTCTTGAACTAGGTATTTACCTTATTTTATTTTTATTTGCATATATATAACATACATGTATATACACACATGTAAATGTATAACGATTACATATAATTACATAATAGTATATATAATCATGTAGTTGTACATATATGTATTTTATCTATAAAAAAGTATATCAAAGTATATCAATCACTTATCCTTTAGTATTATGATTTTTTCCTAATAATATTACGATAGTTTCTAAAATAGGTACAGTGTGGAACTCTTACTAAATGGTTTTCAGTTTTCAAATCACCAAGAAAAATAACTTTGATTTTATATACTTTTTGTACAAATTAGAGAAACAAAATGATTTTACGGAGATTTCTATTTAATAATGGTTAAGGGGTTATTTCTTAGCTCTCTGGAAAACTAGCTGTCCACAATAGCTCATTCATGAAGACTAGACTATTTTAAAATGTGTTTGTATTTAGAATGAGCATATGGATGATTCAAATAATAAATGACTGCCTATGGCTTGGGAGCTCCAAAATGTTAAATATTGGCACTTCTTTTTTTTTAATGAACAAGCTCTGCTGTACAGTTTTATCTGATAACTTGTATGACCTCTAGGAGAGGTTAAACTAGACAGTGAAAATAAGCTAGGATGCTGTTTTTTGTTTTTACTTGGTTAAATGTTTTCCTTGATTAGATGTTTGGGTGGGGCAAAAAGGATAATATTAATCCTAAACACACTTTGGAAAGTATAGTTAACTTTAGAGGCTTTCAACTATTAACCTTTTAAATATTAAATGTTTGAAATGTTGGTAAAAATGGTACTGAATAAAATTTTGAGTATTAGTAATACTTTAGTCAGTTTAGATATGTATGGTAATTTTTTTTTTAAGATAACTTTAGATGTAGAATGGAGAAAAAGCCCTCCAAGTGTGGAGAGAGAGCATGGATTTTTCTATAGAAAGCTGCCTTTAAATGTACATATTATACAGTCTCTTTTTATCTTGTCAGAAAAATTGAAGTACTAGGGGAAAGACAGTCTTAAAAGCTTGAAAATAGCCAGCAAATATGACATTCTGTGTTTTGAAATTAGAAATTTTACTTCTCTTTATAAAGATTCTACTATAATATGTATTGATAATAACTGCTTAATGTAATAAAAGTTCAAATAAAAATAGTAATCTGGAAAATATGCATAACTTTAAATTTTATAATTTAGTGTATATTTGGTCAGATTCTTAAACTGTGATTCTGAAGATTTGACAATGAAGTTTGTAAATCAGGTATTAATATTAAATCTAAAAACTGATGCTTTCCATCTCAGACTATCTTGATACTTATTTTGTTGGAGAGACACAGTTTATCTATTAAAATCTGTGTATTCTAAAATGATACAGAAAAATTTTTCATGTGATATTAGCACAATACCATTTGGAATTATGCTAATTTAAAAGGTTTAAGAATACTACATATTTACTTTTGCAGCTTTCTGCATAGTATCTGTTTTTTCTTTCTGTTTGTTAACTTCAGAGATAGAGATATTTGAGTTTTATCTTTGCTTTTCTCTTTTGTATTTTTTGTTGTGGGCCTTAACAAGTAATTTATTTCTTACTGAGAGCCCCCCTCTCTTTGTTCTACAATCTGAGGTGATGCAAGATGCTCAAGTTCTTTGTTGGTTGCCTTTGACTAATGCTTTTCAGCAGCCCCGGGCTCAGCTCCTGGTTCCCAGTATGGCACAATGACCAGGCAGATTTCTCGACACAACTCTACCACTTCTTCAACATCTTCTGGTGGATACAGACGAACTCCCTCTGTGACTGCTCAGTTTTCTGCTCAGCCTCATGTTAATGGAGGTCCACTTTATTCTCAAAATTCAAGTAAGCTTGTGCTTTGCAGGCACAGTGCAACACAGTGGAGCTCCTTTTGAAGGAAATTATTTGAAATTGATATTCTTACCAGTGATAGACAACAATTGAACCCATGCTCTAGTCATGTTTATTTTTGCTTTAGAAGGTTAGTCCTTAAATCATGTCATTTAAGAATATATTGCTTACCATTTCTCTCAATATTAGCACTTACTGAGTATGCTTGCATACAGAAACGTAACTAATATTTTAATATGATTTTTATTACTTAAAAGTGAAAATAGAGAACAAATATTGATATTAAATAAGCTGGGCTTATTGGCATGTTTGGGAGAGCTCAATAATAGTAATACTAAAAGTTTTATTTAATTAAAAAATTTTAAATTCAAAATGTTTTATTTAACATTAAAATATTAAACATTAAAAATATTAAAACATTAAAAATATTAAAAGTTTTTCTTTATATAATGAAATTGCTGGCTATCACTTTTAAGCTTGTTAACTTATACTGAAATGAGTTCAAAACCATTAAAGCATTTGTGATGTCTGCTTATTCTGTCTCTGAATAATTCTAACCATGGGGGGAGGATTTTCTTTTGGCTCCTTTCTGTTCACCTCAAATTGTACATCTCAACACTAACTGCATTCAATGTTTAAAAAATAGTAAGATGAGAAAATAGTTTTAGTATATGTTGTCATGTTTGAATTGCTTTTTGTAATTATTAGTTTTACTTTCCATATTGAGATGCTAAATCCAAAAAGAAAAAAGATAAGGAATTCTGAAATGAGCCTATTGTTCAGTCATTGTTACTGGCTTGAAGTGGTGATTACTGGACATAGACTAAAATATACTTTCCCATGTAATTTTTATAGCTTTCTAGAGCTGCATGTTATATTATTTTAAAAACACTGAATACTCCATGTTTGCATCAGAAATTGGTTTATGTTCCTTTTATACATAATTCATATTCTGAAAAGATACATTAAAACAGAGTGAGCTTATTTTTATTGACATTTTAAAGATTAATGAGTTGTGTCACAGCAAAAACGTTTAAGAATTAAGAAGTACTTTAGCAGAAATGCCAGAATTCACAGATAATACCAAAATTAATACCTGTCGTCAGCCTAAATTTTTTTTTATGATACAAAAGTACTTAATTAGAATTTTACCTTATATTTTCCCTTATCCCCTTTTGGAGAAAGGTAGTTAGTATCTAAATACTCCACAGATTATTCAATGATTAGCCTCACTAGTTTATGAACTTTCAGTTTTTTTTTTTCATATTACGCTGTTTCTTATTATCCCATCTTTATGTTCATTATTTTTCTTTTCCTCCTTAGCCACTCAATTTACTCTGCAAATAAGAGTTTTTGTGTAGTTTTAACAATACCTGGGTGGGTTGCTTATTCTCAGATAAGACCTCTTCTTACTGAATGTCTTTACAATTTGGCATCAAATTTTAAATATGTTTAATATGTTGTCAAATTAATTATCTCAGAGTGCTGTTGTTATAATTGTAGTTAGTAGTAATATGTGGATGTTTTTAGTGTTTTGATGTGCATATTTCTCCTTCTGTCTAAATGTAGTGGTAGTGATTACTACTTTCATCATAGTTTTTCTTTATTTACTAACCAGCATGGCTAGTTACTAAGGATGGTTTCTACAAACTGTTTATTCTTGGAGGGAGCTTTTTTTAAATCAAAAACTGTAACATTTTATTTAATCATCTAGATACTGAGTATAAGAATGAATAAGGACCAGTATCATGGTAGATTGAATGTTACTTTTAGCTATATAGTGCATATTAATTCTCATACATGGCTTCCTTCAGTTATTGCTTCTTTGAACACTGAACCCAGGCAATCTTTGGCAATTACTGTGTTGTCAAAATGAGATAAAGTTGTAACCACATGAATATTTCCTTCTAGTTTGCTATAAGCTTTAATACATGTGCCTGCCCACATGAACATTTGATACCAAGTTCTAATAAATTCTGTCCTTCCCAGAAAGAAGTTGGAGTATGTTTTCAGTTGCCAAATGATTCATTTAGAAATTATTGCACTGTAAGCAACTGATATTTTAACCTTAGATCAGGTTTCCTTTTTTTTTTTGAAAAGTAATAAAAGGAAGAAGGACATTTTTGAGATATCCCCTGAAGTTCAGGAAACAGTTTAAAATGGCATATGGAGGGAAATTCATTCCTTAGTAAATTAAAAAAAAAAATCTTGCTTTACAAATAAGGGTATTTTTTGGACAGTTGTGGGAAGCTTAGTTTAGAGTAAGAACTGTCTTTAAAGGAAACCTGTGATTCATCTATTTATTATACCCCTCCAACCATTTCACAACATAGTTTTAAAAAATTTATTTGGGTTCTAATTGACAGCATTATCCTAAAAAGAGACAAATCTGTTTAGTTGTAGAGAAATAATAAAGATACAATATCCTGAAAATGTCTAAGTATTTCATTCTTACCTGTTATTTTTTTTAAAGTTTTCCCTTAGAATTTGAAAATTTCATTGCACAAGATTGGATGCGGTGGTAAATTTAAATCTTTCCCATATATTAAGATTAAATTAAATGTATCTATTCTTTAGTAAAAAATAACCAGTTAACTAAGCACAGCTCTGGGAAATGAATTTGGTGAAGGATCTGCAGGTTTTTTGTTTTGTTTTTTTGTTTTGTTTTGTTTTGTTTCATTTGCAAACTGTTCTTTGCATACTTATGTTTGTGGTCTTTGTAACTGACTTCTGCTTTTTGTTTGTTTCCTTTTCTTTCCTTTATCTGTTTTACTTCCCCCATATTGTGTTGTTGCTACCAGTTTCTATTGCTCCACCCCCTCCCCCTATGCCTCAGTTGACTCCACAGATACCTCTCACAGGCTTCGTGGCCAGGGTGCAGGAAAACAGTAAGTTTGGAAAAACCAAGCTATCAAAGAGTAGAGGCTGTCTCCTTATAGCATGCATGGCTGATGAGTCATCATTTTCCTTACTTTTTTTGAGAAGCTAATCTTACCTTGAAAATAGGCAGATATGCTACTGAAACTGAAGAGCACGGTCTTCAGTTTTTTTCTCTTGTGTGCATGATTACTGACCCATATAAATTTCAAAACTGCAACTGATGTATTTAATGATCTAAAACATGAAATCTGATCTTTGAGGATTCTTAAGAGCTTAACACGAAAATTCAAATTATATAGAAACTGTTAGCTTCCATTAGTTATTAGAGGAATTAATTAAAAGACATTTTGTATTTCGTTGCCAGCAGCTTCATCAAGATATATTCTTTTTTTTTTAAGATTTAATTCATTTATGCATACAAGAAATGGGGGATAGGCCAGAGGTATGGGGGGGTGAAAGGATTCACCAGAGACAGAGTGGGGCACAGAACAGGCAGATTGACTGAACTACACTGCTGAGGGGAGCAGCAGGCAAGACAGGAGAGGTCTGTTGCGCCATGTGGGTCACCTCCCTGGCCCTGGATCGCACTTGTGCTGCAGTGGCTGCGGATAGCTTCATAGATTGTGTCTTAACCCCATGCGCCACCAGGGAGGCCCCAAGGTAGAGATATTCTTTAAGATTAATTTTACTATTCAGTTGGGGCAGATATCAAGCAACCCCTTCCCCCCGTTGTAAAAATTTTTGGACAAAGCTTTGTAGCCTCAGGTTTTTATACATGAATAATTTCTGAACCCATATGATGATTGATTGATAAGATAAGAATGATCCCTCGAAGTTAACTCCATCATAACAGTGATAAACTTATCACTATGTAGACCCCTAATTTTGGCTATATGCAATTCTATGATTATTTCTGAATGTGTCAATCTGTTAGTTCTTTAAGGTCTTTGAAGTAAGATACAGTTTAGTGATTTGGGAAATTTCTTTTGATTATATGGACTTAATTGTGATAGTTTATGTTATCACCACTTGATTACTTTGAGGTTCCAGAAGATACATAATCTTAACTATATGATCACAGCGAGTGCTATTTAATAAAATGAAAAATACCACTACTACTGAATTATATTATGTCAAATAGATGTTGAGATTAAGATGGTAAGGCGGTCTAGTAATTTACTTCATTTGGAGCCATTACCGTGCAAATAAATCTCAATGACTTATGCAAAAGTTTAACTTCCTTGAACTTCCAGGAAATGATGGCAAATTTTATATTTCAGCTTTAGCTGACCATGTTGTGTTATTCTTCACATTTCCATCCTTTTTGCCAATCAAATTATTTGTTTATTTGTTATGTACTAAGTTCTGGGAAGAATGCAAATAGTCTAAGACAAAGTCCCTACCTTTAAGAAATGTATGGTTTAATGAACTTAAAATCATAGTTTAAAAATGTTGAAATTTCTGAATGTAAACCAACATTATTGTTCACACTTGTTTGTAAGCTGTTATTGCACATGTTAAAGTAAGTGAATTTTATTTAAAAATAATTGAGTGAGGATAAGTTGCTGATTCTTAGTGCTATAAGGTTTTTAAAACCAAATCTGCAAGAGTTTAAAAACTAAGCCAGTTCAACTTTTTTTTTTTTTTTTAAAGATTTATTTATTTATACAAGCACTGGGTACAGTCAAGCGTGGGAGGGTGAGAGAATTCACCAGAGCCAGAGGGGAGAGCAGAGCAGTCAGAAAGACCGAAGTACACTGCTGAGGGGACCAGCGGGCAGCAGGAGAGGTCTGCGTGCCATGTGGGACCCTCGCCTGGCTGCTGGGGATCGAACCGGCGCTGCAGAAGCTGCAGGCAGCTTCTCAACCCAGCGCTCAACCGCTGCGCCATCGGGGAGGCCCACCAGTTCAACTTTTTAAACAGCCTCAGTCAAGAATTTTTAGGAAATATTAATAGCCATAATGAGCATCCATTTATGGTTCAAAGCTCACTAACTAGCTGTTTGGTAACGGTTTTAAATAGAATTGATTAATTATGTACCTTTCTCTTTGCTAGAGATGCCCATGGTACTATTTTTGTTTTTATCAACATGAACTTGAGTCAGTCATTTCTCTAGTGAAGCAGAATGTTCAACTTTTATTAGGCATCTGGTTTCCATGCATCAACCATGTTAATTTAAGTTTGATGATAAATTTTATATTAGTATCTTAAAATTTTCCGTGCTCTTAAATACTTGGCTTATGGCACTCAGATAATACATACAGCATTTTTCCTATTAATAAATGTATTTCAATTTAAGACATGGGCCTCTAAGAAAGAAACAGTAGTATGTTTACATGTATGTATTATGAATGTCAAAAAGCATTTTGAGCTAATTACACAGGATGCTAGACAAAGTATTATGCATAGAGAATTAGATTGACCAGACTCTTGCCCCTCTGCATGTAATTATAAGATGAGCCAATGTGGATTCACAGAATGAAAACATTAATAATAACTTAAAATAAAAAATAAATATACTTTAGGGATTCAGACAAAAATAATTTTACACATTCAACCAAATTAAGGATATGAGCTATTGTTATGGCTATGATGTTACAATGGATTCATAGCCATTTCCTTCTTTTAGTAATAGTAGGAAGTGTTAGGAGTTACCGGCAAAAATAAAATGGATCCAACTCATTTGAGGGAAAAATAACTATATCTGTTTGATAGCTATCAGAGTAAGTGTCACCACATAGGGTTTGTTTTCTAATAGTCTCTTTTATCCTAACAGGATAAAATAGAAATCACAGAATTAAAGTGGTTATAAAAATAGGGCTGTTACCTACAAACATTTTACTGTTTTCTTTTTAATGTGTTATATTTTATTGAGGTAATGTTGGTTTACAACACTGTACATGATTTGGGGGTATAGCGTCACACCTCCTCAGATGTTCACACCATGTCCACCATGAGCCCTGCATATGGTGCTTAATCCCACACCATATTCCATTGGGCCCCTTCTTCCCTTCACGCCCTGCCTCTCACCCTCTCCCTTTGGTGATCTCAATGCCTCCAAGCCTTATTTTAATACTAGGTCACTGGCTATATTCTCAGTACGTTATTCCAAATGGTTGAGGAAATGCATTACAAATAAATACTATACGTATGTGTTATTTGATCACATAAATAGTCCATAAATTGACATTTGAATTAGTGTTGTGGTATTCTAAACTCTGCTGATATTTGTATCAAAACATTTTCTTATGATTTTAACTCAAAGACGTTGGTGGATCAGATATTTAAATTAAAAATTTGTTGGTGATGGTTGTGTGATGGAACACATCTAAGGAGGTGTGAATCTGTGCCTCCAAAATCATACATGCTGTTGTATGTCAATGCTACCTCAATAAAATAAAATAATTTTTAAAATAATACGTAACTACAGAAAAAAAGAATTCGTTGGTTCCAGCATTGAATTCCTTAATATTGAGCACATTCGTTACCTGGTATCATAATTATTCAGTGAACACAGTTCTAGCCTGACATTTTCACATTTTGCTGTTTACATCTGTGATTATTTAAATCACACATGTACATATACCACAACCTTGTAGAATTTGAGGTATGAGTCATTTTTTGGTTTTGCTTATTAAGTTTCTTTTCTGTTTTTGTTTTTAATTTACATCTTTGTGCAATACTTTATTTTAAAAATATTTACTGTGGATATATTAGAACATTAGATTTTTAGAATCTAGTCTTTTCCATCATCCCATGCTTGTTTTGTTAGTGGTAATGCAGAAATCTGAGCTTGCTTTTTCTACATTAAAAATGTTGATTGTGAATATGAGTAATTTTTAAAATAGTAAGATTTCCTATAAGTTTGGAATTATTCAGCTTTTAATTTCAGCTTATTAAAATTTAAATGAAAGCAAAAGTAGAAAAATTTAAATGAAAGAGTAGAAAACTGACTCAATGATGCAGACCTAATACCATAAACTTTTCCTTTTTTTCTCCATTAAAACAAACAAAAAAATAACCAAAAAATCCGCTCACTGGAGATATTAAATCCAAAGCCAGGGACAGCCTATGCACAATGAATGGTTATCAAGTTATTAATACAGTGTCTTTCATAAATTTTTACTGTAGTCCAAGTGACAGTTGTGACATAGGCTGGCAGCTAGGCTAAGTGTGGCATTTGTTCTCACCTGAGCCTTGGAATGAAGAGACTTCTTTACGCCTGTAACCTTATAAAAAGAGACATTGTCTCCTAACCTCCTGCATTCATTAATTTATAGTACTTCTTAATATTCTCGTTTTTAGTTCATTTTATTATGGCAAAATTATTCTCAAGTATAGTGGAAGCTTTATTTAACACACCAAGCTTTTATTTCTAATCATTGCATGTTTTATAATAGTGCATGCCACATGAATTAGAACTTAATTTCAAATTCTTAAATTCTATTAACTTATGAATTTCCATTGCCTTAATTTCTGATTTAAATCAATTATCTGAACTTTTTTAGTTGCTGATAGTCCAACTCCCCCCCCACCACCTCCACCAGATGACATTCCTATGTTTGATGACTCTCCACCACCGCCGCCGCCACCTCCAGTGGACTATGAAGATGAGGAGGCTGCAGTAGTTCAGTATAATGATCCATATGCAGATGGGGATCCTGCTTGGGCCCCCAAGAATTATATTGAGAAAGGTAAGTATAGTTATCATTGAATTGATATAAAGGAATATAACCCAATTACAGAATTTTAGAGCAGTGAACATCTAATCAGTGTTTCAGATGGCCTTACCAGTCAAGATAATTTAATCAAACATATTTCCCTTATATTTCCAATTTAAATGGAAATATTTTATTTATTTTATTTATTAAATGGAAATCTTTATTTTTAAAATTAAAAGTGTAATGTAGATGGGAATTTTCAGGTTACATATGCTTCCAACTGGAGATTAACTTGCTTGCCTCTCTGCATTTTATAAACAACTAAGGCACAAAAAAGGAGTTAAATGACTTATTGAAGTCATATATTTAGTAAAGATTTAAAACAAAACTTCCAAGCTCTTGTAGTAAAAGTAGAGACCTTTCATAACTAAATATTTAAAATTACATCTGGGATTATTATGAGAAAAATCTTCAATTAAGATTTTCACTGAGTTGACCTGGTGAAAGAGAAGATAATCCCTCAAATTTAATTTCACTAAGTTATGTACCACTCTAACATCAGATGTACCACCTAAATTATCTGGTATTCACTAGTTACTAAGATATGGTGGGAAAGAAACATCCTGTTTTTATTGAGCTTGTTTGCTTTTTTCCATCTAATTCTGTGCTATCTATCTTAAAGTAATAGTCCTGAAAAATGCTTATCTTTTATTTAATGCATTTGATAACCTTGGAAATTAACCTACCTTAAGCAAGCTGTTCTTGAAATCTATGGCATTCTATTCTACCCAAGTTCTGAGTATATGACTAAAAATGAATTTGCTCTTTTCCTTTTTTAAAACTGGAAATTCTATATATTGTTTAGGAAGTCCTGGATATTGTACTTTATACTTGGATTCTCATGTACCTTCAAATGGAGATGTTGTACTTATTGTGAGAATGACAAACTTGAGTAGACTTGAATTGTGTATTTACTTGTATTAAAGTAAATTTAACTTTAATAACTATGAAAATGGGACAATTGTATTTATATAAGTTGACAAGTTTGGAATGATAGGATGGCTAATAAACTTGATAATAGAGCAGGATTAAAAAATACCTATACAAGTTGAAATAATGATTCTTATGCCAGGGATCATCTCACATTCTTTTGGTTGATAAAAACAGTTGATAAAAAATTTTAAACTGTCAGCCATGCGGTCTCTTGGCACAACTGCTCATCTCCACTATTGCAGCATCACAGCCACCATACATAAGTGAGTGAATGAGCCTGTGAACCATTAAAACTTTATTTACATAAAAGGCAGTGGCTTGGATTTGGCCATGGGCACTGTTTACTGACCACCCCTAGTCTTAATAAAAAATTTGAGATTTAGTAGGGTTATACTTAAAGCCTTTAATAGTCACCTTTATAATCACAAAATGAATAAAACCTGGTTTAATAGACTTTTAGTTGAATATATTAATATTATGACTATTTCAAAAGTTGGATTCTTAGAAGAAATTAACTGAACTTTAACATGAACCAATCTGATCATATTTCATGTATATTAGATTAGTGTTATGTCTGATTTTGAGTAATATATTTCTCAAATAACTACAATAGCAACAGACGGGTTAGCAAAGGGAAAAAATGAATTTAATAACATACATGTGGAGAATTTGCATGGTTGTAAATTTTAAAGACTAAGGGAGTGGACCAAGGATATTTGTCTTGCAGTTAGGGCCCTGGGACATTAAGGAGAGTAGGAAGTGACCACATAAAGACAGGGTGTTATCACCAACTTAGAGAGTGAAGGTGAGATTTTTAGATAAAGAGGGCGTGTTCACTAATTAACTTACAACTGATGGTACACCCCAGGCTACTTCTCTGGGTCATAAAAGCCGGGGAGCAGTGATTGCTTTTCTTGATTAGAGAAAGGGTGGAAGCTTGAGTGTTGATCACTGTTACTAAGGAAGGGCCAAGAACTTTAATGACTATGTTTTCTTCACTAAGGGTTAATCTCTAACAATCACTCAATTTTCTTGGGTGGTTATTTAGCCAAAAAACAATATAATGGTAATTTAGTATTATTTATTCTGTGTCTTTTTGGTTTTTACATTTTTAAGCTTATTAATGTCAGTAATCATAACACTATGATTCTGCTGTAGGATTAAAATGGAGGGGGAATGGATTTGTTGAGTTACTTACTATCGTATTTATAAAGAGGTAAAAAAAGATTACCTGTTTTAACTTAGCAAATGATGCTATGGATCAATACTTCCTGGGCTTTTCATAATTCAGAAAGGTGGGAGAGACTCTTTCTTACAGAAATGTTTCAGAAAATCATAAATGTCTTAAAAACTTAGTATTTTAAGAAAAGGACTATGAAACATCAGTGAGAAAGCATTATCGTATACCATTTTATATATAATAGAAAATTACAATTTCAGAATTATAGTATAAACTAAAGATATGATTAAATTCATAAACCAATAGTATGGAAATTATTTCTTTTTTAATGGCTTTTTTTAAAAAAGATTTATTTATGTATACAGGAACTGGGGTACAGGCCAGAGGTGTGGGAGTTGAGAGGATTCACCAGACAGAGTGGGAACAGAACAGGCAGATTGAAATACACTGCTGAGAGGAGCAGCAGGCAAGACAGGAGAGGTCTGCTGTGCCATGTGGGTTAGCTCCCTCACTCAGGATAGCTTCATAAGTTGTGTCTTAATCCCTTGCACCACCAGGGAAGCCCCAGGAAATTCTTTCTCCCTTCCCTTCCCTTCCCTTCCCTTCCCTTCCCTTCCCTTCCCTTCCCTTCCCTTCCCTTCCCTTCCTTCCCTTCCCTTCCCTTCCCTCCCTCCCCTTCCCTCCCCTCCCCTCCCCTCCCCTCCCTCCCCTCCCTCCCTCCCCTCCCCTCCCCTCCCCTCCCCTCCCCTCCCCTCCCTCCCCTCCCCTCCTCCCCCCTCCCTCCCCTCCCCTCCCCTCCCTTCCCTTTTCCCTGTCCTTTCCCTTTTCTTTCAGATTTATTTAGGTATTTATACAAGCACTGGGTACAGTCAGAAGCACGGGAGGGTGAGAGAATTCACCAGAGCCAGAGTGGGGAGCATAACAGGCAGAAGGACCGAAGTACACTGCTGAGGGGAGCAGCGGGCGGCAGAGAGGTGCGCCATGTGGGACCCTCGCCTGGTGGCCCGGGTCGAACTGGTGCTGCAGAGGTTGCAGGCAGCTTTGCAACCCAGCGCTCAACCGCTGCGCCACCGGGGAGGCCCAGGAAATTATTTCTTGATGCCTTCCATAGCATTGTCAGCAAATGAAGTGAGTTCTGAACTAAAAATAATCAGTTACCACAGAATTGCATGACAGTTCTTTAAATCTTAATTAATGGGGAGAACAGAAAAAGAAAAATCTTAATGGATCACTCCTCATGTTTCCCCCATTTTACAGAAATCCTGTTGACCTTTAAAATGTGTAAATATTCCTTCTTAAAAAATGTAGGGATAGCCCCACACATTGCATTAATGTTTCCCTTGAATGAGTAGGATAAATGTTTACTTCTCAGTATATGTTTATTTCAAATTGATAGCTTGAGTTGTTTCTTGGTTTCCTGTTTGTCTAAGTAGTTTGTCTAATCATAAAATTCAGAGATTTTCCCTGAACAGCTTGGTAGAAGCTATTGATGTCTCTAGTCTAATCAAGTAGTCAGATTGACCCTAAGATCAAGTCACTGATGAGTCTCCCAGGTGGCACAGGGGTTAAGTCTCAGTGCTATCAAGCTATTGCCAGCCACTGCAGCATGAGTTAAATCCCTGGCCAGGGAGCTAACCCACATGGCACATCAGACCTCTCCTGACTCGCCCGCTATACCCCTCAGCAGTGTATTTCAGTAGATCTATCTGTTCTGTCTCTGGGTGAATCCTCTCACCCCCCTGTACCTCTGGCCTCTACCCCAGTTCTTGTATGCATAAATAAATAAAATAAATCTTTTTTAAAAAAAAGATCAAGCCATTGATATACCTACATTTATAGATACAAGAATTAAGACTGTTCATAAAAACTTGGTCTTGCTGCTATAAATTTGACATTATCTTTAAAAAAGGTCAATTTAATGTTGCCTATAGTACACTCATATGTTTTTAATTCTTTATCTCCATAGTTGTGGCAATATATGATTATACAAAAGACAAGGATGATGAGCTATCATTTATGGAGGGTGCAATCATTTATGTTATAAAGAAGAATGACGATGGCTGGTATGAAGGAGTCTGCAATCGAGTGACTGGTTTGTTCCCTGGGAACTATGTTGAGTCAATCATGCACTATACTGATTAAATTTTTTGCTTCTAAAGTAGGTTCTTATTCTTACTCAGTCATACTGTGGGACTATCATGGTTAACAGAATTGTCTTAAAATGTTCCCATATTTCAGGACATGCTGTTTTACTGGTATAATTGAATGTCTACCTGTAAGCATAAATCTTTGAGGCAGTTTGTGTATTGCTCAATAGCAATTTTTTTACAAGATGCTGTCCATAATTGATTATGCTTATATACTTACACATTGTTAACTTTATGACCAGCCTAAATATTCTGGGGTATGGGGTATAATATTTAACAAATCATGATTCAGATTGTACCATAACATGTTTCAGTGCAGCATGATTAACGCTATGTCAGACTAATATTAAAATCAGAAAACTTAAATGCTGGTGCTGGTCATACTTTTTGTTTAGATTCTCATTCTTGAAATAAACTGTTTAAAGCATGCATACAAATTCATGTATTGAAGTATACTTTAAAAAATCCAAGATGCTTCCAATTTGTGTACTGTTTACATGGAGCACTTAAGTCTCGAAATGAGTTGGGTCTCTTAAGGTCTCTATGTGAAACTAAACAAACCAAAAAAAGGGTTATTTGAAATGTTGTAATTTGTACCTGAGTTTTTTAATGAGTGAATTTACATTATACGTTTTTTCCATTCATAAATACATAAGTGAACCAAAGGTTTTTGTCTTTTTCCTTTACTGGTTTGCTTTAAAAAACAAAACAAATAAAAGATACTCATTTATTACAGAATTATGGTTCTACTTTCCCAATATATTAACTTTGAAAAACACTTTAGCCTTATTTCAATCTGTCCCAACAGTAACATGTGATTTTCATGATTTACAATCTGAGATGGTTATTAACAAGTCAATCTACTGAATCCCTTTTCTAAAGTAACTTTTTCAAAGCTAAGAACATGTGTCAAAGTGCACATTCTATAGGTAAAATTTGTAAGGATTGCTACCCTTAAACAAGGCTTCAGTTTTTCAATGAGCTGTTATATTACCGGTCCAGTGAAAGGAAATTATAAGTATCTTTTACATACTGTTTTTGTAGAAGTGGATGCAGTTGATTTTTAAATAGGCACTATTTAGTCCATTACCTGACACTAGCAGCAACATAACGATTTTTAAAACATTTGGGAAAAAAAGATTGGTCATATGTTAAATCAGTGAACAGGGATATATACCTGACCAACAGATTTGTATTGTCTTTTGATATAATTGAAATGCAACACATGCACTTTGTGTGTCTCCTCTTAATTTAAGGGAGGGTTTGAGGGATGTTTTCTCTTCTTATTTTGTGTATAATTCTATACTGCCTAGGATTTTAAAGTAGAGCACTCAACTGTGGGTTTCTGTGTATCGAGGATTTGTTTGGATTTCAAATTATAGTTATGTACTGGGTGTTACAGATTTGTAACAGCATAGTAAATGTTAAGACTAGTGCAAAACATTTCTGAAAATTAAAACCATTATTGCTACCAAATGAATGTGACTGTTGCATACGCATTTTGCTTTTGTTAATCTTCAGACATGCTTTTAGTATCACTAGTGACCAGGTGGCTTTTAGTATCACTTTTCTCGGTGGAATGTTCTTAATCTTGTATATAACCTATTGTCTAAATTTCATGTACAGTCTTTTATAATAAACCATTCTCCTATATGAAATTTTGGATACTATTAAAATCTAATGTGGATAGAGATGTAGAGAATAATTTTCTGACCTATGATAAAACCAGATAAACCATTTGAATTTTAACATTATTTATTTGTATAATGACTTTACATGTCACTATTAACAGTGTAAACAATACCATATATAACCCTTCAGATATCTCGATTAGAATTTATAGAACTAGAATGACAGATTCAGAGAGTTTAATTACATTTAAAAAGTTTTCTGAAAAAAATTTGCCAATAAAAAAATTGCCCATCCACAAAGTTGAAATGATTTTTTGAAATGATTTTTGGTTATCTGCACATGAAGCAAAGTATATTCCACAAAATTTTTAGGCACAGTCTGGTAAAATAGCTGCCAGAACTAACAGAAGGAGTTGTCATTTATCTCTTGTGAGTATAATTTCTGAAAGTTGTATGAGGGCATCTCTTTCTGGGGATGGTCGAAGTTTACTGATCTCTTTTATTGCTTCATGGCAGTATTGCTGGGCGAGGTAGGTTGTTTGTTGCACACCATCACTCTGTGAGACACAGAACAAAACAACAGTTAGATGCATGTCATCTCCTGAATCAACTCTTCCCGCTATAATGAATTAAAACATACCTTCTTTGAGATCAGATAAGGTAACAGTCAAAATGTGTTACTAATGTTCTCTCTACAATTCATAGTTCTAGTTTCCCCTCTACTTTTAAACCCTTCTCTCAGATTAAAAACAAATTTATTCTGTTAACACACAAAACAACTAACTCATTTGTATCAAGCAGCCATCTACATCCTTCTTTTACGTGTTGGTAAGAGTTTCTAAAAAGGGGGCCTCCCTCGTGGCACAGCGGGGTGAGCGCAGTGCTGTGAAGCAGTCTGCAGCCTCTGCAGTGCGGGTTCGATTCCCGGCTGGCCAGGGAGATTCCCACATGGCGTTGCTGACCTCTCCTGCCTTACCTGCTGCTCCCCTCAGCAGTGTTTTCGGTCCATCTGTTTGTTCAGCTCCCTGCTTTGTCTCTGATGAATTCTCTCACCCTCCCACAACTCTGCCCTGTACCCCAGCTCTTGTATAAATAAATAAATCTTTTTAAAAAAAAAAAGTTTCTAAAAAGGTCTACCTATAATAGCTAAACAGTGAAATTTTCTATAAAAATTTCTGCAGTGAAAGTTAAAATCAATTTCATTCTTCCAAAGGGACCAAAAGCTTTGTCCTTTTTTTTTTTTTTTTAAATATTTATTTATTTATTTATACAAGCACTGGTACAGTCAGAAGCCCGGGAGGGTGAGAGAATTCACCAGAGCCAGAGTGGGGAACAGAACAGGCAGAAGGACCGAAGTACACTGCTGAGGGGAGCAGCAGGCGGCAGGAGAGGTCTGCGCGCCATGTGGGACCCTCGCCAGGGGCTGGGGATCAAACCGGCGCTGCAGAGGCTGCGGGCAGCCTCACAGCCCAGTGCTCAACCACTGCGCCACCAGGGGAGGCCCTCCTTTGGTTTTTATTTCTTACCTGATTATTGTTTTTTTAATTTCACTAGGAAAGATGAGGATTTAGCCCATTCATATATGCCTCCTAGTTTGGTCACTATGTAACTGTCTTTAATTATTCTAATGATGACCTCTGTCATCATGTAGGACCAGCTTCTGACTTTCTTTTATATTAAGACGAAGATACCAGTACTCTTATTCTTTCCTTTAATTATACCTTTACGTTCCAGAGAGAAATCTGCATTTTATTCTGTAATGTTTTTATGTTGGTTCTTTCTAAAGCTGAATACTAATAAAGCATTATTTCCATGAATTAATTTCCTTTTTCATGGTTCCAAGTACATGATCCCTCTGTCATTCAGAGTAAGATATTTCTAACATCATGATTGAAAGGCTTCTGATTTTCTATACACTGCCATCTGAAATGACTAAAATATGACACATTTTACTTTGCTGTGTTTAGTACAGAAGCCCAGTTCTGAATGTAATTGCTTTTTATTCTTCCTCTTTGGTAGAGGAGCTCATTCCAGATTCCTGTAATTTCCAATGCCTCAATCATTTGTTTCATCACTTAGACCAACTGCTTTCTGCACTAATGTACAACTTTTTCCAGGATGACTTTTCATTCATCTCTTCAATTCATTCCATTGGTTTTAGTACCTACTTTTTTGTCCTCAGTGTTTGCATATTTTTTGCTGAAATACATCAAAACCTAGAAACTATGTATTGGAATTCAGTTAGTCCTTCAGTATGCTAATGACTTTTGCCTTCATATTTAATGGATGATTTTACTGAATATAGAATTCTAGGTATATTTAGATTCTGGTTCTTTTTTTTTTTTTTTTAAGATTTATTATGTATACAAGAACTGGGGTACAGACCAGAGGCGTGGGGGATGAGAGGACTCACCAGAGACAGAGTGGGAACAGAAAAGGCAGATTGACCGAAACACACTGCTGAGGGGAGCAGTGGGCGAGCCAGGAGAGGTCTGCTGTGCCATTTGGGCAGGTCCCTGGCTGGGGATCGAACTCGTGTTGCAGTAGCTTCAGACAGCCCCATAGGCTGCGTTCCAACCCCTTGCGCCACCAGGGAGGCCCTGTATTTAGATTCTGACAACAGAATGGTGGTTTCCAGAGAGGAAGGAGGGAATGGTAGAAGGTGTCAACTGGTTGGTGGTTGATGATGGACATTTGGTGGTGTGCCTGGTGAGAAAGTGAAATACTGGAACCTATACAGTGTTGTAAACTGCTGTTACCTTGATTAAAAAAGAAAATTTAGGTTTAAGATGTTTCTTCCTCATCTGGAATACCTTGCTCTCTGCCTTCTAACCTCCGGTTGTTTTTTGCTCTTCATGATCCAGTTTGATCCTTTTTCCTTTAGCAGGGTGACCACTTTTTTTCTTTGATTTCACTTTTTGATTTGTTTCATGATTATATTGATCCTATTAAGGGCTTTTCTTTTTCTGTTTTTCCCATTTGCTTTTTTTACATTTGGGGGTATTTTCTCAACTTCATATTCCTACCCTTCTTTGGGATTAGTTTTTCCACAAATATTAAAAATTTCTTGAAGCTTGTGCTTACTCATTGTTTCAAAAAAAAAAAAACAACTATATTTTTTGAAAGCAGTATTTTTGAATCTCCTTATTTACATTTTTCCTGAGTTTTTATTTATCTTGATCTCACTATTTCATTTAGTAAGGTTTAGTCACCTATTTAGTAATCCTAATAATTTCAGTAAATCCTGTTTTTGACTGTTTATATTTAATGAAGGTAGGGACTAAGAGTTCTGTGAATGAAAAGGGAACTAGAACTTAGAGCTCATTGGAGAATTTGTTTTAGAGAGTATTTCTGTGGGTTTTAAGTGCATTTCTTTCTAAGCTTGCTGGAACTTCACTGTTCCAGCATAAGAGTTATAATCAGTGTCCCTCTTTTCAGTCCCACTTCTTACTTCAGCCTTCAGAAGTACTATTTCTGAAACCAGAACTTCTCCCAGGCATATCAACTTCTTCATCAGTGATACCCTGTCTCATATTAGTTTTTAATAGTACTGCCAAACCACCCTCCCAAAAGTGGCAGTACACAGCAGATTATGATGCTGATCAGTACAGAGCTAAGACAAATAATCCTTTGGTGGGGTTTTGCGTTTTGGAAATTTAAAAAATCTGAAACGGCAATTATTTGGAATTTATTCAAGTACTGACTAACTAGATTTCAGACCTCATTTGTTTACTAGAAATTGTTTGCTCACTCTGTCTCCTTCATTAGATCTATTGGCTCCATGTGACTTTTAGATTTTGGAAACAGCTCATTCTTAAAAGATCGTCACTGAAAATAAATACATGGAAAAGCATCTGGATTTTACAGAAAAGTTTTCAGGATTTGTGGTGATATATATTTGAAATACATTTATAGCCTGTCAAGGTTAAACATTTCTGTTTATGTTGGTTTAATTTTCTTTAAAGTTACCATTTGTTTAGTCACAATTTCATAGCAGTTACATAGACTGGACTAGGTCATTCCAGTTTTGCGGAGAGGATTGTAATAATCTAGCCATGGCAAGGATGAGGGTTTGGACTAGGAAGCAGGCTTGGCTGACTAGGAAACAGGCTTGGCTGACTAGAATAGCTGCTGCTGATGGGTATGGGGAAGATTGGTTCCAAACCAATGACTCTCAGCCCTTACTGCACATCAAGGTAACTTAATAGCTTCCAAAAACTATTAATGCCCAAGCCATACTCTAGACCAATAGAAAGCATAGGGAAAAAATGAACTCTAAAATCATTTTTTTTCCTGAGTGTTTTGCCAAGTCAAGAATTGACTCAATTTGGTCTTGCAAATGTAGCGTTTAACCAAAGAATTATCTTGCGACATTGTAGGTGCTGCTGGCTTTTCTTTTTAAAAATAATCTTACCTGTAATACGTATTGTCGTGCTCTGTCCACATCTCCTGGCAAGTTGAACCGTCTCATTATCATAGCATTCATTTCTGGGAACTAACCATCAAAAAAGAAAATATCACTGGGGAGAATCAAATGTTTTAACACTTGTTTGTAACAACAGGAAATAACAATGTGGGGGGGGGGGAGTGGCTAAAATGTTTAGATGATGCAGGGGGGCAGTAAACTGCAGCAGCTAAAGAACACAGCTAAGAGACATCCATTTTCCATGCCCAGGCGTGGAGCTGGACTGGTGCACAGGAGAGGTGGCTATTTATCTGTTAATTTTGATGTTCTGTCTTTGGCCTAATAGTAAGAAAGAGGGAACAAAATAGATGTTTAAACTTTCCTTTTAACTTCTCTTATGGTGCTGAAACTTTTAGATTGCACTAGAATCACCAGAGGCCTTTTGGGCCTCTCCTCACGAATTCCTAATTGAGTTGGGGTTGGGCCTGAGTGTGTGGTGAAGCTATTTTGTTGGGTCTCTGTAGACATGTTGAGAAACACTAGCTTAGGAAAAGGATGAGAATTAGGCATTCTACTTTAGTAAATTCAGTGACACTTGAAAGCTATGAGATTTCCAAGCAGTGGCTGTTTTGAGCAGAGGTCTCTGCCATAGCAGCTTGTAGAGTGGCTCAAAGCTGTGGGTTCTCAGCACTGACTGCACATTGGGGTCACTTGAGTTGCGGAGGCTTAATAATATAGTGACTTGGGATTTGGTCCAGGCATCAGAATTTTAAAACTCTCCAGGTGTCTTTAATATGCAACCAAGATTGAGATCTACTGAATTAGAGGCTCTATATTAGAGACACCAGACCAGTAACTATGGTAAGTTATAAAGACTAGAGTTAAGCTGATAGTAGTAAGAGGTACACCAGGCACTCTGAAAAGCCGTATTCTACAAAATTTAGCAATTTAGAATTGTCACCATTAACGAAATCCAAAGCGAGGACACAAATCACGTCATTTAGATCCCTGCTCTAGTGCTGGTCCTGCCACAGCTAAGTTCCTTAACCCCTCGGGTCCCAGACTTTTCATACTTGTCTCAAGGGAGCTGAACTACATGATCTGAATGCCATTAGTGCTAATAAGTTATGGTTCCATGAAATAAGATGATGTTAGATTTAGTTTTGGACATTGTCAGTGCTTACAGCAGTTGCTAGTTTTTCCCTGGCAGTGAATCTGAAGGGTAAAATGAGTTGTCCTATAACCACCACCCGGGTATTAGTAATCCTAGAAGAAAAAATAGAGCCCACATAAAAAATCCTCAACTAGATGATGGCAGATGAGGAATTAAGAATGTGCCTTTCAGAGCAAAGTATGTGTCAGAACAAAGTTCTAAACATGTAGAGGCTTGCTAACATGTTTAACATTTAAAGAGCCAGCAACTGGTTGGTTCTTACATTTAAACAAGTAATTTGCTTTAGTTACTGGTCTTTTGAGAATAAAGTAATTTTCAGGTTTTACAGAAAATCAATCAGGAAAGTTCAAGTCAATCAATTCTGGCAGTAGAAAGTCAAACTAAGTAAGCATTTGTCTTAGTTTCTTAATACCACATTCCAAAATTGGATTTCTGAAAGGCTGTATTCTCAAAGTGGATGTGATACAGTCCTGGGCATCTTGCAAAATTACCTTGTTTATGGCATATGAGCTTTTTCTGCAGTACCAAGTGGGGTAAAATGTGCTGATTGGGGTGGTTTCTCTGATTTCTATTAGTCTAAAAAGCTCTGAGCTAGCAACATTTGAAAAAAATTCTTATATTGAGTCTGACAATACCCTTTCTTTGAAACATGTAGTGTATGCAAACTTTAATATGCAAATATCAGTCTCTTCCCCTGTTCCGTTATGTGTGTGTGAAGAAGAAACATCAACAGGAAATAGTTGCCTGTCTGTGGATTCAGTGGGAAGGAAAAACATTTTTGTTTGCTCAGGCTCTGTTTTTAAGTAGAAAAACACCTGTGGATGAATCAGATTCTACAATAAAATCTGTCCATAAATGAACTACAAAGGTGATCAAAAATTGGAGTGCGCTTACTCAAAAGTTGGGTAATTGTAAGGCACCAACTAGTCCTAACAAGAGCAGAATACTGTGCAGCTGGTGCAGGGGCTGGTGACGGCAGTTGGTGTGGCTGCAGGCTGACATTTAGATCTGGTGACTTATCAAATCAGAAAGGGAAGCAGAAGAAAGGAAAAGATCTTTTGAAGGATATTTAGGAACTAATGTCTCACAAAAAGGAAAAAAGAAACCTTCAGTTTGCTTCTTAAGATTTTGAAATCTACCCTATGTACCCTTTATATACTTAACATGAAGCTTCTCTAAGAAAATACGTATGCACATATACATGGAAGGCACTACTTTTGAAGAAGGGACTTCTTCAAAAAATCCTGCAGCTTTTAAAAAAATCTCCTATACCCTGTTACTGAAAACTCCTTTAGAGAGATGTCAAAAACTGAATTACAAGAGAGGGAGTTTCTCCTGAGTTGCCAGGGTTCAACAAATTGCAATTTCAGACAACCCACCACACTAAGCTAAAAAGTGTTGTCCCAAGCTTTGGCTTGGTCCAGTGAGAGCAGGTTAGTGGTTACACATGGAAAAGTTCAAAGACTAATCTGCAAACAAATGTAACCTACCTCTAGAAAAAGATAATAAACCTTTACAACTCCTCCACTAATTAGGTAGATTAACCACAAGTAGTGCAAGTTGACACAGAGACTTGTGAGTGTCATGAGTGCATGTTCCAGAATGAGGGCGCACCAGGTATCTGCTCTCTGGCAAGACCAGTGGGGATCATACAAGCTCATCAGGCACTGGCTTTAATCAACATCAGCAGTGACAATATTACATCATGGAGTAGATGAAGACTCATCTAAGAAGACCTGGAGTGTTTGTTGCCTGCTCTGCCACTTATCAGATGTTTAATTCTGGCTAAGTCTGAACATGACTTTTTAAATAGAATGGATCTAATACCTACTACAAAGAGAAGCGATGACATTAGAGGTAATTTATTACGAAATCCTTTATAAACTATAGAAACAATGCATTTTCATTTAAAGGAGATTAACTGCATACTCTCATGATACTTCTGGAAACTGTTTTTACCTAAGATCAGTTTAACCCCAGAAATCTTTGGACAAATTTCTGGTTAAGAATCCCCTTTCACAGTATAGTACACAGGAGAGCCTAAACTATTTATAAATACACACCTGACTTTAAGCCTGCGTACAACAGGACAGAAAAATCAGTATGCTTAGGAAACAAGTCCTGTTGCAAGTCACTTCCTGCTCAGCTTCATTCTGTGTTCCCTTTTCTGGTGTTTTTTTTTAACTGCTCTCCCCACTGCTGTGGGTGCAGATGGGAGTCCTGCTGTCTGGTGAGCATGAGTGTGTGCCTCACGAAGCAGGGACTTCCCAGTGCAGCTCATATAAAACTGGTTTGGGGAACTGCATGTAACCTTTTGTTTGTTCTCTTCCTTGATTTTTTAAACACCAGCACTTCCAGAACTCTTGTAGATTACTGACAAGTCACTATGTAGGAGTGGTCCGTCCCCCACCACCCCGCTGACGGCCTCACTATAGCTGAAGGCAGAATTGTTCCTTGCTCCTCAGTGGAGTATTAGCTTCTTCTGAAATGGCATAGTGAAACAAGCAGAAGAGGCATCCATTCTCAGTGAATCATCTTCAGGATTAAGTAATAAGACTCACTGCTAACTTACTATTATGGGGCTCATAACAATTATTTATAATGATTAAGATTTCTAAAATTAAAGCACCAGAAGCTTTTTAGTAGACTATAAGCTGCTTTGGGGAGAAGGCTTGTCACTAGTCATCTTGAAGACCTCAGAGCCTAGCTAAAGACCTCTTCAACACCCTGCTAGATCAGTGCACTGGGTCCAGCTTGTTCTTCACATCTACCTACCAGAATCTGAGTAGATTCATGTTTCCAGTTATATAGATGGTGGCCAGCCACTCATCTTTCTACTCTCAGGCATAGCTTTCCATTTACAAACTCAGGAATACTTTGCCTTTTTTACAGGTTAATAGTAAAAAAGAAAATGTTCCTCACTTATGCCTTATATATCAAGTCTGTGTCAGAAGTTGGCACACATTATTAACATTCTTCTTGAGTCTCAATAAGGGAAAGAACCACATGTAGATAGCACACCTTTCACATCTCACCTCTGCCTCAAAATTTGGAGTGAAAGGAGCCCTGTTTTTTTTTAGGTAAAATCTGGTAATAAAAATAATAAAATCTGGAAATAATAAAAGCCTGGTAATAATGAGGACAGATGTGTCCAGAGTGCTCCAACATGTTCATTCATAGCCTCAATCCTCAACTGCCTGCTGTCCACTATTGTGTTTGCCCAGGAACCTGTCCCCCCAGCCATCAGGCTGCTCCAAGAACAACCCTGGTTATGCTGTGCTAGTAGATAAAAAAAGTGGTCTCTCTTAGACCAGAAATTGCTCAAAAAATAAAGTCACCAGTTTTTATATATCAAGATGGAATCACTGAGTTCTATAGAAGACATGGGTTATCTTTGTAAATTTTGAGAAACAATGGCAAAATCTCTATAGTTACCAAAATTTTAGACCAAAGTTTTTAATTTCATGGCATGGTGATGGATATCTTACTGCTTTGCGATAAAGGAAAGTAAATACTCTGATGAAAATCTATTTAAAAAGATGATCAAATTCTAGCTAATGTCCCATTTATTTCAAGTGAGCTTTGGCACGGCCAAAAGGAACACAGCCAGTGTCCAGATCAGGCCCTGAAATGTCTGCCTTACGACATCTTTGAAGCATCCTTCGTCTTTCATCCCTATTAAGGAGAGTGGAAGCCTGCTTTATTTACTTCCCTGACTGCTCTTCAATCTGGAGAACGAAGAAACTCTGGTTCTAGAATTGATTCCACTGACCTCCTGTCACTTTGAGGCAATGGGCAAGGCACTCTGAGGTCTCTCGGGAGCAAACAGTCCTATTAAACTTCAACAACTGGAGGATTTCTCAGTGTCTTAGGTTTGGAGGCCCTTCCTGTGTCTTTCTAAGAGGCTCCAAGGTAGACCCAAAATCCAGTCCTATAATCAAGACATGGAAACCATTCACTCTGACAGTGCCCCAAATACATGGACATAATCATCATGCCACCTTAGATATATATAAAACACTTAACAGTTTACAAAGTATCTCTGTGAATGTTATCTCAGTCCTGGGAGGAAGGGTGCCATCTCAATTTAATAGATGAAGAAACAAAGTTTAATAAGCTTTGATGGCCCAACATCTTGGTCATATAATCCTAGGATCAAGTCTCTCTTTGTTCTCTTACATAAATGCTTTCCCATGAATTCGTTATGTCAGCCTTCCCACCAGCTGGGGGAAGATACTGGTTCTGTGGGATTAGCACTGTTGGAGGGAGACAAACCTACCTGCTGACAAGCGAATAAGACGGGGCCAGTAGCTAACCCAAGCTTCAGATCCGCTGACGTTGGTTTGCCCATCTGGTCAGAACAGGAGGTGAAGTCCAATACATCATCTATTAGCTAGTGAGAGGAGAAAAGGAATGTGAAAAGCGCCAGCATCCCAGCACAACCATTGCTCCTGCCACTGTCCCAACTGACCACATTCTTATAAAAGCAGAACACCAACCTGAAAAGCTATGCCCACATTTTTTCCATATTGATAGGCAATCTCATGTACCACTGGGTCAGGGCAGCCTAGGACAGAGACCTGGAACAGAAAGTTGTAAAATAAGTCGCTGGCAGACAGAAGCAAGACAGCCAGCCTGGGGCTAGAAGGGTGCACACATCTATTCTCTTAAATAAGCAGCAGTGTGGCTAGATTATGTACAACCATAATACTGCTATCAGGAGACCAAACATGTACAAAGTACCTGGGTTTTTAATGAAAAGATCTCAGTCCCAGACTGTTTTCCTAAATTCTAAGAAAACTATTCTCTTCAATCCCCCCTTCTTTTACACGATAAGCCCATCTACGAGGTCAGTTCTGCTTGGTAAACCTTTCTGTCAAGCTGAAGAAACAGAAACCAGTATATGAAATACTGGCTTCCACCACTCAGCAAATTCAGCCCAATTGTTGGCTTTATTTATTCACATTTTCCTACTGATTTAGCCCTTATTTTAGGGATGGTGTCTAACGTGATCTAGTCATACACACGATGTTGTCATAAATGTGTAAATATATGTATATGTATAATATGTAATGTACATATATATATTTTTTCATACTATAATAGTGTCAAGTCTCATACTTCAGACACAGATAGTTTCTTCATTATCAAAGGATCTTTGCTGGTGTTACTGTTTCCGTATGTCTCAAAAGAAATAATGGGACTGTAGTAAAACTTTTTTCTTTTCAGAGGGGGTAGAAATAGGACTCACGATTTTTTAAAACCAAAATAACTAGCTGGCACTGGCCACTTGGGTGCATTTCCTGCTGCTCTGCTAAGCATGCTAAGTAGGCCCAGCCACATTTTCAGAAAACAAAGACTGGATAAACACCAAAATGGGGGAAGGGGAGAGACGTTGTACCCTCCTGAGAGTGTAGTGACTGTCAATGAGAGAGCTGGATGGCTCTCGGGCTGCTCTCTGTAATGGCTCACTGCTGATGAAGAACCCGTCCCCCACGTCAGTCCCTACTTCTGTGGTCCTCTGGATGGAACCTTCCTTTGCTCAGGCATCAGTATGGAAAGTGGTGTGGGCACTGCAGTTAGCTTGTGAGGGTGGCTTATATACCCATTTATGTGACCTCACTATGTTGCTGAATCTTACTGTGCGTCAGCTTTCTCATCTGTGAAACGCTGGAGTCAAAAGCGCTTACTCATAGGGCTGCTGTGAGGAAAATGTGGGATGCTACTTTTAAACTCTCAGACAAACCCAACTGAGAAACTCAACATAACTGGCCTATACTCTGCAACCTACATCAAGGTAGTATCAGGACAGAAAAACTGAGGAACGATTCCAGATTCAGAGGAACAAGAGACTCATGACAACTAAATGCAACATGAGATCCTGGACCAGAAAATACTTTTATCCCCTTTTGTTAGAAAAGTATTAGGACAACGGGCAAAATGTGAATAAGGTCCACTTGTAGGTTAGGTAAAAATATTATAACCAAAAACTGAGTTCTGAGGCCTCCCTGGTGCCGCAAGGGGCTTAAGTCTCAGCACTCTAAAGCTATCAGCAGTTGCTGCAGCATGAGTTCGATCCCCAGCCAGGGAGGTGACCCACATGGCGCAGCAGACCTCTCCTGTCTCGCCTGCTGCTCCTCTCCGCAGTGTATTTCAGTCGATCTGTCTGTTTTGTTCCTGGCTCTGTCTCTGGTGAATCCTCTCACCCCCCCGTACCTCTGACCTACACCCCAGCTCTTGCACGCATAAATAAAAATAAATCTTTTGAGGAAAAAAAAAACAACAACCAAGTTCTGCAAATATGATCCATAATGTGGATAGCAATTGGTAGCTTTGAAAATAAAGTTAACAAGAACAACCATTGATTCCATGCCACACCCAGCACTGGAGAAAATAGAAATTCAGAAAACAAAAACAAAAACCTGGCCAACCAACCAAAAACCAAGAGAAAAGCCAACAAGGCAGGATTACCAGAATCCGTTCTGTTCCAGGTTCAAATCCCAGCTCAGCCCCAGTCTAACACTGCAGGAGCCAATGGAGCTGTCAGGGCTCCCATTACCATTAGATCTTTTTTCTTTTAAGATTTATCTATCCAGGCATACAAGAGCTGGGGTGCAGACCAGAGGTGCGGGGGGGGGGGGGTGAGAAGATTCACCACAGACAGAGCCCGGAATAAAACAGGCAGATTGACTGAAATATACTGCTGAGGGGAACAGCAGCCAAGACAGGAGAGGTCTGCTATGCCATGTGGATTGCTGCTGGCTTGGGGGATCGAACTTGTGTTGCAGTGGCTGGCGATAGCTTGATTGTGCTGTTTTTATAAACCCTGCGCCAACAGAGAGGCCCACCATTAGATCTTTTGGGGAACAAGTCAGAGCCTTTATTAGTCAGCTGTAGAATTTATTTTGCATGACCATGTATACAAATAAATAGCCAATCACCTTTGAAGACTACTTCTGTATTCATAACAACTTCTGTATTCATAACAATCAGTGTCACATACCCTCTCCTAGATGTTAATACTATTTCCACTAAAAATAGAATGAGTGGTTAAAAAGGGGGGGTAGGGTGGAGAATGAATTATAGGCTTCTAAATTTCCTTCAAATTCTATTACAACTTGGAATTCTAATAGTTTTGTAATACTGAAACTATTTCAACCCTCCTTATCCTCTCTTTTTGGCTTCTCTAGTTTGCTTTGCATGCATTCGGTTGGAGCCAACGTGATTTTGCATTTTAAATATCATAAGAATATAAAAATAGCAATTTTGAATATATAACATCTCTGTAATATTCCTATCCATGGCACTTAAATATAGAAACTTTTGTTCAGAGCTCTCATGCTGATTTTGCTTTATTCTGCTAACAGCTCTGGAGTTTAGGAATAAATCATGGTGTGCCTCCTAGTGGACAACATAAGACATTTCACTCAGTAAGAGTTGAGCCATGTTAATATCTACATCCGTTGTTTACTGGCTCATCTGTAAAGAATGAGGTGCTCTTAATGACTGATTACATGTGTTATCATGTCTTTGGCTTCTTAAGCAGAGGACAGTGACCACATTAAGCCCTTCCTGATGACAGGGGTGTATCTCCTTGGTCCCGTCATAGGATTCTGTCACTGGGTCATTGGTTCCAGCTGCTGCCCTGTGCCTGTGGCACTGTGGACAGTGCCTCAGGATTTCGAAGTCAAACAGCTCCACTTCCTGCTAGCAGCAATCTCAAGCTTGCAAAATCATCAATGAGCTCCACCTAGTACCCTGGGGGGACCCAATGAGGATGGCTATCTTTTTTTAAAAAGATGTATTTATTTATGCATACAAGAGCTGGGGTTTAGGCCAGATATGCAGAGAGGTGAGAGGATTCACCAGAGACAGAGTGGGGAATAGAACAGGTGAATCTACTGAAATACACTGCTGCGGGGAATAGTGGGCAAGACAGCAGAGGTCTGCTGTGCCATGTGGATTAGCTCCTTGGCCAGGGATTGAACTCATTCTGCAGTGGCTGCCGACAGCTTCACAGTGCTGAGACTTAACCCCTTGCCCACCAAGGAGGCCCCTAGCCTGCCCATCTTTATGGAGGTTTTGGTCATCAATGACATCATGAGCAGTGAAAGATGAATGTAGTGAATTTTTGGTATCCTCTTAATATCGGTCATTCTTTTATTTAGCATTCTAGCATTTATCATATTTTTCATTTTCTCTTGAGAATCCACACTTGCAATTTTTTGGAAGTAAAAAAATAATAGCCCTTTTAATAAAAAGACAAAAAATGGCTGAGATTGTGGCCAACATGTTCTACATAATTCACATTCCACAGGGTTTCAATTGGATCTTTTAAGGAAGAAAATGTTATCCTTGTTTTTTTCTGGCTGACAAACATTCCTTGACACTTTTCAGAACTACACACTATTGGCAAGGGATTCTTTCACCTGAGAGGCCTGAGAAAATGAACTGTAATTATGTTAAGAGTGTATCGTGAAAGTAATTTACATTTCCCTCTAGAGGTCTTTCTCTCTTATTGCTTTGGTTGCAACGACTTACATGCCCAGATTTCCTCTACTACATCAAGTTAGGCTAAGAAATGGTTAAATGAATATTTTTATATAGTGCACTCTTTCATTCATGAGATAGCACTGAAGACCCCATGTTTTAATTTACAGATTAAAGAGAACACTGATTTTTATGAAAAGGTAATTAATGATACGGAGAATGGATAGGTGAGGGAAAGAAAAAGTTATGGTTCACACTCAGTTACTGATAACAAGCAGAAAAACAGCTTGTGCATATTTCACATACAAATCCTAGGGGGATCTATTACTCATAAAAGGGGACACAGAACACTAGTACAATCTCATAGGTATTTTCTCCAAAATAAATATATTTAAGACCATAGCACTTTATAACTTTTAAAAGGTAAACTGTCAGAAAGAGTATGCGTGACGACTCTCAGGAGGGTAATTATAATTTATTACTCAAAATAATATATAATTTGGAAATTAATTTGGGGAGAATATTATTTTGATTCAATTATTGGAAGAAAAGATGCCAAGTTAATGTATGAATAGCAAAAGAAGACAGCAAAAATGAAAACCACAGAAGTTCTCTGTAGTTTGAGGACATAATTCTTTTTTCAATGACCTCCTGGGACTTCAGTGGAATTTTTCCTAGAGGAACTAGCCCCCAAGAAAGAGCTGTGAGGCTTTTTTTTTTTTTTTTTTTTTTTAACTTGAAAAAAGACAGAACGTACATACTGCTTTACAACTGTTGGCAATCAGACTTGCAGTCTTCTTGAAGGTCTTTTCAAGGTAGTGGGCAAATCTTTCATTCTCATTTTCTTTTGACCCTAGTTGGAGAAATTCACCTATAAAGAAGGAAAGGGGCCATTTGAGATATGGTTTATCTCCTGACTAAATACTAAGAATGAATGGAAAAAATAAAAATCAGAATTAACCTACCACGCACCAGGTCTTCAATAACTTGCGTTAAAATAGAAATAACAGTTGTGTTTCCAATTCGTGCCAGAGCCATTGATGCTGCAGAAAGAATTAAATCTCCAGCAAGAACAGCCTGAAAAATAGAAAAAAAAAAAAAAATTTCAGTGTCAAGCATCAGAGTAATGGAGGCAGTAAGTTGACTTAGGAGACAGGAAGGTGGGGTGACATGGGACACAATTTTTACCCCTTTTTCTTCCTCAGCAGAATTGCATAACAGTCAGTTACAGATTTGGAACATTGTTTGGTGAATTGGATTGGCTCTCAGAGATCCCCGGCTGGGGATTGAACTCGTGCTGCAGAGGCTGTGGATAGCTTCACAGTGCTGTGCTTAACCCCTTGTGTCACTAGGGAGGCCCTACACACTTTTTTCAATGAAAACTAAGCTAAGGAATCTTGGCTCTTAAATTGAATGCTCTTTGCACTAACTTATCTTAGCCCTCATTTCATTGAACACTAGATAATATTTTTCCATCTTCTTTAGAGTAATAGTAGTTACCTATGCTGTCTTTGCAACTAATTATGAATTATTCATAATTAAATTTATGCTCAAATCAAATATACTACCTATTTAAAGATATGCATAGGTGTTGTTTTACAGTAATTAGTTCTAAATGCTAGATTTCACCAACAACAATGTTCCAAGTCGTTAATTCATATTCAACAACAATCACATTTCAAGTTCCTATTGTGTCTGTTAATTCTCTAGGATCTAAAATTAGTGATGTTCAATATGTTTACCAATTAATCATATTGTAACATATATCAGATCTTGATAAATACATGTATAAAGTCACTGTATATATTATGATACACAAGCACACACAGATCCATCCATCTCCACCCCTTGCTTCATCAGGGGTCAGGATCTGCACCCTTTCCTTTTCCTCTGGCCTCAAGGATCCTAGAGTCCAAGAGGCCCCAGCATCTAGAACTGAAGCCGCATAACTGTGGATGGCTGGGGTGGCGGTGGGGAGGCGGGGGAGCGTGATTTAAAGGAATGGCAGGAGGGGGAGATGGAGGGACCCTGTCGGCACTGCTGCAATTGGGCAGAACAATTAATCGTGGTGCATCAGCTGTGGACACGCCTCTTTCCAAAAGGTCTGTTCATCTTAATTCTAATTTGCTCAACTTCAACCCCATTCTTCAATCCATGATTTAAATGTCTTCAAACAAAATTATCATTGCTGCATGCCCTTTTCAAGAAATACCAATAAAATGTGGAAATATGCTTTAAAATACACTTATATGAACCAACTTCGATTATAGAGCCTCTGTTTACAAGGAAGAATTTCTAGAATAGAAATACATACACATTTTTTTTTTTTTTAGTTTTTATTTCTTGTCTTGACACTCTTGCATGCAGTCAGTAGTTCAAGAGTTAAACTGGACCTGAATAATCAGAGTCCAAAAATAAAATGCATGATTCCTCATGAAAGTCTTTTTGGATAACTGCAAAATTCTTTTCCTTTAACCAAGAAGAATTCTATATAAAACCATGAATAATCAGAAATACTGAGTTTACTCTTCCATGGCTTTATGATGAAATATCTGAATACAGGCAAGATATGAATACTATTTTGAAAGTTGGAAGACATGTGAAGAAGTATATTTTACTTTTTAATGAGACAAATCTGCAAAAAAAAAAATGCAACCCAAAGAGCATGTGATTTAGTGAGAGGTCATAAAAATGAGAAGTCATACCTTCTTTTCACCCCAGATCTTATTAACTGTATGTTTTCCTCTTCGAGAATTTGCATCGTCAATAACGTCGTCATGAACCAGACTTGCAGTGTGGATCATTTCTGCAATTAAGGCTATGGAGCGCTGGTTGGCTTGCACATCTCTAGTTAACAGAAAGCAATGCTTTTTAACAGACACTCCGCCTATAACCTTCTCAGCAATCATCTTGTGAAAACTGGACATCGAATCTAGGATAAAGAATTTTATTTCTCTAAGAGAAACTGTATGAACACTTTGGCTTCCCTACAGAGCTGCTTTCATCGCTTGGAAAACATTTTAAAAATGTGTAAGTGGCATGTTTAAAACCATGCCAACATTATGTTTTATGGACACCACATTAAGAAGTAAATTTGCAAAGCAAGTGAACAAGACAAAACAAAAACAGCTTCTTAGATCTAGAGATTAGATTCTCTATATGCATCTCTATATGGTCACTGTAGGGAAGGGGTGAGGGAGGATTGGGTAAAGGGAGTCAACCTTACGTTGGTGGATGGAAACTAGACTTCTGGGGGTTATCAGGAGGTAGTGGACACAGATGCTGAGGTGTAATACTATACACCTAAAACTTTTACAATGTTATAAACCAATGAATGTTACCTCAATAAAAACTCATTTTAAAAAAAGTAATAGAATATGTATGATTAACAGCAAAAAGAGAAACATCTCAAGTCTGGCCAGCAGGTTGAAGAGTCATCTTCATTTCTTATGATAGTGGTCTTGGTATTTGTCCTGTTTACAGTTAGGCTACAGTTAAATTTCAGGTATGGATGGAGAAATGAGGTGATAAGAATTCTAAAAAACTGTATTAAAGAACCAATAGTCACTATGTTCAAAACTTTTAATACTCTCTTGAATATGTATTATGGACACCTTAATAACTAAGGTAGAAGTTTTGTATAAACTTTCTTACAGTTTTGTATAAACTTTCTTATAGTTTAAATTTTTATTACTGGGTTTAACACAAAAGACAGAAGCACTTTCAATAAGATTCATGGATATGAGTTTTATAGTTTCTTTGTAATCGTCATCACCATCACCAGCTAAGAGAATTTCCTAAAACTGAATGTCAAGAAAATTAAACTGGGGAAAAAACTGAATTTTTTGAATCTAAAATATCCCAGACTTACACATGCTAATTGAATGGTTTGACTTATTCCAGTAGCTTACTTTTCAAATATCATCAAGTTCTCTCTTAGAGGGGAGAGAAGAGGGATACCGAAATATGACTTTTTCTTTAAAAATCTAGCCTGAGGGCCTCCCCGGTGGCACAGCGGTTGAGCGCTGGGTTGCGAAGCAGCCCGCAGCCTCTGCCGCGCCGGTTCGATCCCCGGCTGCTCCCCGGCCATCGGAGGAGGGTCCCGCATGGCGCGCAGACCTCTCCTGCCGCCCGCTGCTCCCCTCAGCAGTGTACTTCGGTCCTTCTGCCTGCTCTGCTCCCCGCTCTGGCTCTGGTGAATTCTCTCACCCTCCCGCGCTTCTGACTGTACCCAGTGCTTGTATGTATGTATGCATAAATCAATCAATTAATCAATCAATAAATCTTTAAAAAAAAAAAAATCTAGCCTGAATATCTATTAGAAAGTGCTCATTGTAATCTCTCAGATCTGGCAGAAAGCAATGAGAAAAACGAAATATAACTATAGTAAAGATGTTGGAATTTTACTACAAACTGTAAATCAGCATGAAAGTATCTTTCAATCTTGCTTTAAATATAATTTCAAATATGGTACTTTGCTGGCTCCTCTCCCCTAAGGTCTTAGAACTAAACCATGGAACCTTCTAATTGCTTTTAGCTTGGAAATCAATTAGAAAGTGTCGCTCATCGTTTATTAATATTGTTTATTTTTATTAATTGTAATTACAATTATAATGGTTCTAAATACTTCCAGACCACAACATGTTTGAAAAGGGAGAAGGTAAAGTAATGGAGGGCAGGGACACATCATCCTATAAAACCACTTTACAATCAGTCAGTCAGTCAAGTCAGTCAGTCAACCAACCAACCAATCAAACCACTTTGGTAAATGAGAAAATGAAAGTTCAGATGGTTTCTAAGAGTCTCTTCTGGAGCCTCCCCGGTGGCACAGCGGTTGAGCCCTGGGCTGTGAAGCTGCCCGCAGCCTCTGCAGCACCAGTTCGATCCCCGGCCACCGGCGAGGGTCCCACATAGTGCCCAGACTTCTCGTGCTGCTCCCGCTGCTCCCCTCAGCAGTGTATTTCATCACTCTGTCTGTTCTGCTCCCCACTCTGGCTCTGGTGGATTCTCTCACCCTCCTGCGATTCTGACTGTACCCAGTGCTTGTATAAATAAATAAATAAATATTTCAGAAAAAAAACACAAAAGAGTCTGTTCTGAGTCCCTCAGTGAGATACTCGTAGACCAAGGAAGCTTCTTCGGGTGAGTTTATTGAGTCCTATCTTATTTGAGGTGCAGGCATAGGAACACACATTGAGTTCTGTGTCAGCAGAAGGGGTTCCTGCTGGGAAGCCGCAGTAAAATGGCAGCACTCACTGCCACACGAGAGTTCGTTTGTTTAGTAATCTGAAGATATTAAAACAAAGATGCCTTAAGTTATTCTGAAAATGCTGACCAATGGATTACCTTGGTTCAGACAAACGAGGAAAGCAAATACTAAATGTGGTTTCACTTAATAAGAGACTAAGAGAAGGCTCCATTATTCCCATATCTATAAAAACTGTACAAAGAACAGAGTTCTCAAGTGGCACAAAAAGGCTCTATTTCTGCTCCAAAATGTTCTTGTTTGTCTCTTCTGACAATTCTAAAAATAAGCACTTCATTTTGCTTGTTAGAATGCTGACAAGCTTACTGTTTCCCACCCCATGTCCACCCCGCTATCAATACTCTTGAAAACAGACTGAGGCCCCAAATATCCTGAACCAGAGCTTCTATGGGTGAGGCTCAGTAATCTACTAGATTACTGAGATGCTAGATGATCCTGATACAGTTTGGGGAATACTGCTCACCCAATGGGGGGGTATTCATTTGATTCGCGTTAAGCCAGAGGAAGCTTTCCCCAGGAAGGGTTTCAGCTCAAGCTCAACCGTTGCTAACCCACTGCTGCATTGCCTGTAAACCACAGGCAAAGGGAACGAGGATACTGTCCTAAGTTGATCTGAAATGGGGGGGTCAGTTCAGAGGTCTTGTGCTGGTGACCCCCAACATCTCTTCACAACCCAGGAGCAGAAAGGCTCACCTGCTCTAAACAGCACACTGATGGGGTTCTGTTAGCTTCCATGGCTGGTCTAAGAAATGATCACAGCCACGGTGGTTTAAAACAAATGGGATTCTGGGGCCTTCCTGCAGCACGAGTTCGATCCCCGGCCGGCCAAAAGCGGCAACCCACATGGCAAAGCAGACCTCTCCTGCCCCTCCTGCTGCTCCCCTCAGCAGTGTGTTTCAGTCAGTCTGCCTGTTCTGCTTCCCGCTCTGTCTCTGGTGAGTCCTCTCACCCCTCGCACCTCTGGCGTGTACCCCAGCTCTTGTTTGCATAAATAACAAAATATAAATCTAAAAAAAAAAAAGGGATTCTCCCAGTTCTTGAGGTGAGAATCTGAAGTTTCCCTGGATTGAAGTCAGGATGTCAGCATGGCTACGCTCCCTCTGGAGGCTCTCAGGAAACCCTCTCCTCACATCTTCCAGTTTCAGCTGGCTGTTGGCAGGCCTTGACTCGGGCCCACCTCTTCAATCGCCAAACAGCCACCTTCAAGCCCCGCTCCACCTTCACACCACCTTCTCCTGTGTGTGTGCCAGTGTCCCTCGGCCTCTTCACAGGGACACAAATAATTGCACTTAGGGCGGTGGGGCTGTCTTGGGACACACACAGCTGGCGTGCTGCGCCCAGTTGGCATGCTGCCTATTTTAAATTGCAGGAAACTGAGGGGTAGCAGATCCTAGAATGCTACTTTTTACCCAGTTATCTATCTCCTTAAGAGGAGGGGGGAAAAATTCTGTAGTGGTCCTAGAGGCAAGAGAGGGTCTTATCACCCCAGATGAGGGCTTCCAAAGTCTGTTTTTGATGTATAATTAGATAAACCCTGCAAAATTCCTTTTCTTTAAATTGCGAAGTTCTTTCTTCTTTTTTCCCCTCCTAAATTTATTGCCCCCTTTCTAGAGACCACGTAACCTCAATGGACTGGCCAAGTGACAGGTTCCATTGGTCTGTGTCTGGGCCTCCATGGCTAAAGTTTGCCTTCTCTCTTAATCTCTTGTGTCAGCTATTGTCCAGCTGTACCGAGAAGGGCACGGGAAGATTTAGTTTCTTCCCCAACTGGGCCCACAAGACAATGTAGGATAATTTCCTCCTTCTAGACCTGTAACTTAATCACATCTACAAAAATCCTTTTTTTTTTTTTGGCTCTATAAGGTAAAATTCACAGGTTTTAGAGGGCCATTTTTCAGCCTTATATAGTTTCTTATTTTCACTAGCCTCTTCTGTTGATGCTCAGATGTTTCCCTTTCAGTAATCTACTTTTTTGCAATACCTGCCGAAAATCTTGTTTGTCCTTATTATTGATACCACCTTGAAGTGTCTCACAGTGGTCCTGAAGTTGAATGTGCGGCACTGTAGTAGTTTCTGAACACCTCTTATCTCTGCTTCTCATCTCTGGCCTCAGATTTCAGTTCCCTGGCCTTTGTCTCTGGCCACTGTGACTTGTTCCCTTTTCTTGCTCTCCTTACTGGTGCACTGGGGATCCTACTGGCAGGACATCAAAGAGGTCTTCCATTTAAGGAATGGCAGGGGGCAGGTGGGATGCCTGGAGCTCAAAGTTGCTTACCAGATCCTTATCCTGGGCACGGGCCATTCAGGTTTATAAACCCAAACAACCACACTAAGCTCAGAGTGAAGTCTATCTCTCGTGGTATAAATGGCAGTTTTAAGCTTGATCCTGACAGGCAAAAATATATTAGCAGTTTTTTAAATTCACACGAGTTGACAACCGAGAGCAACAAATCTCACATTTTTCGGATTTATGTCCAGATAGAACGGATGTCTTCAAAGCTGCATCGTAAATGATGCAGGGTTCATGACATTATTTTCTTGCCACTGAAAAAACAAGCAGACATTTCAAAATCTTTGGATATGTGGCGAGCAGTCCATCAAGACAACACCTCAGACCTGCCACTCACTGGGAAGCTATGATGCTGCAGAACAAGACAGTCTTCAGGTTTTTCAAAGCGGGCTTGGGAATGAAAGTGCAGAAGCTGATTCCTTCAGTGCTGGAATAAGCCTGATGCTGGAGTGGTGGTTGCTGGGAGGGTGCAGGAGGCACGTCACGGCCCCTTGCTCTCAGCATTCTTATGCTTGAGCTTGAACTCATGAATGAAATGGACAACCATCTGGTCACTGACTTCTCCTACCTACTCAGTAGACATCCCTTATTAAAAACTTTAAGATCCATTTCAGTAATGAATCTGGACACATCAAAAGTGCCATCTCTTGTGTTCAAGACAAAACATCTCCTTTGCAACAATCCTCCTGACTGGATATCAACAGCAATAGTGGGGCAGTGACTTGGAAAACGCAGAACCCAGGAATAGTTCTAGATTTGTTTGGGCCTGACCCTAGAAATCACTGAAATGAGCTGGTGCTGTAATGACTGTTTTATTATATTCTTTCCAGGGTTGGCTTTTATAATTCCCTTTGTCTTTATGAGAAGCATAAAAGTCACCTTCTCTGAATATAAGATTTTTTAAATTGCACCTGGACTCTTTTTTTTTCAAACAATTTAATTTTATTTATGTATGCATATAAGAACTGAGGTATAGGCCAGAGGTGCGGGCGGGGGGGTGAAAGGATTCACCAGAGACAGAGCAGGGAGCAGAACAGGCAGATCTACTGAAATACACTGCTGAGGGGAGCAGCGGGCAAGACAGGAGAGGTCTGCTGTGCCACGTGGGTAGCTCCCTGGCTGGGGATCGAACTCATGTTGCAGTGATTGCTGATAGCTTGATAGTGCTAAGACTTAATCCCATGCAACACCAGAAAGGCCCCGCACTTAGACTCTTAACCTATTATTTAATGTGAAAACTGTACCTTACAATTTGCACCGACTAATCAAATGCCTGGCTTTGTAAACTAGACTAATGGGGATCAATGTTTACTTGACTATCTGCACAATCAGGATAACAGAAGTGTGTCCAACGTGACCTGAGCAGTCCTGTTACCCTGACTGTTATACTAATTCCCCCTTCCAGTGCGAGAAGATCTCCACTAGAGTAGATGGTGCCAGGATCACTGAGTAGGTCCCTTCAACAAGGATGCTGAGCAGGATGCGTGCCATGTTTGAGAGAGATGTGCACACAATGATTACGCTATGCTCAGGGGTTGAGCTATTTTGTAGAAGTCCATTTATTGTAAAGCTAATTCTTGATCTTGAACTTTTGCTAAGTCCTGACCTACAGTTAGCCTGAGTTGTGCTGAACTCTGCCGCAGGCTAGGTGTTCTGGAAAGCAGACTCTTATGTTGAAAGTACAAGATCTACTCAGGAGTGGCCCCTGGGATCAATACCCAGGGAGGGCGAGGTGCAAACAGGACTGGAGAGAGAAGCTTCTGTACTGCAGGCCCCGCCATAGCCTCGACCACCTGTGGAGCTAGAGCAGCCCTTCACTGATCAGCCCCGGGTGAGGGTTGCCTGGGGAAGGGGCGCCGCCTCTGAAGATTTTCTGCAGCCGAAGCAGCCCATGCAGGGGCTGAGAATGGAAGGCTCCTTATCAACAGCAGCAGGCACAGCAGCTTGGCAGGGGCCTGGAAGCACACCTGAGGCCCCGCGACTGCTTTTAGGACCCTCCAGTCAGTCACCCACCGTGTGCATCCCCACTCTGCCCACCCAGGGAGCGTGGTGGCTTCAGGACATGGAGAGAAAAGAAAGGCTAGGTCTTAAGGTATTCCGGACCATATTACCCATTGAGGATATATTCTAAGCCATCGATACCCCTTCCCAGAAAAATGAAAACAGACAAAAAATTGTGCAGACAATTCTAAGGAACTCATAGGCTCCTATGTCTCCCACGGACACCAAGCTAAGAGGTCCCAGTAACTACCACAGAACATTTAACGGAAAAACCTGAAAATCTTAATAAAGGAAAGAGAAAAAAGGCAGCAAGAGGTGGTTTTCCACCCTCTTTATTAAGGTATCTGTTCTATTCTGTTTTATAAACCCCCGTCGAGGTTTACTGTTAACTAATTTAATACACATCTCACAAGCAAGAAACCGATGTCTTAGAAGCCTCACAGGAGTCACTAAACCTTGACCGCCAAGGGATAAAATGGGCCTCTCAAATCCAGCCTCATCAGCAAATAAGCAAGTGAAGTACTGGAGGCGCCGCTGGTGGTACTGGTTAGAGGTGAAGGTTGCACCTGAAATATTAGTTATCTTTCTCCTAAATCTAAATCTTTTTCAGCAACCAAAACCCGCTCTCCAAAGCTCTTCCTTGTTCCCCACCTTCTTCCTTCCCTACCTAGCTCTGGTTTTCACTAACCAAAAGAAATCTGAAGAGGATTTTTGCTTTTATGACAAAAGGCAAAAATCAGAAATAACATCCTGCGTCTGTCCTGCAGTGATCACACGGGCAGCCACAGGCAGCCCTGCAGCCCCTACCCCGGGAGCTGCTTTCTAGAGGTTGTTGATAGCACTGCTCCTGCTTTTCTGTATGTTGGTGTTATTTTAGGTTTTATGTGTATTTGGTAGGTTATTTTGAGGGTCCCGGCATTCTCAAAAATATTTCCATATTAAGTAATGGTAATTGTTTCCTTGCCATATGCCATGTCAGCTACGAAGGATTTTACAGAAACCCTCTGCTTTCAGAGCCAGGGAACCTGTATTCTCAAGAAGATGGCACTCAGGGAGTAACACTGCCCTCCTGCACGCCACGATCTCGACTCTCCCCCAGGGTCTGACCCTGCCTCTAATAGGCAATGCTGCCAGCCCTTCCAGAGAGTAAAACAGACATAAAATGTCCCTGGAGAAGGGAGCAGTGATCTTACTTTTTAAACCAGCGATGCCTTTTCTTATGTTGTCCCATGTTTTCTGCCACTAGCAGTTTCTGGTTTCAACAGGGCAAAGGGAAAAAACTTTCTACCATGGGGGTAACAGCTGACAGGGCTGGAAGCAATGCAAAATTTTTTCCTTCCCACCATATTTCTGAGTGGGGGATCCAGGATGAAGAGGATTATGTCTTCATCCCAGATATTAAAAATATAAACACACACGCTCTTTAGATCAGTGGTTCTCAAAGAGGGCTGATCTTGCTCCCCGGGGGGCATTTGGGAATGTCTGCAGACATTTTTGGTGTCACCAGCTGGGGTATGTGTGGGGCAGGGCACGACCGGCACGGAGCGGGCAGAGGCCAGAGATGCTGCTCAACATTGCACAACACCTGGGTGGTGCCATGACAGATAATGATCGGTCCCCAAATATGAGTAGTGCCCAGGCCGAGAAACCCTGCTGGGGCCACGGAAGATGTAGTTCAAGTGTGGGTCGGAGAGGATGATGACGATGACTACACGGAGCAGGGTAAGTCCTTTCTCCTTTTCGGATTTCCATTAATCTTAAAGCGTTGCAGTTACTTTAATATTTCAAAACATAAAAGTGGAGGATAGTCAAAATGTCTTCTTTTTTTTTTTTTTTTTACAATTTTTTTTTTTTAAAGAGGCACCTATTTTATTTATTTATTTATTTATACAAGCACTGGGTACAGTCAGAAGCGCGGGAGGGTGAGAGAATTCACCAGAGCCAGAGCGGGGAGCAGAGCAGGCAGAAGGACCGAAGTACACTGCTGAGGGGAGCAGCGGGCGCCAGGAGAGGTCTGCGCGCCATGTGGGACCCTCCTCCGGTGGGCGGGGAGCAGCCGGGGATCGAACCGGCGCCGCAGAGGCCGCGGGGAGCTTTGCAACCCAGCGCTCAACCGCTGCGCCACCGGGGAGGCCCCAAAATGTCTTCTTTTAAGACGACTTCCCTTTGGCACGCCTGCGAAGGTCACGGCAGGCCCTGGGGTGTGGTGCCTGAATCGTGGCCGGAACACATGACTTTATCACGAGTGACCTTTGGACTAACTGCTGGCTGCAAAGAAGGGTTCCGTGCATGCACCCCCCACCCCCGCCCCAATATTCTTATTCCCAAACAAGAACACTAGTGTGGCTTTTCACATTCTTTCTAAAAAGCCTATCTGGAACTGATGTTGTTCTTCCATGAACATTAACAAGCTTGAAGGGCAAGACACACAGCAGATTCCAGAGCCACTTTAGTGACGCCAAGTCTGAAACTACTCACCGCGAAGTGGCTTCTTAGACAAGCTACTTCTAAGATAGAAAACGAAATGGAAACCTTGGGACGGAAGATTTTCCAAATGTGAAAAATGACAGGGGCCTCCCCTGGTGGCGCAGCGGTTAAGCACTGGGCTGCGAAGCTGCCTGCAGCCTCAGCAGCGCCGGTTCGATCCCCGGCCACCGGCGAGGGTCCCACATGGAGCGCAGACCTCCTGTCGCATTCGCTGCCCCCCTCAGCAGTGTGTTTCGTCAGTCTGCCTGCTCTGTTCCCTGCTCTGGCTCTGGTGAATTCTCTCACCCTCCCGCGCTTCTGACTGTAGCCAGTGCTTGTGTATATAAATAAATCTTTAAAAAAAAAAAAAAAAAGTGAAAAATGACAGAGGAGCAAAAGCAAATAACTCACCGGGAGTTATTATGATGACTATTGCATGCTCGGGCCATTAGCACCACAATAATTGGTCGGAAGGCTTTTCCTTTTCCATCAAAGTAGTATTCAGACATTTCCTTAAGTTCTGTTGTAGATATGAATAGTTCCTGAAATAAAGTTTCTCTGTGTCAATATGGCAATATCATTGCACAAAAAGTCAACAGTGCTTCTTTTACAAAACTTTATTTGATTTCAGTCAATTGAGAAACTCAACACTTGGCTGCAAAATGTCCCAACATTGTACAGCAACAAACCTGGCTGCCCTGTGCTGGGCCACAGGTGATGACTGGCTTGGCCTCTGCCACCTAAGCGCTGGGGTAGGCACTGCCTCCTACTCCCCGTGCCTCCGAGACAGCGGTAGGGGAGGAAAGCACAAGGTGAATCCAGGGATTCTGAGTCAGTGGCAGCTGGATAAACAGGGGCTTAGAAGATGGAGAGAGTATGGGGGCAGTGGCTGCTGAGCCAAAGAAGCAGGAGGTCAAGGGGCATTGAGGTAAGACAGCCAAGCTGTGTTTTGGGGCCAAAAGAGAGGTAAGATGCTTCCAGAGAGAAGCAAGGTTCAATAAGTCAGGCTCAACCATTATTTAACAGACATGTCAAAAGTTTAAAAGGAAGCGCGAGATGTCATCTATTAAATACATTCAAAGTTTAGAGAAGGAAAAGAAGGGTGTGGATGAGCAAAAGCAAACATTTCATGGAGGAGAAAAGTTTTGACATGGGATTAAAAGAGAAGCAGGATTTTGATGTGTGAAGAGGGGGAAGTTTCCAGATAGTTGGATCTGCCTCTGCAGGATTTGTTAGAATGAATCAGAGCTGATCCCTGAAGTAGTGGGAGCTCAGCCAGGCTCCGGTGAACACAGCATAGGGGGTCAGTTGTAACTCACTCAGTTATCAACTGAGTGTCAAACATGGCTATACACACGGAGGTTACAAAGATAAATAAGACTGCTCCCTGCCTGCAGGAGCTCACTCCAGAGGGGAGAGGGAACACAGTGCAAACAACACGATGTCCTGCCATGGCTACCTTCGAACACCAAGGGGGTGCCTCTGGGAGGAGGGGAAGGGTGAGAGAGCAACAGAAACGGGGTGGCCTGACCGAGGGTTGTGGGGACTGAAAGCAAGAGACAAATCAGGATGATATGGAGGGAATGGAAGAGCCTTCGGAAGTCCCAGAGCGGTACCTTCAATGAATAGGAAAGACAAGAGAAAAAACAATTTAGTAGGGGAGGCAGACTTTCAGGTAAGTTTGAGATAGTCAGGGACAGTCAGTGGAGTGGCCCAGCCAGCAGTTAGATATATGGTTTTAGGAGAGACAATTCAACGTGGAATAGAAATATTATCTGGGAGTCCTAAGTACGGAAATAGGGAAACTGGGGGGTGGGGGGGGGGGGGGGGCAGGGAGGGAGGGAGAGAGAGAGAGAGAGAGAGAGAGAGAGAATGCACGCTGATAGAATCCTAAGATATGGCAAAGTTAAAGGAAGTGGGACAGAAGTAACTAAGAGGACCCCAGGACAGTCTAAAATTTGGAGAGTGGAGTACAGAAGCCAGGGTTTCCTGGGGGCGGGGAGAGTGGTCCATAGTGTCAAATGTTCAGAAACATCACAGGAGGTAAAAACCTAGTGTCCACTGGTGAGCAGCAGGAAGCCACTGATGACCTGGGCAACTGCAGTTTCGGAGACGAGGCTGGAAAGGATGCCACGGTGCGGCGCTGGCACAGGCGTGAAGGGGCCAAGACAGAGGAAGAGACAACGGGAGTGGAAGGGCAGGCGCGGGACACAGGGCCAAGGAATGCACCTTTACAAGATGAACACGGAGAAAGTGGAGTACGCAGAAGGGATCCAAGAGAGACAACGAGGAGGAGACGTCTGCAGATAGAGGAGAGGAAGAGGCAACTGCTGGAGTAGTTCCCCAGGCCCGGAGCAGGAGGCAAAGGGGGCGCGAGTTCACTGGAGGAAGGGACACATTCACTCCCCGGAGGGAAGGAGGCGAGATGAAGCCGCACACGGTGACAGAGCAGGCAGTGAGGGAGTCCCCCTTTCAGGCCCTCCACTTTGTGGAGTTGCTGTGAAAATAGAAGAGCTGGGTAGGGGCTCAGGAGGTAAGTGGAAAACCTTGGAAGGGGAAGGGAGCTGATGAGAGGTGAGTTTTTCCTATTGCCAACCTGCAATGACTTCTTTCTGGAGGGCAACATGTACGGCAGGGCCCTGCAGCTGTTGCTCAAGAAACATTTTGACACTTGACAAGTGCGAATGCAGCTTGCAAGGGCGCCATGCAGGTCCGTGGCAGGTTTTTCATAGTTCTAAGAAACCATCTTCCCTGCATCACCAGAAGTACCTTACCTTTCTAATGTCCTCATACAGACCTTTCAAGTCTCGCCAACCAAGTTTAAAAGGATCAGTGTATTTCTCACCACTTCGTGTTTTACTACAACAGCACACTGATGATGTTGTGTGATGGAATCTGGGACAAGCAAGAATGCACACGGTGTAAGTTGGAAGGTTGTTTTACTAGGTGAGATAACTTCACTTTTAAGTAGGAATAACAGACAACACACATACACATTTATGCTCAGGTCATGGAGAAATTTAAGTCCAGATAATTGCTGGAAATTAAGCATGAATCCAAAAAGGTTATTATTATTTAGAAAAACGCACAGAATTCTGTTTTTTGCAAAATGACACATCAATTGTTCCTTTTTATAACCAGGACTCTGAGAACTCAGAAAATCAAAGAAAGACTAATCTATATACATTGTATTCTGAGTCGAGTTTAAATTTTATTATGTCCCCATCTTTTGTTAAAGCAGAGATCAGACAGAACAGAGATTGTGGCCCTTAGTTAACAACATATTATATTGGCTGGACTAGTCCCACAACAATTTAGAATTTTTCTGACAACATGATCAATAGGGCTAGAAGCTATAATATGGATTACAAACTTACCGTGATATACTATATACATTTGGAAAGGCAGATGTTAAACTTCTCACAAGATTAAAATAGGATATCTATAAAATGAAAGTAAAAAGAAACATGTAAGTGTATATTCATAAAACACTTATAACACTGGATAAATAAAAACTACAATTCACAATAAATACAAATCTAACTTATTTTAATAAAATATAATAAATATATTTAATAATTTAATAAATATAATTTAATGAAATATTTTAATAAAAATAGATTAGATCATTTATAATCCACTTTATATAATCTATATCTTTATTTCAATGATTTACAGGTAGATTCCAAACTTCAGAAAAATGATACTTAAAAGGTTTAGCCACAGGGCAGCATAATTGTTAAAAGAACAATCTTTAGAAGAGAGATCTCGGCTCAAATTCCAGCATTTTCTGTTTGTGTTATATTGTGACATCTTTCTGATAACACCTACTCATGGAGAGATACCAAGATTAATTGGAAAACTGTGTGTAAGGTGCTGTATTCCGTTAATACCGCTTCTATTCAACCAAGCTATTTTTTTGTTTTAAGAGTAAGGACCTTGGGCCAGTGGTTCCAAAGTGAGGTTAGAGGCACTCAGAAGAGTGGTGCAGTCTTGGGAGGGTGCTAGAAGGCTGCACTTGTCACTACTGGTTGGAGCAACGAGCACTTTCCAGTTCTGAATTTGTTCCCTGCCTGTCATATTCCCCCTGAAAGCCAACCCTGCATTCCATTACTATTTTAAAAAAGAGAAACTGTTGAGAAAAAAAAAAAAAAATCAAAGACTTACAAGTGATTTGGCCCTAGTGTTGTCCCAGTACAAGATTTTTTAACACTAGTAAAAAAGAAATCAGAAGAATGTGCTAGTGGGAACTGGGAGAGGTCACCCCAAGATATGCCAAAATGACACATCATTTTGAAGTTGCTTGAGGAACAGCTGAAGCAGGAAATTCTACCTCCAGCCCCTCCTAAAACCAGGAAATAAATCTCAGGTGTGAAGGGTGCCCTTTGACTGGGAGGGAGAAGGCGTCTATCCCATTGCCAGAGGGGGCTCTCACAGTCTCTTATGTGTGAATTAACTGCTGAATTCCTCACTAAATTAGCATTCAACTTAAAAAATTCCTTGTGCTGTAAATTCCTCACATAGTTACTGCTTTTTGGTCTTAAAAGGCATATACACTGGGTATGTTGGCCACGTCCCCCAGATCCCACAATCACATGGCACCTGCATGCATATGAAATTAAAGTGGTCTTTTTCTCCTGTTAATCTGTCTTGTGTCAATACAATTCTTTTCCAGCAATAAGGGCCTATAAGGGGAGAGGAAGGTTTTTCTTCTGCAGCGGTACAAGCATTAGGTGGCACAGCAGTGTCACAGTCAGATCTGGAGTTACAATTGCTTTGCCCCCCAAGGATTGGGCTTAAGAGACTCAAAGTACCAAAACATGCCTGAGGCAGACTCCGGAAGGCTAATGCACTACTTTATAATAAAAACATGACAGAGGAACAGAAGTATAGGCATTGGCATCCTCAGAGCAGGTCCTCCTGGTGATCAAGGTCAGGGCTGGAAGCCATGGAGCATATATTCTCTCTAGGAAAGTACCCTTTCCATGGCCGAGAAAGTTGCTTGTGGCCATGGATCAAAAAAAAAGGGGCATCGGGCCTCCCCGGTGGCGCAGCGGTTGAGCGCTGGGTTGCGAAGCTGCCCGCGGCCTCTGCGGCGCCGGTTCGAACCCCGGCTGCTCCCCGGCCACCAGAGGAGGGTCCCACATGGCGCGCAGACCTCTCCTGCCGCCCGCTGCTCCCCTCAGCAGTGTACTTCGGTCCTTCTGCCTGCTCTGCTCCCCGCTCTGGCTCTGGTGAATTCTCTCACCCTCCCGCGCTTCTGACTGTACCCAGTACCCAGTGCGTGTATAAACAAAAACAAACAAATAAATAAAAACATGCCTCTATAAAAAGAAAAAAAAAAAAAAGGGGCATCAAAGCTGATGGATGCATGCATCTCTTCAAATATTACCCTCATCTGCCGTACTGGAAATATTTGAAATCTAGCCAGGACAGTAACGAAACGGATCCCAGCCAAGCCTGGGATCCTATCCTATAGGTGCTGGCGCCTATCGTCTCTCCTTACAGCCTAGTCTGCCCAGTAGCCCAGCTGCCCCTCTTTCTCCAGATGTCCTCAAAGGGTGTACTTACAGGTGGTTCAACCTAATGATTTTTCAATTTTATAATGGGTAAAAGTGATATGTATTCAATAGATACATACTTCAAATTTTGAATTAGGGTATTGTTTTTCGCTTTCAGTAGTTTTCAAATGTCTCAATTCTATGAGACATTCAACTTTATTACAAAGTAGACCTTTACATTAGGTAATTCTGCCCAGCTGCCGGCTATTGTAAGTGTCCTGAGCATATTTCAGGCAGACGAGGCTACTTTAATATTTATGATGGCTTTATGGTGGACCCCCATCCTAAGTCAAGAGCGATATGTATATTGTTAAGTCCAGATATACACCTGCTTTGATAGCCAGACATTTATAAATGTTGCATGTTTCATATTAGTAAAAGGTGTTGCCGGATATACATGGACATATAATGTGTGGCAAATGGACTAAAAGAGAAAAATGCTAAAAACAAATAGACTTAAAAAAAATGAGCCTTGCAGAAGAAGTGAACAGTCACACACAGTGACTGTGTCCAGAGAATCTCTAAAAAGGACAGTGAGTCTGGGCCTCTCTGGGGCACAAGGGGTTAAGACACAACCTATGAAGCTATCAGCAGCCACTGTGGCATGAGTTCGATCCCCAGCCAGGGAGCAACCCACAGGGCGCAGCAGACCTCTCCCATCTCACCCGCTGCTCCCCTCAGCAGTGTACTTCAGTAAATCTGCCTGTTCTGCTCCCCACTCTGGCTCTGGTGACTCCTCTCACTCTCCAGTACTCCTGGTCCACACCCCAGTTCTTGTATGCATAAATAAATCTTTTAAAAAAGGACAATGTGTCCATAGATTTTGCTCAGTTATGCCAAACGGCAAGGGCCAGCCCCAAACACAGCACAGTGAGAATTCCTCACTACCAAGCACTGGAAGACTCACAGAAATACAAAAACATGTCCATTTACAGGGGCTAAACTGACCAGAAAGGGCGAAAATGGGGGCCGGGCCCAAAGGCAGCAGGGTTGAGCGTCAAGAGTCAAGGTGAGTGCTGAGAATCTGACTTTACTTCCATAAACCAAAGGTCAAGGTAAAGAGCGCGCTGTCTTCACTCACGACATCCAGTGTCCTTCTACTGCACCGAGGTCCGCTGTCCCCAAAGCACCGAGCCCAGGGCTGTAACCCAGGCCCTCGGCATCACTCCTGCGCTCTCCGCAAGTCCTTTCCCGACCAAAGGCCATCCGGATCTTTCATAATAAGCCTGAGCGCCCCCCCCCTCCTTTCACTCTGAAATTCTAGTTACAACGAGTCCTTCCAAAGCCCTGGCTGCAAGGCGAAAGACTGTAACCTCCAGGCCCCGGGGGACAACCTGACCACTCCTCCTGGGAGTCCCAGAACCCGGTCCCTCCCTTTCCAAGCCCCCAAGGCTCCTCGGTCCCCCGGCCCCTGCTCCGCAGTCCCCTGCGGGGCGCGCCCCTGTCAGGCAGGCGCCGGGCGCCCACCCCCCGCGCCCCCACGGGGCCGGGTGCTCGAGCCCCGGGTCCCGTCCAGGGCAGCCCGGCGGCCGCCCCCAGCCGGCGCGGGCGCCTGGCTCCATTCATTCGGCCGCCGGGCTGTCATTGGCGCGGTGACCTCTGCGCCCCGCCGCCGCGCGCGCCCCCGGCCTCACCTGCGCCCGGGCGTAGGCGGCTGCGCGCGGCCCGGGCGGCCCCGCGAGGCCAGGTGAGCCGCACCCCGGGCTCCGCGCCGCCGGCCTCCAGGAGCAGCCGCGCCGCCAGCGCCACCAGCACGAGGCCATGGCCCGAGTCTGAAAGCCGCGGCGGGCCGGCAGCTCCGCCTCTGACCCGGCAGTCCTCTCCGAGACCCGGAGGCGGAAACCTGGCGCAGGAAGCGCCGCGCCCCACCCCGGGGCCTCCGCGCGCCCCTCCCCGGCTGGAGGGCGGCGCGCGCTCGGGCGGCGGTGCGCGCCTCGCGGTCTCCCGGCCGGAAAAGGGGCGCGGCGGGTGCGCCCCGCTGGCCTGTGACCCCCACCCCGGGGAGCACCTCCGCCTGGCCTTCCGCCCGAGCGACCGTCTCTGCCGAGCCCTGCCCTGCCCGATTTGAGCCAGCGGTGCCCACGCTCCTGGCAGCTGCTGCCTCTGGGCTACCAGCTGTCAGCCGGACGCAGCGCCGGGCGTCGGGCTTGCAGCTCTGAATTTTTCTGCAGGCAGAGAGATGCCTCAAGGAATAGGATCCCGGAGGCTTCGGTTTCCGCAGCTGCTTCTCGTGGGTGTGACCTGCCAGGCCATCGCGGGCTGCTTCTTGCGACAGGACCTGCAAGGAAGTGGCATCCTTTTGTACCTTGCCAGTAACAAGTCAAACTACGGTCAGGGCTATTGTGAAATAGAGGCGAGTTTAGCCTCGTCGCTCAGCTCTTGGACTCTCTCCTCTGAACACCTTTTAGGTATATTGTGCATAACTTGGTAGTCCATCTGGATGTGTGATTCCCATTCTTGGGTGTACGGAGCTTTGATATTTGGTAATGTTGGACCTGCGCGGTCTCCAACTCGGGGTACTGGAGAATGTACAGGGTTGGAGTAACCCAGTATGGGTCACTTCTCTGCTTAGCTCTATAATGAGATCTGCTTCTCTTGTGGTAATGGAAGACTGCTTATTTACAGCACAAATCCCAGAAACACTAGTCATTCAACACTTGCACACAAAGAGCCAATGAAAGAAAGTGTGAGCTCATTAGAGGTACAGAAACAGAAGGAACTTACTCTGTCCTCAAAAAATTCACTCTTAGGAAATAGATCAGCAGTTAGGCAACTGCAATTGTCAAGAGGTTTTTCTTCTAAACCATGGTTTCTTCATTAAAGAGTGAAAGTATCTGTAGTTTAGCATATTATTTTAATGTTTATTTTGAAAGTATTGGTTTTTTGTTCAATAAAAGCATAGAATATGCATAGAAAAAACATAAAATAAGCCAGTTTCATGGGATCCCCTCCTCCCATCTTGAATATCAGGTAAAAACGTGCCAGGTGCTTTACAGGTAATGGTTATTAAAATGCACCTGTAGATGATTTTTATGTAAATTTGATTTATCTATTAAGAAATACGCAAGGGCGAATTTGCCAAAGTAGGCACTATTATTTGTGTTGTAATCCTGTGACTTAGATACTATCATTTGTTCTTTGTTCAGAAAAGAAATTGAGATTTAGGAGAATTGAACATCTTGTCCAAGCTCACAGAGTTACAGCACAGCACTACCCAGTTGTGTCAGGCCATTTTCATTTAGAAATTGTTTACACAGACTAAAAATACCTAGAGCCTTCAAAGATGTAATCTGGCAAGACCCAGTGAGAAAAATATGAAAATTCATGAAGACTTCCCAACATTACATGGTACTGCTAAACTAATGAAAGGACCTGATGTTCAGATCAGAGGAGTTTTTTTTTTTTTTTTTTTTTAAGATTTATTTATTTATTTATACAAGCACTGGGTACAGTCAGAAGCGTGGGAGGGTGAGAGAATTCACCAGAGCCAGAGCGGGGAACAGAACAGGCAGGCTGACGAAACGCACTGCTGAGGGGAGGAGCGGGCGGCAGTAGAGGTCTGTGAGACCCTCGCCCGGCAGCCAGGGATCAAACCGGGGCTGCAGAAGCTGCGGACAGCTTTGCAGCCCAGCGCTCAACTGCTGTGTCACCAGGGGAGGCCCTCAGAGGAGTTTTTTTGACCCAGCTAGGATAAGCATGAGTGGAGGAAGCTTAAAGCATTGTCTGAACTGTGCAGTAACTCCCCAGGCCCACTTTTACACACACTAGACATGATTTTGGTCTTTTTAGCTGTACTTCTACAAAAGAATGAACTCATAAAAATGGAATATGTAATTGTTAGCATTTTTAAAGTTGCATTTTCAACATTGGAGATTTGACTTCACTTAAGATACATTCTATGTGTATGGCACTGAAAAAAATCTGTTGCAGGCCACATTTTACAGCCAGGGAGAGAGTATATATATATGATACCATATACATATTACCTATGTGTTGGTTCATAATACTCTGTAAAACTTCTCCTGATCTTATTAAATAAATGAACAATGAATTATCAAGGCCATTGTGATAAGAACATTTATTGAGAGGAGAGTTTCAAATACAGTTGCACTGAAAGGTTAGCAATTTTTGTGAATTTCATATTCTTTGATAGATCTGAATTCTATCTGATTTAATTTTGGAATTGCTGATTTCTTAATGAAGTTAACATGAAGGGTTAACATACATTTGGAATTTTCCCTTATGACTGATAAGTTGGTTAAAATGTAACAAGGGTGAGGTTTGGTTTAATCTGAAACAGCCTTTTCATGGCCAATGGTCATATTTATGGAATATATCAACATATAGCAAAATGTGTGTCAGTCAGTACAAAAATCCTAACTACCAATGGATCATTATAAACTGCCCATGCTCTACTAAAATGGAGCATTGGAAAAGAAAGTGCATTAATTATAGAATTCAGTCTGTTTCCATATAGAGACTCCTTGAGAAAAAAGAAAATGCACTGTTGGGACTTAGAATCATACATCAGGTTTTCTGTTGAAATCACCTGTGTCTTGGTCAATTGCCCATTTGTTTCCCCATAGTAGTACCTCATTCATTGTGTACTTAAGGGAAAGTATGAGTTAAATCTGGAGGTTTTATACTCACGTGGGGGAGGTATAGGAATACTCTTTTTTCTTTAAGATTTATTTTTATTTTATTTATACAAGCACTGGGTAGTCAGAAGTGTGGGAGGGTGAGAGAATTCACCAGAGCCAGAGCAGGGAGCAAAACAGGCAGACTGACGAAGTACACTGCTGAGGGGAGCAGCGGGTGGCAGGAGAGGTCTGCGCTCCATGTGGGACCCTCGCCGGCAGCTGGGGATTGAACCGGCGCTGCGTAGGCTGCGGGCAGCTTCACAGCCCAGCGCTCAACCGCTACGCCACCGGGGAGGCCCAGGAATACTCTTAATTATGCTAGAACTGACAGTTAATTAACCTAGGTGGACTAAATAGGAGTTATTTCAAACAGCTGAACAAATTGTCATGATGCCACTTTTCGCCACTGATTCAAAATATTATATAGATAATTTTAATATTTGGGCTCTTTATGTGCTTTTTATTGAGTCTCCTTATTCTTTGTATCTATTGTTGGGTAACAATATTTTTAATTATTGTGTTCTTATGATTTTACTATAAGCACACTCTCCCATTTCTCTTATTTAAAAAATTTTGTCTATTTTTCCAGAATTAGTCTAAATTTGCTCCTTAAAAAAAATTCTCACTGGACTTTGATTGGACCTCTATTTTGTTTACTAAATAATTTGATGACGCCAACTTCATTGCAATATAATCTCTATCCAGAAACATAGGTTTTGTCTTCCTCTTTTCTTGTATTTTTAGTAATAAATGCTCCTGTTTGATTTTGTTTTGTTTTAATTGTTTTGGATTAGGAAAACTAATCCAAAGAACTGTACTTAAAAAGTACTGTTTTTTTTTTTTTTGAGTATCTAAAGCATATTCAGAACTCTTTACAGCTTTTAAAATAAAGTACATGTATTTAATGCATGGGCTTAATTAAACAGCTAATCTCATCAGAGGTCATTTGTAAACTTCTGGGTTTGTGGATGGGCATGAATCAAATGTTATGAAGTTTCTGGTGGGGCTGGGAACAGTTCTGCACATTTTAGAAAACATCTAGTGACTAGTATTAGAATTATTTATGGATCTGCTGTCCTTCAATTACTTGTGATTTTTCTGAAGAGCAGGAAAAAAATGTGATTAAAAGCCTACATTTTTTGGTTGGATTCCATTGAACTGGTTAGTTCTATAATTCTAATAGTCATACACCTTGTAATTACATTTCCATCAGCACACTACATATATAGCAGTTGTACCCAAATTCCTGTTACCTGCTGGGGTAGAAGCGTTGTAAGGTCGTAGCATTTTATGCTGCCAGCAGCCTCATTCATCTCGGCTTCCATGTTTCCCCGATAGCAGCATTTTCCCCTTAGGCTTGTGATGTTTTGTTCATCCTGATCCTTAAGTGCACAAATCTGCTAATGTCGCTTTTAAGAGGCCACATCCAGTCACTGAGCCTGAAATGAAATTAAAAGTGACTAAGGATTATGAAATGGAAAACCAGGAGCAGTTACTGCTCACCAATTGGGCATATCCCATGCCATTATCCTGACGATCTTAGAGAACAAAATGAGGGAAGCTGTGAAAGGATCTGCTTTATTGAAAGCAGCAAGACTAACAAAAATACCAGAAAGGACTATGTGAGATACAAGGAAACGTCTCTGACCTGGATTGAAGACCATACACAGAAGCATATCCCTTTTGCCCGCATGTTGGTCAAGGAAGAGTTTGCACGCTGTTTGCACCGTGACAAAAGAAATGCTAACAATGCATCTCTTACCTGTTGTTAAGTGTGTTAAGTGACCCATGACTGCACTGTAATGCAGATCACCTCCGTTTTATTTATATATTCTGATTTACAAATATGTTGTACCTTTTTTTTTAAAGATTTATTTATTTATTTATTTATTTTATTTATACAAGCACTGGGTACAGTCAGAAGTGTGGGAGGGTGAGAGAATTCACCAGAGCCAGAGCAGGGGGCAGAGCAGGCAGAAGGACCGAAGCACACCGCTGAGGGGAGCAGCGGGTGGCAGGAGAGGTCTGCGCACCATGTGGGACCCTCCTCCGGTGGCCGGGGAGCAGCCGGGAATCGAACCTGGCCGGGGAGCAGCCGGGAATCGAACCGGTGCCGCAGAGGCTGCGGGCAGCTTCGCAACCCAGCGCTCAACCGCTGCGCCACTGGGGAGGCCTAATATGCTGTACATTTTTTTGGTCTCCTGTGAATGAAGATTCTTTGAAGATAGGGTATATAAGTCTTGTTTTAAACTTTTTCCATTTCCCTTCCTCCTGGACAGTTCCATATATGGTAGTGTATGAATATTTATGGTTGAAAATGGGAAAGTTGCCTTCAGATAACAAAGTATGAAGAAAATGATGGTTGAATTTTATTGAAAAACCAGAACCTTTCTAAGGATTATTAATGCTGGGTAGGCAACACAAATGAGAGCATTAAGAAGTCTTTTTTTTTTTTTTTTTTTAATCAGCTGTGTTGCCAGTTGATCCTGTTAAAGAGAACTATGTTCGTAAAGTGAAAAACTGTATTTTTTCGATTGCCTTCCCTACTTCTTTCAAATCAAGAGTGCGTCTTGTAGCAGTTTCAAAGGTTAGGCTTTATTTTTTCACAATACAAATACTTCAACTTTTGCTAAAATTTTATTAATTTTTTCATTGTTAATATTGCTAGTCTATTGATAAATGACTATTTTATTTTTAAAATACAGGTACTTGGGGGGTGGGGGGCGGGAGGGGAGGGATTGGGGTCAGAATGGGGGGGTTGCAATTGTATGGGGAATATAAAAATAAAATTTATTATTTAAAAAAAATAAAATAAAATATAGGTACTTGGAGAATATTACACTTAGAAATCACTTTCTAATACTTATCTTGGATCCTAGTACACACTTTCTTAAAGCTATGCTTCAAGGGAAATGCACTTTAATGAAAAATAAAAGAGTGCAAAGAAATTGAATTCTCATCTTAGACATTGAGAGTTGGTCTCTAATTCTAAATTGTTCTCTCATGATATAGATGAATTTGGCATAAAAATAGGACATTTACATTTTGCTAGTTCCTTAAAAGTATATGTTCTAGGAAAAATATTAAAGCTATTTTACCGTGTATCACAAGAAATATACATAAAAATTTTAGATCTAATAGAGCTAATTTTCCCACATAGCATAAATAATGATAGGAAATCCTGGCACATCTTTTATGAAAAGATGTAAAAGTATTTTTTGGCAGAGGCTTATTCTTTTAATTTCTATTTAGTCCTTTAAAAATTATTAAAGGATTGCTTAGGTGTGTAAGAATATTTTTTTCCTGCCTCAGGAAGTTCTGGAAGATATTTTGGACCTTGATTTGTCTGTCTCAGAAACAGATGATTTTCTCCAGCTTGTAAGTGGAGAAAAGATATTATTTGGATCCATTCCATTGGCTCACAGATATGGTGGCCACCAGGTAAGAGTAGCATCCATATCACTACCCTTAAGCAAATAAAAAAAACTTGGTGAAAATGCTCTCTTAGTAAAGAAGTTATTTTGGATTAACTTCTTCAACATCAGCATATTGAGACATTAACGAGACCTTCCAAGAAGAGTATGCCATGGTAAGATGTTAATCGATTAGCTGATGTGATTTGCTATGATAAAACTGGAGCCTAAATATTAAAAAATGAAACTGGGGAACTACAAATGTAAAATTTCTGATTTATTGGTAGACAGCTCGGTGACATTTTGGCAAGAGATTTGGGCAAAATAAAGTGATACAATGTCGATATGAAAGCCTTAGAAGGAACAGTAGATTATAATTTTGCTAAGACATCTATAGAGCAAAGTTTTAAAACTGCTGGAAATGGTTCAAGCAATTAATAAGGCATGTTCTTGAAATAAGGCAAGATCATGAAGAAAGTTTAGAGTGTGGTTATAATGGTAAATGAGACCTGTTCCCTTTTTCAAATTGCTAATACTCTAGGGGAGGTGTAGATAAACATATTTCAGTCACATTTAGATTGTGGTAGGGGTAAGGATAGTAGTTATGAGAATTTATGAGACCAGAAAGGACTTTACTGTCCTGGAAAATCAAAACTTACTGGTGAAAGGAGTATCTGTGTGATAAGTAGAGAGATGTCTAAGCAAAAGAAAAAAATTTTGCCAATATAGTTACTACTATCTTTTGAGCACTTGTGTATTCAGAGTAAAGGCATTTTGCACATTCATTCTTACAGTAATGTGACAAGGCTTATGCCATTTTACAGATTGAAAGATCAGTATTAATGATATTAAATAACTCAAACTTTCGCAGCCAGTAAGTGGCATAACTGAGCATTGAAAAAAACATGTACAAATTTTAACAGAAAAAATTGGAAAGTCGTGCAAGTTAAAAAGCAATTTTTTCTGGTATGTGTGTTCTGACTTACGTTGCATATATATAGTGTAGACAGATTTTTCTACTAGTAAATTTTCCCAGTTTATATTCCATAATTAAATAGATCTAAGTATTCAATATATTTAGCAAATTTGGCTTCAGGTATAAGATGATGAAGAAATTACTTATATATATTAGTTATGTAAATATAACTTGTTTTATTGACTTATTTTATTTTCACCTATATTCAAACTAGATTATTATAATTCTAAAATGCAGTACCCATTCTCAATTTTGACAGAAAAACCTGAGCTAATACAAACTATGAAGGCCAATAAACATGAAGTTTTCTTTTTTCCCTTTTAGTTTGGAATATGGGCAGATCAGCTTGGGGATGGAAGAGCTCATCTTATTGGAATTTACACGAACAGGTACTTCATGTCTTCCTGTGTAATCACATTTCTACTGAATATCAACATGAGTTTTCTAACACTTAGTTTTTTTTTTTTTTTTTAAAGGCTGGGTGAGAAGTGGGAGCTCCAATTAAAAGGCTCGGGAAAGACCCCGTACTCCAGGTATGCTTTCTAACTTTTCCCCATCATTTAAATAAAATTTGATGTTGTCTTAAATATACCTGCAATTTAAAAAAACCTCATATTTCCCACAGAAATGGTGATGGCAGAGCTGTGCTTCGCTCCTCAGTGAGGGAATTTTTGTGCAGTGAGGCTATGCACTATCTTGGAATTCCCACTAGCAGAGCTGCCAGGTAATTCTTTCCTTGAGACTGCCTTTGAGAACTGCATTGTGTTATCTCCAGAAATGCATCAAGAACCTGAACAGATAAATTTCTCTGAGCATAATTTTTATAGTTCTGTACAGTTTGGGTCCTTCACGCTAGCGTGCTAGCAAAGTGTCACTGAAATGTTTGATTCTCTTCCGTTTCAGTCTGGTTGTAAGTGATGATGAAGTATGGAGAGATCAGTTCTACAATGGGAACCCTGCCAAAGAACGAGGTAACTGTTTGGGACACTCACATGAAACGACTCAGTGCTGAAGGAATGACAGGCAGTGGCCATCTTTGCTGTCTTGACAAGCAGCCCAGAGCTCTTTAAGATGTGTCTGTTCCCACCTTCCCTGGATGGGAAGGTGTCCCATCCACTTCAGACAGGGAGCTCTGGAGAGTGAACAAAAAGTTTGTGGACAGTGGGCCAAATGTCACACAGCGAGTACACTGCAGTTTATAGACTTTCTTCCCAGGAGGTCCACGAAGGCCTTTCCTCAGAACCCACTTGCTCTTTGTTTACTTTCAGCCAAGTGTTCAGTTAGTTTCCCCTCAACTCTGAGCAGGTTAGCAGTAAGGACTCAGAGTAAGTGAGCTACAGAGCGTCAATGAGAGGAAAGCCAGGCAGGCCCAGACTCTTTGGGGAGGTTGGGAAACTGAAAGACACTAATAAAATATTTCACTGCTTAAAAAGCAGCGCTCCTGAGAGCCGCGGGGAGCCCTCCATGCTGTCCTGGGTCCCGCGAGTGTCACTGAGTCACAGGGAGGGCCGCGTTTATACTGACATTCTCAGTGATTCACCAAGGGAACGTTTTTTTATTCTTTATACTTAGTGCATTTTTTTTTTAGTGAATAATGTTTTGATAAGATTCTCATAAAAAAGAATTCCTCCCAAGTTTTCATGCTTAAAGGAGTTAAAGGTTATTTATTCCTCTCTCCCCTGTAGTCTTTTCTAGATAAATGACGCTGTTGCACACAGGCCTGTAGCAACCATTTAGGTCTTTGTCTATAGAGCTTGTACTGAGATTCTAAGCACAGAGCAGTACTATGACTGTGTAACAGTATTTAATTTTATGGTTATGATTTACAGATACTGTTCATCTGAATTCTGAGCCACAATCTTAATGGTTTCAAATGGTTCCAAGTATTTCTTCTTTTTTTGACCACCAGCACAATTTCTACTTCTAAATCTTCACATATACAGATATTTCAATTGTACTTTTACCCAGCAGCTACTGTGGTCATGAAGCTAGTGCTGGGGGCAGGGTTGGGAAAAGAATATGTGAAACCTCACACTGGCTGTGTGGGAACTGATTTGTGACTTTGAACAAGTTTCATTTTGACTCTCTGCTGTCTCCATCTGAAGTGAAGGGTTAGACGAGATGATACCTTTCGTGTCTTTTAGCACTAACTTTCAGTGATTCAATGGGTATTCGCTAAGTAAACACTTAGAATAATTTATTGAGCTCTTACAGTTTTTTTCCTAAGTAACTACATAAAGTGACTATGTAAAAAAATATGAAAATAAATATCCAGATTAGTTATTGTGACTAAAACTTGACTATATGGATAATTCAGTCAACCCAGAAAATAGTAATTGACTCTTTCCTGTGCCTACCATTGGTCTAACCTCTAGGGGTCCAGGAGTAGTAAATATATATCATAGTCCCTGCTCTTAAGAAAATGAGGCCAGTGAAAGGAGGATCAGTTTAGTTTTCTGCAAGAAGTGGGGTTTGAACTTGAGCATAAGATTAGGTAGGATGTCTAGAGGGGAGCAGAGGGAGGCATGTGGAACAGGAAGGAAGGCAGCGAGTGTGGGAGGCTGATGAAGGACAAAACGGAATGGAGCTTTTGTCACGAGAATAGACTTCACTCTGACATCTGAACACACGTAAGAGCAGCATTCCTTACAAGAAAGAAGCATGAACTCTGCTTACTAATTTTATTGCTAATACCTGTATTCAGAACAGAGGACGTCAGTAGAGACTGCGAAAGCAACAGCAGAATACATAGATTCACTGTATTTCTTTAGTATATTCGTGAGTATAACATATTCAGACCTCTATTGAAGTTAAATTTCAGTTAGTGAAACAAATGGGGTCACCTGCAGGAACTATGCCGTAGAAATACTTCATTCATCCCTATTTTAGGATGAGGCACAGGAAGGTTGATGTGACACAAAAGGTATCATCTAGTCTAACCCCTTCAATGGGAATCTGAAGTTTGTAGCCTTTGGCTGTGTTGGAACCTTGGTGTTTTGAAAGTGTAGTTCCTAACATTCTGATCCTGACTCTTAAAGAAAAAGAGAAGGATCCTTGATCCTTTGCAGTGTATAAATTAGTTGTTTTTCTGATAAAATTTATTTATTAAAATAATTTCATTCTCATGAGAAGCATATGCTGTCTTTATATTGTTTAAAATAGTTATGCTAAAATAAATGTTTCTTTTTTAGGTGCAGTAGTGCTGCGAGTTGCAAAATCTTGGTTTAGAATTGGATCATTAGAAATTTTGGCTCATCATGGTGAATTTGATTTACTGAGGTTAGAAAGTGCCCTTTTTTTGAATGATAGAAGACAATTAAAAATTATTTATGTAGTTTATTATTTATGTACTGCAAAGTTAAAACTCTTTTTGGTTTTCTTATACGTAAAACCAAAAATTTCAACTAATAACTATTTTTTAAAAAGATTTATTTATTTATGCATACAAGAATTGGGTTGTAGGTCAGAGGTGTGGGGGGCTGAGAGGATTCACCAGAGACAGAATGGGGAGCAGAACAGGCAGATCTACTGAAATACACACTGAGGGGCGAGACAGGAGAGGTCTCCTGCGCCATGTGGGTTAGCTCGGGATGGAACTCAGGCCATAGTGGCTGGCCGTAGCTTGGTAGTGCTGAGACTTAACCTCAGTACCACCAGAGAGGCCCCATTAATAACTATTTTTAACACTTGCTGTGTTCTTCAAACCATGTGGATTTTCTAGGTGGTTAAAAAGAAGGAGTTTCCTATCCAGTGTACAGTCCAGCTATGGCTGAGCACCTCCGTGCCACTCAGAAGCCTGAGTGACAATGACTCAGACTCCTCAATTCTGCAGCCTCAAGAGGCCCAGATCTCTCCTCCTAACTCCTGGGCCTCCCCGGGAGCAGCCTCTGTCTCAGGTCTCTTCTTTCTTGGACATTGGGCTGACCCAGATATGAAACTCAATTCTCTAACAGAACGCAAACACAGATGACAGACTAAATTCACACAAAGGATTTAAGAACAGAGTATATCCAACTGAAGATTTCTGCAGGGAAGGCAGAGAAAAGGTGGCTGCTTCAAAGAGCAAAAACAATAAATTCTCCCCTCCTGTCACGCAGTTTGCCGCCAACCATCTCATACCTTGGCGCTTTCGGGGTCTGTGCTCACAAAGTCCTGTCTTCCTCAAGCAGACTTAGCAAGATATTTCTTTGAACAGAAGCATTTCCTCCGTGAAGAGGAATTCAATTTCCATTTGTTAAGATAGTATAATAGTTATAAAAAGTATTTGGAAATATGTGAGAAATATTTTCTTGCAAAAGCTAGAATCACTTGGAATGTGTCCTTTTTGGTAGTTATCAGCTTGGTGAATCTAGGTACGTGCCCCACAAAGAATATACTTTTTTTTAAAAAATTTATTTATTTTTGTACAAGAACTGGGGTACAGGCCAGAGACGTGGGAGGGTGAGAGGATTCACCAGAGACAAAGCGGGGAGCAGAACAGGCAGAAGGACTGAAGACACTGCTGAGGGGAGCAGCGGAAGAGGCAGGAGAGGTCTGGTGCGCCATGTGGGTTTCTCCCTGGAGGGCCCGGGAATCAAACCTGCGCTGCAGAGGCTGCAGACAGCTTCACAGCGCGGCGCTCAACCCGCTGCGCCACTGGGAAAGCCCGCCACAAAGAATATAGGCAGAAGAGACATGAGGGAAATAAAGCAGAGATGTCATCACTCTGTCCGTGCCTGCTTCCTGTGTCTCCTCCTTAAAGAGTTCATGGTCATCCTCCACTTGTTCAAAGGGTTGCTAATCTCTTTGGGTATTATTTATAACTTCACATTTGTTTTGGGGGTCATGTCTGTTTGAATCCACCGTGTCACTGAAATTCTTCCATCTGGTAGTCATACTTTGTAGCTTATGTATCTGTCCGCATCGGATGTATATTGCTGACCACCATCCTTGAAATGTCTTCACCGGCTAACATGACATTCCACTTATATACAAACTCTAATCCTTTCCTATGGTTTTGATTGGTGTTCATTCCAAATCATATCTACAACCCCCATTTTTTTTCCAATGAATTTTCTCTTCTCCAATGCAGTCAACATCAGTACTTAGCTAGCTAGAATAGTCTGATAAAAAAGAGAATACATAATATGATTCATGTGCACCTTAAATATTTTAACTTCAAACATTGTCATTTTTTGGTCACCTCATTTATGAACCCTCCATGTATAAATAATCGTTTCCTGCTCTGTTATCTTTATACTTTTTGTATATTTCAGTTGTTGCTTTTTTTTTTTTTAGACTGTAACATCATGTGTCCTTCTTCCCTAATAGACTCTGTGCTCTTTGAGATCTGGGCCTGGGTCCTTACCCTTCTCTTTTCAAGAGTTAAACAGGGTGTGGCTTATGGCAGGTGCAGTAGGATGTTTGCGGAACTAATCTGAATTTGTAACCTAGTAAGGTAGAATGTACTATGATCTTAGAAACACATTTTCAGTTTTGATTGGTATTGAGGAAATATTTCTCTTTGGCTGTTTTGGGAGTAAAATCTTATTGCGTTAATTTGAAAACGTGAACCTTGAAAAATGAACATTCAAGGGGAGTTTAGGTGATTGGATATGGAATACTGTCTCCTGAGGGACACTCACTAAGCTCTCCTTTTTATCTCCAGAACATTACTAGACTTCATCATATGGGAACATTTCCCCTCTTTAGATGTCAAAGAACCTGATAGATATGTGGTACGTTTGTTTGGTTTTTTCCCTTTTAAGTCAATGAGTGCATTCTAACAGAATCTTGAAAGGATCCAAATAGGTCTTTAAAAAAAAAAAAACAAATCACTTCTTGGCCTTTTGGCTAAGAGCAAGTGTAAAAAAACAAAACTTTTTTTTTCTCCTTTTATTTTTTCCTTACAAATCCCGTGTCAGGGCTGAATGTCAATAGATTGCAGCGAGGGAGCTGCTCTGCTAAAAATTTCATTTTTTAAAAAACCCAAGTGTTTTTTTTTTTTTTCCCCTTACCACCATTCCTTATACAGCTTTCACTGTTCTTTCCTCCCTCATCCCCCTTACCTGAGAAACCTCACTTTGTCTATGTATATCTGCTGGTTTATAATTGCTTTGCTTTGTCAGTTGATCCATGATTCCTTGTTTTACTCATATTTGTGAAAATGTCCAGTATTTGTCCTTCTCTTTCCCGCTTGCTCTATTGTCCATACTTCCCTTGACTTCCTTCCATTTTGCTGTAAATGGTGACATTTCATCTTTCCTTGCCACTGAATAGTGTTCCACTGTGTGGATAGTCACATCCTCTTTATCCCATCCTCTGTCAGTAGCCACTCAGGTTACTTCCAAATCCAGCTATTGTAAATAATGCAGATACGTGGTAGGTTTTTCAAGAGAAGGGGCATTCTCTGCCTTCTCTCATTGGCTTGCGAACATTAGTAGTACAACTTAGAATTTAAAAAACCAAAATTAGGAAAAGAAATACAGAGTTCTTGGAACATTTCATTAAAGAAAAAAAATGAACCACTTTGTAAATAAGATGTAAATAAGGTTTTGTTTTTTTTTTTTGAAGATTTATTTATGCATACAAGAACTGGGGTGTAAGTCAGAGGTGTGTGTGTGAGGGGGTGAGCGGATTCAACAGACAGAGCGGGGAGCAGAACAGGCAGATTTACTGAAACACACTGCTGAGGGGAGCAGCGGGCAAGACAGGAGAGGTCCGCATCTCCTTGTGGGACCCTTGCCTGTCGGCTGGCCGGGGCTCAAACCGGCTCTGCAGAGGCTGCGCACAGCTTTACAGTGCTGCACTCAACCGCCTGCACCACCAGGGGAGGCCCCATTTTCTTACATATTTAAGAGCTCCATTTTGTTAGCTATTGTTTGGCCCACCTTTGAATTCTTCTCTGGTTCTTCTTGTCAGTAGATCTTAAGAGAGTATTGCTGCTGAAATTCTGAAGAATTTTTTATTGCATTCTAGGAATTTTTTTCTGTTGTGGTCTCTGAGACAGCACGACTTATTGCCTTGTGGATGTCTGTTGGTTTTGCTCATGGTAAGTTACCTACTGATTTTTCATCCTTTTCATGGGAAAGTAGAATTAAATTGTTGAAGTAGCAGATTTCTTCTTTTGTGAGTTTTTAAATATTACTGTTGATAAGCATCTTAACATTTTTGACGTAAGAATTTGTATTTAGCGACAGAGAAATAGTCTTGTGTTTAAAACAGTTTTGAATGAGCAGCATACACTAAACAGAATCAGCATCCTCATTTTGATGAGAATGTTACCTGTACAGCGTTTAACCATAGGATTCCATGTGTGAATATATATATTAGATCTAGATCACTTGAAAATTATTTTAAAAATCTTAGTTATAAAAGCACTACTTGGTTATGGTAGAGAATTTAAAATACATAGAAGAGAGTGTGAGTTCCGTTCTCCAGTGTAATCATTATTAACTATTTCATATCAATTCAATGGTATTCCTGCATTGAATTTCCTACAAAAGCAGTAGGACTGGCTTGTGTATTGAGGTCGTTCCCTGTATGGGATGGCATTGGAGGGAATGTCTGCCTACTAAGAGTAACTGAGAAACAAGTCATATATATATAAAGTCTGCACTGCTACTGGCCTGCAGCTAATGATGTCCTGAGGGTACATATCCACCTTTTTACCTATTCCCTTTTTCACAGTCTTTGAAAATTAATTAAACAAATTCCTTTACTGCCATTCCAATTTTTTTTTTTTTTAAATAGAGGCATGTTTTATTTATTTATTTATTTGTTTGTTTTGTTTATACAAGCACTGGGTACAGTCAGAAGCGTGGGAGGGTGAGAGAATTCACCAGAGCTAGAGCAGGGAGCAGAGCAGGCAGAAGGACCGAAGTACACTGCTGAGGGAAGCAGCGGGTGGCAGGAGAGGTCTGCGCGCCATGCGGGACCCTCCTCTGGTGGCCGGGGAGCAGCCGGGGATCGAACCGGCGCCACAGAGGCCGCGGGGAGCTTCGCAACCCAGCGCTCAATCGCTGCGCCACCGGGGAGCCCCGTCATTCCAATTTTTAAATCTAATTTTAGTGTTTCTTAAACTATTTGACTTCACCAGTTTAACCATTCAATTGATAATCTAATTTTATTTCATTTTTAAAGTAAATGCGTTTCCTATTCTGGATAATTTTTTATAGTTAAAATGCTTTTTATTTTATTTTCATGTGTTTGGACTTTTTATTATTGTTTTAGGTGTTTGTAATACTGATAACTTCAGTTTGTTATCCATTACAATTGACTATGGTCCATTTGGTTTCATGGAAGCTTATAACCCAGGTAGGTATGATTTACACACACACACACATACCTTATTATAGTTAATAAGTCATCACAAATTCACTTTAGATAACTGCTATATCTAATATAATGATGGCATAGTAGAAAGAATTGGGTTCATTCATGAAATAGTGATTTATATGCCCCTCACACTTCCAGGGTGCCATAGAGATACAAAAAGAAGTCCTCTGTGGTGTCTGTCCTGAAGCATTATGTGCCAGTAATGATTACATGGAGAGAAGTAGGAGTGTGTTGTCAGGTGGATGTGGGTTTGTGTCCTGGCATCTGAACCTTAATGGCTCTGAGCCTTACAGAAGTTACTTAATCTCTCACTCTCGTAATCTATAAAGTATAATAGTCCATACTTATCATTGGAGGGATCAGAGGAGGCTCTCTGGAGGGCATGCTACTTAATTGGAATTTGAAGTACATGTTTGATAACCTGGAAGTTTCTGTAGATTAGAAATGTATTCCTCCCATTAGGCAGATCTACATATTTGAAAAGATTCTAATGTGTGTGGGTATTAGTGTTTATATTCCTTTTGATTTGAAGGTTTAATGTCAGAAGGATTTTTATTTAATAAGTATAACTTTATTAAGTTTAACTATAAACAGAAATGATAAAAGAAACTATTTACTATTATTATTCCCATTATAAATGATGGTATTTTATTTTAAACAGATTTTGTACCAAATACATCTGATGATGAAAGAAGATATAAAATAGGAAATCAAGCTAATGTTGGGATGTTTAATTTAAAGAAGTTATTACAAGCACTAAACCCATTATTGGATCCTAGGCAAAAGCTACTGTGAGTCAATCATAAATCTACTGAATAAATCTGTTTGGAAATTTGTATAATGATTTTTTTGGAAAAAAATAACATTTAAAAAACCATCTTATTATTTAGTCTTTAATAATGAAGGCATTTCAAACTACATATTTTTCTATAGTACAGTTTTGGCCTTATTCTGTTAATTACCAGATAAAGTATTTTCCTATTTATTGCTTTTTTTAGGTGTTATAAAATTTTAGTTTATTCTTAAATTGAAGGATTATTTAATCACTATACTTTTTAATTTCTAAGTGGTTAAAATTATTTTGTCTATACTTTCACAATCAAATAATATGTTTGATAAAATCTACTATTAAAAATGTGCTTAGGTTATTTGGTGGCCCAACATAGTAAGTTTTTGTATGTTTCATAATCATAAAAATATGTATGTACTGTATGGTCAAAGCTTTTAATATAATACATTGAGAACGTATCCATTGTATTATTCAAGTCCTTTATGACCTATTCACTTTTATTTACTGGATAAGTATGAATTGTAAGATGTGTATTAAAATCTCCTACCTTAATTGTATTTTTCAAGTCCTTTTCTCTAATTGTTTTATATTCTCTTTTGTTCTGTTTATATATTTTACTATTGTATCATTGGTATGTACAGGTTTTTAAAAATTTTATATATATTTTACATCATTCTTCTTTTTTGTGCAGGGTATGCTTTCTCCTCTAAGGTGTCGTAGGGATGACAAAATTCCCACCACCAGTTCACCCGTGCGCCATCACCATAGTCCCTTGTGCTCTTCCCTCCCCTGTTTTGATCCCTCTCCCTCCTGCTCCCCTGCAGAATATCTCTGATTTATAGTTGCCTGTTAATTTTGTTTTTTAATTTATTATGATTATTTTTTTCTTGACCTCTTATTTCGTTCCCCTACATTCCTCCTACAAGTGAAACCTTCTGATATTTTTCTTTCTTTCTGACTTATTTCACTGAGAATAATACCTTCCAGCTCTATTCATATTGCTGCAAATGGCATGAGTTTATCTTTTTTGATTGCTGAGTAATATTCCATTGTGTATAGGTATATAAATGTTTTGTTTCAATTAAAACACATTTAAGAATGTTATGAAAATATAGTTTAAGGTAAAAAACCTTAATTTTTGTGTTTGTATGAAATATTTCACTATATTTTCATATGTTCAGACAAATAATTATTGTGTTGGCTAAGGTATTTATAATGTATTAGTTTGGGCTGAAGGTAATTTAAAAAATACACAAAAATCCATTTATTTAATTGTTTTGGTGTTATAGAGACATCAACATTTATCCTATAAGCTACTTGTATATCCTAATATTTCAGGAGTGACATAATTTGATCTGTACTCAAATCATGGAGGCAGTAAATTCTGACAATATTCTGTAGGACATGATAAATAATTATCACTAGGCCAGATACAGTAGTATATTATTTAACAGGCTACTGTAGTATTATTTAATGTACAAGAAGATTCACTTTGTTCTTATAAAAGGTGATTTAGGGCCTCCCTGGTGGTGCAGGTGGTTGAGCACAGCACAGTGAAACTGTCCACAGCCTCTGCAGTGCCGGTTCAATCCCCACCAGCCACAGAGATACCCGCATGGTGCGGCAGACCTCTCCAGTCTCACCCGCTGCTCCCCTCGGCAGTGTATTTTGTCAGTCTGCCTGTTCTGTTCCCCACTCTGCTCTGGTGGATCCTCTCACCCCCCTCAACTCTGGCCTGTACCCAGGTTCTTAAGTAAATAATTAAATCTTAAAAAAAAAAAAAAAAGTGATTTAAAGATGTTGATTTTGGGCCTCCCTGGTGGTGCAAGGAGTTAAGTCTCAGCACTATGAAGCTATCTGCAGTCACTGCAGCATGAGTTCGATCCCCAGCCAGGGAGCTAACCCCCATGGTGCAGCAGACCTCTCCTGTCTTGCCCATTGCTCCTTAACAGTGTATTTCAGTCAGTCTGTCTGTTCTGCTCCCCACTCTGTCTCTGGTGAATCCTCTCACCCTCCCACACCTCTGGCCTGTACCTCAGTATGGCCTGTTCTTTGTATGCATAAATAAATAAATCTTTTTAAAAAAGGATGTTAATTTTAAATCAAGGTTTAACTGTCTTTTCTTTTTTTTCCCTCTTTAGTGCTGCTCAAATTCTTGAGGGATATCCAGTTATTTATTATACAAGGTTTGTCCTTTTTGAATATATAATCAATCATATTGGTTGGCTTGAGGGGAATTCTTAAAACAGTGAGAACCTTAATAATGAATTGACATTTCTCATTTTAGATTTAGGGAGTTGTTTAAAGTCAAACTGGGATTACTTGGAGAAAGTAAGGATGATAATGACCTAATTGCATTGCTGTTACATGTAAGTTTATTATTTTATCTTTCTTCTGATTAACATGTGAATTACTATTCAGCATATTCTTGAGGAATAGAGACTGATACATGTAATTATTTTCATTAGCTCATGGAAAAGACAGAAGCTGATTTTACAATGACGTTTCGGCAGCTCAGTGAGATTACCCAAAGCCAGTTACTGGAGCTCCACATTCCTCAGGTATTAACTTGTGGCATTTGATTCTCTTCTTAATTCAGTTTTCTTTAACAGGTTTATTGACATATAATTTATATACCAGAAAATTGCACTCCTTTCAATTGTGCAAATCCAGTGATTTTCAGTAATTTACAGATTTGTGTCAGTAAGACCACAATTTAATTTTAGAGCAGTTCCATCTTTTTAAAAAGATCCCTCTCCTTTCTTGCTGGAGACTGTGTGCACCAGCAGAAGGCTCACCAAGGAGACAGAGGTAAGCTGGGAGGCTTGCCCATGCTGGGCGCCTTCTAGCCTGCAGTTCCAGCCCAGAGGGGAGCAGCACCCACCGCTGGGGCAGACCAGGCGTGCAGGGGAGCGCGTCGCCGGCACCGGCATTTTGCAGCAGGGACCCTTCTTGCTGGAGACTGTTTGAACCCAGCAGAAGGCTCACCGAGGAGACAGAGGTTAAGCTGGGAGGCTTGCCCACACCGGGCACCTTCTAGCCTGCAGTTCCAGCCCAGAGGGGAGCAGCACCCACCGCTGGGGCAGACCGGGCGTGCAGAGGAGCGCGTCCCTGGCTCTGGCATTTTGCAGCAGGGACCCTTCTTGCTGGAGACTGTGTGAACCCAGCAGAAGGCTCACCGAGGAGACAGAGGTTAAGCTGGGAGGCTTGCCCACACCGGGCACCTTCTAGCCTGCAGTTCCAGCCCAGAGGGGAGCAGCACCCACCGCTGGGGCAGACCGGGCGTGCAGAGGAGCGCGTCCCTGGCTCTGGCATTTTGCAGCAGGGACCCTTCTTGCTGGAGACTGTGTGAACCCAGCAGAAGGCTCACCGAGGAGACAGAGGTTAAGCTGGGAGGCTTGCCCACACCGGGCACCTTCTAGCCTGCAGTTCCAGCCCAGAGGGGAGCAGCACCCACCGCTGGGGCAGACCGGGCGTGCAGAGGAGCGCGTCCCTGGCTCTGGCATTTTGCAGCAGGGACCCTTCTTGCTGGAGACTGTGTGAACCCAGCAGAAGGCTCACCGAGGAGACAGAGCAGGGACCTGTCTTTGCTGGAGACTTGTGAACCCAGCAGAAGTTCCCCAGAGGAGCCAGTGGTGAGCTGGGAAGGTCGCCCAAGATGCCGGCCAGTACCAGCAACACAGTGTCACAAGGAATACGGCAAATTAGAAAACAGGCAGTAGGGAGTAGAAAAACAACATGCAACCCAGCAACTCCTCAGCAAAATAGCACACCACAAAAAGAAAACCATCTACCAGATTGCAACGACAGTAACTTGGAAGAACTTCTGAGCCTTCCAGATAGAGAATTTAAAATTGCTGTGATTAAAAAACTGACAGAAGTCATAAAGGAAAACAATGATAAGGGGAAAATAATTAATGACCAGAAGAATGAAATTGAGTCCCTAAAGAGGGAAGTAAAAGAAATGCAGGAGATCAAAGAATTAATGGAGACGCTAAAGAACTCTGGGAAAAGCAGTGAAAGCAGAATAGATGAAATGGAAGAACGAATAAGTACTCTTGAAGACACAGAAATAAAAAGAACTAAAACAGAAAGGGAAGGAGAAGTACGAAGGAAAAAGACCGAAGAAAGACTTCGGGAACTATCTGACTCCATGAGGAAAGGAAATATAAGAGTTATAGGAATCCCAGAAGGAGAGGAGAGAGATGTAGGAACAGAGAAAATATTCATGGATATAATTGAAGAGAACTTCCCAAACGCTAAGAAGGATCTGAAAATTGATATAAAAGAAGCAAGAAGAACACCAAACTTCCATGACGAAAGGAAAAATACAGCAAGACACATAATAGTAAAGCTCCCAAGAATCCAAGACAAAGAAAAAATAATGAAACTAACAAGAGGGAAGAAACAGATAACATTCAAAGGGAAACCAATCAGACTGACATCAGACTTCTCTGAAGAAACACTACGGGCAAGGAGAGACTGGAGGGACATAGTCAACAGACTCCAAGAAAACAGATGCCAACCAAGAATACTCTATCCCGCAAAGCTCTCCTTCCTCTTTGAAGAAAGAATATGGACCTTCCCAGACAAACAGAAACTCCGGAATTTCATTGCGACTAAACCCCCACTCAAAAAAATACTACAAGGAATCCTAAAGCCAGAACCTCAGAGGGACAAATAACAACAAAAGAAGGCCAAAGAAATTTATTAAAAGAATAAATAAATAAAATCAAAGGAAAGACAAACACAATGGCAAATACAGATGCTAACATATCAATACTAACTCTAAATGTAAATGGACTAAACTCTCCAATAAAAAGACACAGAGTTGCAGGCTGGATTAAGAAACAAAACCCAACCTTTTGCTGTCTCCAGGAAACACATTTAGCTGCAAAAGATAAAAATAGACTCAAAGTTAAAGGATGGAAAACAATTCTACAAGCAAATGGACCAAAAAAGAAGGCAGGAACAGCTATACTCATATCAGATAAAACAGATTTCAAACTTAAAAAGATAAAAAGAGACCCCAGTGGTCATTACATTATGATCAAGGGGATAATACTTCAAGAAGAAATAACACTCATTAACATATATTCACCAAACGAAGGAGCACCAAAATATATCAGACAACTATTGGCATCTCTGAAAACAGACATCAGAGAAAACACATACGTAGTGGGAGACTTCAACACACCACTATCAACAATGGATAGATCAACAAGACAAAAAATAAGTAAAGACACTAAAGCTCTAAATAAGGATCTAGAGTGCTTAGGCTTAACAGACATATATAGAACACTAAACCCAAAAAAATCTGAGTATACATTTTTCTCAAGCGCACACGGATCATTCTCTAGGATCGATCATATACTGGGCACAAGACAAACATCAACAGATACACCAAGATTGAAATCATACCAACCATCTTTTCTGACCATGAAGGCATCAAACTAGAAATAAACCATAAAGAGAAGGCAAGGTATTCTCCTACCTCGTGGAGATTGAAACCCACACTACTGGAAGTCCACTGGACTAACGAGGAGATAAAAGAAGAAATTAAAAAATTCTTTGAATTGAATGACAAGGAGGACACCAATTTCCTAAATGTATGGGATGCAGCAAAAGCAGTAATAAGAGGAAAATATATAGCAATAGATGCTCACATCAAGAAACAAGAAAGAACTCAAAGAAACAACCTAATCTCGAAACTCAAAGATCTAGAAAAAGAACAACAAAAAAGCCCCAAAACCAGTAGAAGAAAAGAAATAATAAAAACCAAAGCAGAAATAAATGAAATCGAAACTAAAAAAACAATCCAAAAGATCAATGAAACCAAGAGCTGGTTCTTCGAAAAAATAAATAAAATAGATAAACCCCTTGCCAGGCTCACAAGGGCAAAAAGGGAGAAAGCACAAATAAATAGGATAATAAATGAAAGAGGAGAAATCACAATGGACACAGCAGAAATCAAAAGAATTATTAATAACTACTATGAACAGTTATATGGAAACAAGTTTAACAATCTAGAGGAGATGGACAAATTCCTACAACTCTACAATCACCCAAAGCTAGATAAAGAAGAAATAGAACACCTAAACAGACCAATTACAATTAGCGAAATTGAAATGGTAATCAAAAACCTCCCCAAAAACAAAAGCCCAGGACCTGATGGATTTACAAATGAATTCTACCAAACATTCAGAGATGAATTAGTGCCTATCCTTCACAAACTCTTCCAAAAAATTGAGAAGGAAGGTATAATACCTAACACGTTCTATGAAGCCAACATTACACTAATACCAAAACCGAACAAGGACAACACAAAAAGGGAAAACTACAGGCCAATCTCCCTAATGAACACTGATGCAAAAATCCTCAATAAAATTTTAGCTATCAGAATCCAACAGTGTATCCATAAGGTAATTCACCACGACCAAGTAGGATTCATTCCAGGGACACAAGGATGGTTTAACATCCGAAAATCAATCAACGTTATCCAACACATCAACAAAAAGAAATATAAAAACCATATGATAATATCAATAGATGCTGAGAAAGCTTTCGACAAAGTGCAACACCCATTCATGATAAAAGCCCTTGAAATTCTTGGGATACAAGGAACGTACCACAACGTCATAAAGGCCGTATATGACAAGCCAACAGCCAGTATCATTCTCAATGGTGAAAAGCTGAAAGCAATTCCATTAAGATCTGGAACAAGACAAGGATGTCCACTTTCACCACTGCTTTTCAATATAATACTGGAAGTCCTAGCCAGAGCAATAAGACAAGAGAAAGACATCCAAGGAATCCAAATAGGAAAAGAAGAAGTCAAACTATCACTCTTTGCAGATGATATGATAATATACATAGAGAACCCCAAAAACGCCACAGAAAAACTAATTCAACTCATCAATCAGTTCAGTAAAGTGGCAGGATACAAAATCAACACGCAAAAGTCAGTAGCCTTCCTATATACAAACAATAAATCTGAAGAAGAAGAAATCAAAAAAACCATCCCTTTTATTATTGAAACAAAAAAAATCAAATATTTGGGAATAAATCTAACAAAAGAGGTAAAGGACCTATACAAAGAAAACTATAAAACACTGTTAAAAGAAATAGAAGAAGACACAAAGAAATGGAAAGACATCCCCTGCTCATGGATTGGGAGAATAAACATTATTAAAATGGCCATCCTACCAAAAGCAATATACAGATTCAATGCTATTCCAATCAAAATTTCAATGTCATTCTTCAAAGAAATAGAACAATTATTGATGAAATTCATATGGAATCACAAAAAACCCCGAATAGCCAAAGCTCTCCTGAAAAAAAAAAGAAGGGAATGGAGGCATCACACTCCCAGACTTCAAACTCTACTACAAAGCCATAATCATCAAAACTGCATGGTATTGGAACAAGAACAGACATACAGACCAATGGAATCGAATAGAAAATCCAGAAATAAACCCACAGATTTATGGTCAACTAATCTTTGACAAAGGAGCAAAGACTATGCATTGGAGCAAAGAAAGTTTGTTCAATAAATGGTGCTGGGAAAACTGGGTCGCTACATGCAAAAGAATGAAGCTTGACCACTACCTCACACCATATACAAAAATCAACTCAAAATGGATTAAAGAACTAGACATAAGACCTGAAACCATAAAATACATAGAAGGAAATATAGGCGAAACACTACGTGATTTGCATATCAAAGACATCTTTACAGACACATCACCCAAAGCAGTGATAGTGAAGGCAAAGATCAACAGCTGGGACTACATCAAATTAAAGAGCTTCTGCACAGCAAAAGAGACAATAACAAAAACAAAGAGAAACCCCACCAACTGGGAGAAAATTTTTGCACCCAACACTAATGATAAAGGACTGATCACAAAAATCTGCAAAGAGCTGATGAGACTCAACAACAACAAAGAAAATAATCCAGTCAAAAAATGGACAGAGGAACTAAAAAGAAACTTCTCTGAAGAGGAAATGCGAATGGCCAACAGGCATATGAAAAAATGTTCAACATCACTTGCAATCAGGGAAATGCAAATCAAAACTACCATGAGATACCATCTTACACCAGTGAGAATGGCACATATTAAAAAACTAGCAACAACAAATGGTGGCGAGGTTGTGGAGAAAAAGGAACTCTTGTGCACTGTTGGTGGGAGTGCAAACTGGTCCAACCACTATGGAGAGCAGTATGGAGATTTCTGGACCTACTAAACATAGAGCTTCCACAGGATCCAGCAATTCCACTCCTAGGTATTTACCCAAAGAACACAGAAACATCAATTCCAAAGAACACCTGCACCCCTATGTTTATAGCAGCACTGTTTACAATAGCTAAGCTTTGGAAACAGCCCAAATGCCCAAAAATAGATGACTGGATCAAGAAGATGTGGTACATATATACCATGGAATATTACTCAGCATTCAAAAAAGATAAACACATGCAATTTGCAGCAACATGGATGACGCTGGAAGGGATCATGCTCAGTGAAATAAGCCAAAAAGAAAAAGAAAAATACCGGATGGTCTCACTCATAGCAGGGATCTAGAAAACTTAAATAAGGGACCAGGAAAATGAATAACTATAAGAAAGTGAAAATCAAAATCAACAAAAACTATGAACCAGAGACACTTTTTGGGGGGTGGGGGGCGGGAGGGGAGGGATTGGGGTCAGAATGGGGGGATTGCAATTGTATGGGGAATATAAAAATAAAATTTATTAATTAAAAAAAAAAAAAAAAAAAAAAATAAAAAGATCCCTCTGCCCTTTTGAAGTCAGTCTCTAGCTCCCAGCTCTAAGTGACTACTAGTCGACATCCTGTCTCTCAAGGTTTTTACTTTCTAGACTTTTCCCATGAATGGAAGCATATATTATGTAGTCTTTTGCATTTGGCTGCTTTACTTAGCAAACTTTTGATGTTCATCTGTGTCCTAACCTATGTCAGTAAGTTCTTTCCTTATTATTATTGGGTAGAATGTTGTTAACAAGGATTTTCATGAATTTGAATTTTAGAGTTGAATATTAAATAAAGAAAAGGAAAATGTTTTTTCCTTTTTTTTTTGTACTACTACTTGAAATTTGGATATTGAGGGCCTCCCCAGTAGCACAGCGGTTGAGCGCTAGGTTGTGAAGCTGCCCACAGCCTCTGCAGCGCTGGTTCCATCCCTGGCCACTGGCGAGGGTCCCATATGGCGCGCAGACCTCTCCTGCCGCCCGCTGCTCCCCTCAGCAGTGAGCTTCGTCAGTCTGCCTGTTCTGTTCCCCGCTCTGGCTCTGGTGAATTCTCTCACCCTCCCGCGCTTCTGATTGTACCCAGTGCTTGCATTAAAAAAAAAAAAAAAATTGGATATTGATATTGATATACTTAAATGATATACTTAATGATATACTTAAAATTTGGATATTATTTTGTTATTAAAGAAGAGTTTAAAATAAGGTGAAGTTCAAATAAACCAAAGAAATATTAATATAACAAGCAGTTTATTATTGTGTTTTCATTTAGCAATTCTGGGCACTGAAGATGATTTCAAAACATGAACTCTTTCCTACTTGGGTGTCCCAGTACATTTTGAGACTGAAGAGGTAAGGTCATCTAATTGTTTCCCTACAAGTGTCTAATGCTTTGTCATTATGTCTTGTGACATTAGCAATGCCTGCTCCTTAGATTCTTGTTTCATTTTGAAGCAGGTTTTTTTCACTCCAGGGTATTTTGTACTAACCGAGGCACATATAATGACATTGCACCATGCAGAGAACGTGCATCTGCTCACCTCAGCTGGTGATAGTACAGCTCCCACCACATCAAAATGTATAATTTTGGCAGTTTGATTTTATGACAAGGGCTCTGAAGACTGGGTGGAGTTTGCTTTTGAAAAGGGTATTTATATGAAAACTTCTCTATGTAAGGACCCTTCCCTGGAAAACCTAATTTCCTTATCTCTTCAGTTGAAGAACTAAATCTACATTCCTTTTGTCCACTGTGCCTTCCTTGGTAAACTTCTAATTGAGCTTCCTCTTCCCTAACCTCCCTTGTTTTACTAAGCATAAAAAAATGGCTTCTGAAGCCACATGGGCTAGTTACTTAGTCATGCTGGGTTTCTCCCATGTCTGCAGGAAGTATTCTTGTGATTATTAAACTTCTTTTTCACTTTTCCTCTTATCAATCTTTCTGATGCCTGTTTGATTATTTGCCAGGCTAGAAGACACCCCAACAAACTTGAGACCTGAAACTCTGGAGGAAAGCCACTCAGCTCAATGTGTATTAATTTTCGTATCTTACAGAGTTGTGAGAATTGCTTTGTTTCATAACTCACAATGAATCAGAAGTAACAAACATGAAAGAGGAAAGTCGTTGTAGGTAGTGGCAGCTGAAGGAGAGACAGAGATAAACCACAGGCTCACAGGAGCAAATGGCGCATCACAATTTAATGGCTACTGAAGGCTCTTTATAAAGATGATGCTGTGTAATCCAGAAAAAGTTAAATTATTTTTAGAAATTTTACATTTATGATGAGGAAAGGTATAGTTTAATTTTTTTAAACAAATAAAACAGGGTGCAATTTTACATATTGTTAGAATCTAACTGAATCTTAGAAAAGATAAGTTGGGGAAACAGTGGTTCATTTTGTCCTTTGTTTTACTCATTTTTAGTAACAGGAATGATTCAGATTCTGAAAGAAGGAAAAGGATGGCAAGTAAGTTGTTATTTTGATTTTCTCATTGTTGAGGACTAGAGACAAATATTATACTGCTAGTCCTGCAGAACTAGTGCGCTTATGGTGACCAACGCAAGGAATGTTACTTTGGGCTGCTCAACCGCGGGTGTAACGTGGAAACCACGCTGGGCGCCAAACTGTTGTAGAGCAACCCCGATACAAAACAGGGTGCCTGACTGTGGGTCCTCACTCGCGTGCTTAAAAGGACTTATCAATGCTCTACTGCAGGCACACATGAAAGGTTAATAAAAGGTTTATTTACAAGGGAAGGGGAAATGAGGAAATGTACAGCTCTGGGAGAAAAGTGGGAGACAAAGTTTTAAATGAGTCCTACCCGATCCGCCGATCAGGAATCCCAAAATGGCGCTCTCAGAGTTCGCCGCCAGCCAGGAGTGGTGAAGCCAGGAGGCGAGCGATCGCGAGCCAGAGAGAGAGCCCAAGGCCCACGTGTTTGGTTTTTATATCCAACCTGGCTGCCCAACTCCACCCTCAGGTCCCAGCCACCCTCCCTTGGTGGTGATGGGATTTGTCTTTCCCAGAGTCTTGATGGCTTTAGTCTGGAGTGGGGGTGGGGTCCACAAAGCCTGTATGGGATTATCTCAGGACATCATTTCCCCCTAACATCATTATTAAGTATTATCATTTGAAAGCAACATTTTTGAAAATAAGAATAAATTACTTAAGGGAACTGATTTTTCTATCATTAATTTTTTGTTTTTAAATAGAATAAGTCTAGATGAGTATATTTGAGTTGAGTAGAAGTGTCATATATGAGATTTTCTCATTTCATCAGGGGACTTTTAACCTAGAGAATGATAGCTCTTGTTGGGGTGCAGGGAAAATCACCCATTCTTCTAGAGTCTTTACTGGATGAGTAATCAAAACAGCATCATCTGGGTCAGTAAAGGAAAAACAATCAATTTAAAAACATAAGTATGGAGAATTTACATGGCTGTAAATTCTAAAGCATAAGTGAGAAATAGGGGATAATTATCCTGTGTTTAGCTACCCGGGGTATCAAGGTGTGGGGGTGACTTCACAAGACAGACCAGGAGGGGGTAACCTCATTCTTATTCTGCAAATAAAGATGAGATTCTCAAAGAGGACATATTCATTGATAAACTTGGATGAAAACCTCCCACCCCCCCAAAAACTGATTCTTCTGTGTCATAGAAGGAGGAACAGTGATTGCTTCTTTAATTAGCAAAGGGCAAAGGACTCGGGTAAGGAGAAAAACCTTCATGTCCTCCAGGACCCTCACTATTCTCAACTCAAAATACTCTGTATTCTTTAAGTAATGGTAGCGGGACCTTGGTTGACCTCTAGTTCCCATATCAAGGTGACACAATATTGCTTAAAAAGATTTTTCTGTACTCATCAAATTGTAAATACTGTACATTATTTATGAATAATCAGAATGGACTGATGATGCTCATTTTCAAATGAGTCTCCCAACAAAGTTCTTTAAGATTATTTAATTTCTGTGGTAATTTCAACTGGCCTGTGTTGTTTATAATTTATTGTTCTTTGATTTGCTCTTCACCTTGGCCTAAGCTGTTAATCCTAGATATGTGCTGAAGAACTGGATAGCAGAATCTGCAGTGCAAAAAGCAGAAAGAAATGACTTTTCAGAGGTAAGATGGCTGACTTTCCTGGGTTTATTTTTATTCATTTTAAACGCTTACTTTGTTTGCAGACATGTGCAATATGCCAGCACCAGCTTCTCAGAATTCTCTCTGACTGGTATCTCATTTTTTTTTTTTTTTTGGCTTATCAGCAAATCATTTTCTCATATTTTCTAAGATATATATATATATATATATTTAAAGATTTATTTATATCTACAAGAACTGGGGTACATTTAGAAGTGCAGGAGGGTGAGAGAATTCACCAGAGACAGAGCAGGGAGCAGAACAGGCAGACAGACCAAAGACACTGCTGAGGGGAGCAGCGGGTGAGGCAGGACAGGTCTGCCACGCAATGTGGGTTTCTCCCTGGCCAGCCGGGAATCGACAGACAGCTTCACAGCATGGCGCTCAACCCGCTGTGCCACTGGGAAGGCCCTCTAAGATATTTTTTAATGTATTTAAATTTTTTAATATTTTATATCATTTCTAATATTATTTGAAATTCTGGGCATCTGATTTTGCTCTTCTGGAATTTTGGATTTCAGTCTCTGAAATGCAGTGAAGCCTGATTCTAGGGTACAGCTCTCTAGGTGAAATTACCTTTTGTGGTGTCTATGGCACTAGCAACCTGGGGTCACCTAACTTAATCTTGACAGCAGTGAGGATGAAAGAAGTAGGTGGACATGTATCAGCATGGGTGGATCTCACATGGGGCATTAAGCAAAATAAATGCTGCAGAGGAGACTTAAAAATAGTGTAAAGCATCCAAAAACATGTGTTATCTAGGGATACATTTATCAAAGTGATTGAAGTCATATATCTTTTTTCAGATCCCCAGCAACTCATAATCAGTTATTTAAAAATGCATTGCACGTGATGTACCTTAAGGATGCCTTGGCACTCGAGCCGCCATCCCTCTGCTGTCACTGGAGCGGGTGTCAATGATCGTGGCCCAATTTTGAACATTGGCCACAGACTCAGAATCCTTCTCCTCGCAGCGTGCTTTGGGGTCACTCCCAGTTAACCTGAGGTGGCATGAGAGAGAGTATTTTCACTATTTCTCATTTGGAACTTGCATTAACTTTTTATATTGGTAGTTTAATTGATCTGACAAACCTAGGTTTTCATTTTAGAGAGTAAGTGATTAGCCTGGATCTTAGCTGGGAAACAACATTTGAATAAGTTGTCTGGTTGGTCTGTTGCTCCTTCTTTCCCTATGTTTTGTTCCATTCTGTTTTCTTCCCTTCCTCAAAATTATATTTGAGTAGTGACGCATTCCCGCCAGGGATGGGGAGTTGTCTTAAGTTAAAGCAAACTATGGAGTTCACAAGACTGACACAGGTGACTCCTGGTCTCACTCAGCTCCGAGATGGAGTTAAAAGCAGCTTGCGGACAGGGCGCCCTCAGGTTCCTCTGGCAGGAATCTGCAGCCCACGCCAGCAGGAAGGGCAGCCAGGAAGCTCAGGTGGAGAGAGGTAAGATCCACACTGGGCAGAAGCAGGAGCAGCCCCAGCTTAAAAGCTTCATTCCCACAGAAACCAGTATCTCTTATAACAATTCTGGAGGCTTAGTTTCCACTGTCCCCTCAAGAGACCCACTTCATATCAAGAGTCACCACGGTAAAGAAAGCCCAGAGTATTCTATCAGGTATTTACAATTCTCCCAGTCCAGATGCTGCTTGTCAGTTAAAAGCAATGTTGTATGCTGATACACTTGCCACTTTATCAGGTTACCAGGGGAGCAGACCTAGAAAGTTAACTAAGGGTTACATCTCATGCTAGAAAACAAAGAGATTTTGTAATCCTTTACACACACAACTTGTTTTACTTTCTTGTATCAAACATTCTTGAGGGGCCTTTTTGGGGGCCTACGGGTTAAGTCCTAGTACTGTCATCGCTGAGTTGGATCCTCGGCCAGGAAGCTGACCCACATGGTGCAGCAGACCTCTCTGACTCACCTGCTGTTCCCCTCAGCTGTGTATTTCAGTCAATCCGCCTGTTCTGTTCCCAACTCTGTCTCTGGTGAATCCTCTCACCCCTGCACCTCTGGCCTATGCCCCAGTTCTTCTACATAAAAAACAAACAAACAAACAAACAAAAAACATTCTTGAAAATGCACTCTGTGCAAGGTAATGTATTGAAGTATTGAAAACCAATTCGGGGAGGTTTTAAACTCGTAGCTGAGCTTAGGTAGGTGAGCAGCTGACGGCAGTGAAGAACATGCATGACAAATGCCAGTGAAGAACATGGCTGTGAGAGCACCATGTAGTGGCGAGGCCGGCTGCCTACTTCAACTGTAGGTGATCTGGTAAGATGCTCTATTTGATCTCTTGGTTCTCCTCATTAAATGTTCACATTTCCTTTTTCAGATCTAGACTTTTCTTTAGTAATATCCAAGGAAGTGACAAAACCACAGAAACTATACTTTTTTTTTGTATTTTAAAAGGACAAATTTATTAGGAAAAGGAGAAAGAAAAAGAGAGGTATCCTGCGTAGTCACAGGTGGGCAGGAGAGTTTTGCCAGTGCTAAATTTATACATTTTGACCCTAAAATGATTATTGAAAAAGAGGTGTGTTCTCAGATGGCTCCATTTATTACCATGGAGCAGAATTTTGGATGAGAAAGAATGTGAGTTGGAATCCATGGTTTTGATTTGGAAAGACTGTAAATCATTGACATCCTTTCATTTATTTATTTTTTTGGTACCCATCTTAGGAAATAATAACTCTTTTCTTAATGTTGTGAAGCAACCTTAAAATCATCAGGATATGGATGTTTAAACATTCTCAAACAAATTTAAATTTTATCCTGTTTTATCAACTTGGAAAATTAATAAGGATCCTGAGACAGGAAATCTGTATTTATCGACTTCAATTGTTTTCCAGATCCATCTTCTCCAGCAAGTTCTTCGGCATCCTTTCCAGAAGCATCCTGCAGCTGAGAAAGCAGGGTACTCCTCACCTACTCCTTCTTGGGCTAAAGATCTTAAAGTTAGCTGCTCATCTTAACTTGCAGAAAATAAGGAATGCTTCTGATATTGAACTCAACATAGAACAACTCATCATTGTGAACACTTGAATTTAAGAACATCTTATACCACTGGAGTTATTATTGTTATGATGTACAAGTTTCCCAAATTTGGTTTCTTTTTGACATGATCCTAAAAGTTTTTGATGATGTCCTTATTTTTTGGTGTAAGATGTTTCCAGTTCATCCTGTGTATTTCTTGCCTCAGAACTGGAGTTAGTTATTTCTCTGAGTGCCTTTCAGTGAAATGGCACTTGGGGACCCCATTGTGGATGCCAAAAGCCTTGGGTATATTTGAAATGCTTTACAAAGCTTGTTAAATGATAATTAAAAATTTTTGAGTTGTATGCCTTCTTCCTTAAAATTAAATGATATAAAAACAAAAAAGGTATATTATTAAAACTAAAGTCCTAGTGTCACACAATTTTAAGGTGACCTTTCATTAATTTTTACAATTGTTAAAATATATAAAGCATTACATGCACATTTAAAAAAATTTTTTTTTTTAAGATTTATTTATTTATGCATACAAGAACTGGGCTACAGGCCAGAGGTGTGGTCGGTGAGAGGATTCACCAGAGACAGAGTGGGGAACAGAACAGGCAGACTGACTGAAATACACTGCTGAGGGGAGCAGCAGGCAAGACAGGAGAGGTCTGCTGCACCATGTGGGTTGCTCCCTGGCCGGGGATCGAACTCATACTGCAGAGGCTGTGGATTGCTTCATAGTGCAGTGCTTAAACCCTTGCGCCACCAGGGAGGCCCCCACATTTAAAAATCTTAAGGAAATATATTGAATAAATTTGGAAGTCTTCCTTCACACACTTAACATTCATTCTGTAGCCCAAGGGAAATATTCTCTATATTCTCTAGTCTTGTATCTTTTCATATTTTTTGTATACATACATATGCTTACATACAAATATACATATATAAATGTAGATGTTTATGTGAGTAATGGTAAACTTATATTGCTTTATAATTAACCTTTAGTTATATTTATTAATTCTAAATATCAATATGTGCAGATTCTATTTTCTTTAACAGCCTAAAAATATTCCATAATATAAAAATGCCATATTTTGTGAAATCATTTACATATTTGTACCCATTTGGATTTCAAGAGTTTTTTCCCCTTTATAAATAGTTTCCTTTTCATCTATTTTTGTTTGTAAGGTCCCACAAATAGAATTAATTTGGTCAAAGTTAAATTCATTGAAAATATTTACGTACTGCCAAATTGAACCCCCAAAAGGTTTTATCAATTAACATTCCTAACAATTTTTGTATCACAATACCAGTTTCCTCACAAACTAATAGAAAGTTTAAAATAGGATGTTAAAAACAAATACAAATATATAATCAGTAAATAAAAAAAGAATACATTTGTCAATTTAAATACAGTGATTACTGGACTAGATACAAAAAGAAAAATCTACTGTGTTGTTTACAAGTGGCATACCTAGACCAAAATGACACAGAAAGTTTGAAATTTAATAGAAGGATTTGTTTGGTAAATAACTGGAAAAAAATGGTGTAGATGTATGAATATAAGATAAAATGTAAAAACTATTATATAGTGATATATATAGTTCAATATAAGTACATTTTGTTACACTTCGTAAAGTGTCAGAAAAGCACAATTTGCTAGAACAAAAGATACTGACAAATGTACTTTTCATAGAAGGAAACTTTAACACATCCTTCTTAGTAACTGATAGATCAAGCAGACTGGATATTAGACTAGGGGAGAGTGGAGTAATGTGCTTAAGTTACACGGATAGTACATCATACCCTTTACAGTCGTGTAGACATGGTTGTCTTTTCTGACTCTAAGTTTTAATTTATAAGGTACTTACTGCCATGTAATAATAGGGAATCCAAAAACTAACATTTTCCCCAAATATTATATTATTCAACTACTAAAAAATCAAAGAAAAAATAGTGCATGTCCACCACTCCAGTCAATCAAGCAATGAGCCTTGAAAAAAATTGAACACACTCTGCCTCTCCTGCTTTTTTTCCTTTCAATTTTTCTGAAAGCTTCTGAAGGTCATGGAGGGAATGGTGGAAAATGTGTAAAATCAAGAAAACTTTAGAAGGCACGGGCTTTTTAAAAACTCAAGTATGTCAGGATAGTGTTGCTGTTGCTCTAGATTCAGACACTGATATTTTCAGAAATATTATCTACAGAAAATCTTTTAAAAACGTTTATTTGCTGCCGCAGCATCTTAATATAAAGGAACACAAGACGTCATGTGGTTGACTTGGAAAGAGATGAATCCACAGCAAAGATGTACATACAGGCAGGCATTCGAAATCCTGCTTGGTGAGATGATGAATGTGCACCCCCATTGTGAGACTTACACTGCGTCTTGTCCGAACCCCAATATTATTCTGCCTAAAATGAAGATGATGCCACCGAAACAGCAGCATTGCTTGAGGTTACAAATGACACCTAACACACAAGGGCCGCTGTCACCCAGCTAGGGCATGTTGCCTCTCTTCTTCTGCAAAGCTTTCATGAGATCTGACATGAAATCCTGCTCCCCGCCGGGGGGCCCCGGGTTCTCTTGCCTCTTTGGCGGAACAGGAGGCCTTTTGGCCACAATGGGGGGCGTTTTTGAGGACGTGGGGTCCAGGGCAGGCGGGGGCGGCGGAGGAGGTGGTAATGCAGACCCCACATCCCCGGCACAAGTCGGCGGTGGCGGGGGCACGAAGTCCGGGGGCTCATCGTTAAAATAGGGGGGCGGTGGGGGGAGCTCGTCCTCCTCCAGCGGGGGCGGGGCGGGGGTGGTGGCAGGACGTCGTCGGGCGGGGGAGGGAAGCCACCGGCGCCCCGGGGCTGGGCGGGGGTCCCCGGGCCGCCCCCCACGTCTGAAGACCGGCGCACGGGAGGAGGTGGTGGCAGGCTGGACTTGGGAGGGTGGCGGGCGCCCTGCGCGCCTGGGCTGTCGTTTCCAAGGGCGGGCTTCTTGTCCTTGAATAAAGCAACAACAGCGTCATTCTTAACCTCACAGCCTGCAAGGAGATGACACTTACCCTGGCTTGTGAGATGCTGCCGATTCAGGCAGGATCTGCCCCAGGGGAGGGGCGTGGGGCTCGACCCCGCATCCCTGAGACTCCAAGGTCGTTCCCAAGCTCATTTTCGCTCTGGGATAGAGAATGACTCCAAATGGCAGCTAACAAGGGGGTGGGGAGAGAGGTGGGGGATGCTAATCTCCCGAGTCTTCTGTAAATGCAAGACAATGCCCTATTCAGGAAGGGGATTATTATATTTAGATTATAGTATTTGGAACCACTTTATTCTGGAGTTACTGATGTCTTTTTTTTTTTTTTTTAAGATTTATTTATGCATACAAGAGCTGGGGTACAGGCCATAGTTGTGGGGGTGAGAGGATTCACCAGAGACAGAGCAGGGAACAGAATAGGCAGCTTGACCAAAGTATACTGCTGCTTGGAGGTGCAGGAGAAGCAGGAGAGGTCTGCCTTGCCATGTGGGTAGCTCCCTGCCAGTCGGGGCTCGAACTCGTGGTGCAGAGGCTGCAGATTGCTTCATAGTGCGGTGCTGAACCCCTTGCACCACCAGGGAGGCCCATTACTGATGTCTTTAAGAGAGCTTTACCGGTAAACAGTTTGGCTAGTTGTGGGATTGCCGCCATCTTTATGGTCACTCAGCCTAAGAGACTGGAAGAAAATGGCTCCCTAACTCCACCTTGGTTCCCAAGACAGGCCACCGAGATCCTCAGCATTTGCAGTCATGACACTGTTCTTGGTCTGGTTGAGCGCAGCTATCACAAGCTGGCGTCTGTCAAATTATTTTGCTCTGTGCCATTTCCTCAGTGGCAGAGAGATGCCCGACCCTTTCTCCAAATCGCTGGCTTAAACCAAATTGGTTGATTTACACAAAGGAAATAGAAGGTAAAAGAAAATGGAACTAGCTTTCTCCTGCCTAAGGTAACCTTGTGAGAACGTGGGCACAGACATCTTTCCTGGCACAGAGCTGTTCCGCCTGCTTCTGCTTCTGTGTGTTTTGGCTCTCATGCTGAAAACCAGCGCTGTGGGTTCAGCTTGGCTCTCTTTGGTGTAACAGCTTCAAGGGAGGTGGTGGGTGGACCAGGAATCTGCCCACCTGGCGGTAGTCTTAGATTGGTCTTTGCTTACTTGTGCAAAAGTCAGTTGGCTGTTCTGGTATAAGGTGAGCATCGTGATCCCTACTAATTTTGGCCTCATGATCAAATGATAAATATGAGATAAATATGTGAGTGGGTTTGAAAAGTAAAATCGTGACGTGTGCTCTAGGTTGACACCAGAATGCCAAACCTGGCCAAAAGCTGAGAGAGGCTCAGCCCTTCCTATGCCAACAGTGGAACAGATAATAAGGAATTATATTTATCTGATGCAACTTCCCCAGGAATTTCAGGCAGCTGACTTGAGTTCTCCTCTTTTAGTGATAATTATCGTTGCAATTTGCATTTTATCAGGCTTTCATGTCATTTCTTTCTTTGCTTCATAACCTTTTCCCTTCTAAATTTAGAAGTCTTATTTTTTTCTAATAAAGCTTCATGATTGAGTTTTATTTTATTTAGTTTATTTGCTTAACAGTTCACTGGTGCTTTTTTTTTTTTTTAAACTGCCAATTTTCTGAATTGGCAGTTTGAGAATTGGTGTTCATACACAGTTAAGTGATTTCTATTCTGGGATCCTTTTATTGTTTTCAGTATTTAAAAATGTTTCTTTCCACTTGGCATAGAAATCACACAAAAAAAGAGAAGTCATGACAACAACAATAATAATAGCAGAAAGTATATTGCACGATGAAATTGTCAGACTTGAGAGAATAACAGACTTCCGAAGGTAATAGAAATATTAGAGAAGCGCAACTTTTAAAGATCTACAGTGGTTTCCAAAAATTATAAAATGTTTAATACAAGATTTAAATGGAAACAATGACATGAAAGATTACTGATGTTCCCAATTGTTGAAGGTTCTTTTGAATCACACAGGAAATATTCAATGGAACTTATTGTATATAGTCAGCTTAGATGTTGCTAATTGGACTAGTATATAAATTATAATTTTTGGCTACAGTTTATAGGTCAATTTAAAAGAATCTTCAACTTGGCTATTATTTTTAAATGTATGTGCTTCTCTCCATCCTGATGCATATATGTAGAAGCAGATACATATAAAATGCACATTTTACAGGGCACCCTTCTAATCTGGTTGCATTGAATATAGGACTTCTGACAAGCTAGTTGCTTTAATTTATTCAGCAAAAATAAGTAAAAATCCCAAGGGCTTAAAACTCATGTCACTTTCAGAAAATGCTAAAATCATTTGATTACACCAAGAAAATCACTTTAGTCGTAGAACATGTCACTAAATGAACACTACTTACCAGTTCTCAAATGATTTTGCTCTGTACTATGCCCTTAGTGGCAGAGAGGGGCTTAAAGAGGTTCCCAGCCCTATGCTCAAATGTGTGGCTTAACTGTCATACTCTGACTACCAGAAAGAAAATTTAAACAGAGATTCCTCTTCTTTTCTCAAACGGTTTGATAATAATTGCTTCACCTTTCAAGGCTAGCCAATGTCATTTTTAAGACAAAAAATATAAAACAAGTCAGTGAAATTCATTAGATGAAACTAGAGTGACTTCTTAATTGTTAGAATTGCATATTCTCTTTTGAAAAGAACAATTATTAGAACACTGCTGGTGGTTTGGAATATGAGCTGACAGGTGACAGGTTGACAGAGTGATGCTGGCACTCTCTGGCCTCACCTTGGTTGTTTCCACTTGTTTCTGGGTCTCCTGCAGGACAGCATTCACAGAACTCATGGCCTGGGGAATCTGACCATTGGCCTGGGTGGTGCCAGTTTTAAGCCCTGAGAAGAAGGAAAAGAGATATAAAGAGTGAACTAGGCATCTTTAACATTCCTGAAAGTTGATTTGAAAATATAAAACAGTTTATCTGTCCAAAACAGAAGAAAGGGATACACAGGTGTAGCATGGAACCCAGACCTTATGAAAAATTCATATTCTAAGGCAGTACTCCGTAAGATTCAGCAAAGATTCAGGAGAATGAATGCTTTCTAAAGGCTACAGAAGATCTAGATTAACTAGCAGTTCTGCATTTAGAAAATTTTTGGCGACTGGAAAAATAAACCTTGAAAATAATAAAAAATAATAATAATAAAAAATAAACCTTTAAAAATAATTCCTGTTAATATTACTCAGCATTCAAAAAAGATAAACCCATGCAATTTGCAGCAACATGGATGGCGCTGGAAGGGATCATGCTCAGCGAAATAAGCCAGAAAGAAAAAGAAAAATACCGGATGGTCTCACTCATAGCAGGAATCTAGAAAACTTAAATAAGGGGCCAGGAAAATGAGTAACTATAAGAAAGTGAAAATCAAAATCAACAAAAAACTATGAACCAGCGACGCTCTATGGGGGGGGGGGGGCGGGGAGGGGAGGGATTGGGGTCAAAATAAGGGGGTTGCAATTGTATGGGGAATATAAAAATAAAATTTATTTAAAAAATAATAATAATAATTCCTGTTGACGTTTTTCTGTAATGCATGTATGCAGTTTCACACTCGGCTGTGTACAGAAACAATGTGGGAACATTATTCTCAACAACATGTATTTTGGACACAGAAATAAGAGCCAGAGGGGACTGGGCAAATTTGCAAGCCTTGACCTATTCTGGAATTAGATTCTTTTCCCAAGAGAGGCCTGATAGACATTTATCTTATATTCTTGCTTTTAAAGTTGCCCTTTCCCCATAAAAATGAGACTAATTGAGGTTTCATGGTTTTGAGAGACTCCGAAGAAGCTGTGTCTGCATCTCTCTGACTCCTCAGAGAAATTCTCGAGAGAATGATGCACTTATGGACGACGTTTCTCCAGTACAGGGCACGGTCTGGGAGGGTCCTGGGGTGGAGCGCCATGTCTTTTCCTTGTGGAGTTGGGGCCACCCCCATTTGTTCACCAACTAGAGAGTTGCTCTGAGTCTTGGTGTCTAGAGTTATTATTGGGGTTTCATTACCTATGCACATTGATTAAATCACTGATCATGTGACCAACAAACCCAGCCTCCTCCCTGGAGGCTGGCAGCTGAAAATTGCAAGTGTCTAATCATATACCAAGTGGCCAGTCCTGTGCTAAAGCTATCTGGGACCCACCATTAGTCACATAACAAAGGCAGTCCTATCACTCTGGAAATCCCAAGTTTTAGAAGCTGTGTCAGCAACTGGGGCCAGCTGGAGTCTTCACTGACTGGTGTGAGTGGATCCACCTGAACGCCAGAGAGAGCTCTGCTAGAGGCTGACTGGAAATGGCTCTTCCTAGTTGCTGACCACAGATCCAAACACTCCCGACAGCTATGTCCAGAGCCAAGTGATGACACCTATGTAGGTGATGGTGCAACATACTAGTTGCTTAATTCTGGAAGGCCTCTCATAGCTTCAAGATGTCCTGATTGTTCTAAAACAGGTCAGCTCATAACGAAAGAGCAGTGGCTTGCTGAAATGTAGGATGGTGCTTAAGAAAAATAACTAGAACAGTTAATCAGAAGACTTGGTAAGAAACAGAACTAGTTCCTAAAGCAAGTGACCTCAATTTCAGAGAAAAACACTGAGAAGAAAAAATTTGTTTTCTTCTATCCGGGCTATCTGGAAAAGAGAGGGATCCTAGAGTTCTGCTGCATCAAATTGCTTAGCAGCTTACATGGTCGCCCTCAACGAGTGAGACTTGAAGCTGCAATATCTGCAGGCAGAGCCCAGGAGTTTTTACTAGAAAGGAGGTCAGTGCCCCTGGGAGGGATACCCACATAGTCTCAGGGATGTTTCATGCCAGAGTGACTCCACCTTGAGAAGGGGAAACTCGAGAGTCCAAGACCTTCAGGTGGTGTTTCATTACCAAGCTTAAGACTAGCAGAATTAAGATGGCACCTAGGGTCAGTGAAGACCCACTTCTAATCATTCTCAGCAGCCTTTAATTTATTAATGCCACAGATACTGTTTTTAAAGATTTACTCATTTATATACATAAGAATTGGGGTACAGGCCAGAGATGTGGGGTGCGAGAGGATTCACCAGAGACAGAATGGGGAACAGAACAGGCAGACTGACTGAAATACACTGCTGAGGGGAGCAACGGGCAAGCCAGGAGAGGTCTGCTGCACCATGCGGGTAGCTCCCTGGCCGGGATTGAACTCATGCCGCAGCGGCTGTGGACAGCTTCATAGGCTGCGTCTTAATCCCTTGTGCCAACAGGGAGGCCCTAATGGCACAGACATTTATTGTAGACCAGGCTGAGAATGCTGAGAATACAACATGGAATTAGCAGAAATGGTCTTTGTCCTTTGGAGGCTTTTGCACCTATTGGAGAACAGAAGCAAAAACCAACCTACAGGAAACATGAAAGAATTAAAAATTGTGCCAGAAAACAACTCGACGTAAACATTTCCAGGACTCTTACCATTCCTAGAGCAACCAGACTGGATGTAGCCGATGTAAATTACTATGGAGTGTTGTGTCAAATCTACCTAATGCAACTGACACACTTTCAAGCTGGTTTTACCTTTGCAGCAGAAAGCTGTTAAGAAGACCAACAATTAACTCTGGGAAACAAGGACCAGAATTTTTCTGCCATAAGTGGTACCAGTTCCTTCAGTCATTACTTATCATCAAGACTGTGTCTGTTATTACAGCTCGGTCATGGAGCTTCTCCCAGCTTCAGCTTCCTCACTGTGGAGTGGGGCTAATAATCTAGACTCTGCAGTGTTGTTGTAAGAACCTGAAGTGGGGCCTCCCTGGTGGCGCAGGGTGTTGAGCGCAGTGCTGTGAGGCTATCTGTGACCTTTGTAGCGTGGGTTTGATCCTGGCCAGCCGGGAAGAAACCCACATGGCGCAGCAGACCTCTCCTATCTCGCCCGCAGCTCCCCTCAGCAGTATTTTGGTACATCTGCCTGCTCTGCTCCCCGCTCTGTCTCTGGTGAATCTTCTCGCCCCCTGCAACTCTGGCCTGTATCCCACTTCTTAAAAAGAAAAGAACCTGAAGTAGTGTATGTGAACCACCTCGAAGTGCCCCCTCCATCCCTCAATGTCCTGTCCTCCCACTTAAAAACACAAACAAGGTCCTCCCCGGTGGCGCAGCGGTTGAGCGCTGGGTTGCGAAGCTGCCCGCGGCCTCTGTGGCGCCGGTTCGAACCCCGGCTGCTCCCCGGCCACCAGAGGAGGGTCCCACATGGCGCGCAGACCTCTCCTGCCACCCGCTGCTCCCCTCAGCAGTGTACTTTGGTCCTTCTGCCTGCTCTGCTCCCCGCTCTGGCTCTGGTGAATTCTCTCACCCTCCCGTGCCCCTCCCGTGCTTCTGACTGTACCCAGTGCTTGTATAAACAAAAACAACAAACAAACAAACACATAAATAAATAAAAACATGCCTCTATAAAAAAAAAAAAACACAAACAAGCAGCTGCTGCCTTATCTTTAAATGTGCTATCCAGGGTTGGGTACCAGGCTCCTGCCCTAATATTACTGAGGCAAAAATAGCAGGGAATGGTCTTTTCTTCCATGTCGGCAGCCTGCGGGGGACTGCTGGAGTCTTGGACAAATGTAACTTGTACTCTGATGACACACAACTTCCTAGTAGCTCAGCCTGCACTGGCGATCATCATTTATCCACAAGCATAACATGAAAAAGTGGTCAGAGTTTGGCTAACTGTCACTTATAAAGAAATCGATATAGGCAGTGAGTGCAGGGGGGTGTCTTGGGCCTGCCTATCAGAAGGGAAATGTACTGGGTACAAATTCTCTTTTAATAAAAATGTGTTGGATGAGCCTGAGCAGGTGTCAGCATTTCTGCTCTGTACCTGCAGGAGATGGAGCTGGTGGAGCTGCGTTGCCGGTGCCCAGGTTTGTCCAGCGCGCAGAGAGTCCGGCCTTCGCCACTGCCCGCTGGTAGTTGTCATAGAGGGTCTTTCCATACTTGGGAGGGAACACAAAAGAAGAAAGGAATTCATTTATTCCAAATTCTGTATTCAAGTGCAATATTCATATTGAGGGGAAAAAAGTACTCCTCGGCTATTCAAATTGCTTAGCAGCTTACATGGTATTTTTTAGTATTTTTTAAGTCTAAGTATTTCAATAAAAATGTCACAAATTGGACCTCCCTGGTGGTGCAAGGAGTTAAGACACAACTTATGAAGCTATCTGCAGCCACTACAGCACGAATTCGATCCCTGGCCGGCCGAGGAGCAACCCACATGGCAAGGCAGACCTCTCCTGACTCGCCCGCAGCTCTCCTCAGTAGTGTATTTCAGTCAATCTGCCTGTTCTGCTCCCCACTCTGTCTCTGGTGAGTCCTCTCATCCCCCACACCTCTGGCCTGTACACCTAGTTCTTTTTTTTTAAAGACTTATTTATTTATTTTACACAAGAACAGGGGTATAGGCCAGATGCGCGGGAGGGTGACAGGATTCACCAGAGGCAGAGCAGGGAGCAGAACAGGCAGATGGACTGAAGACACTGCTGAGGGGAGCAGCGGGCGAGACAGGAGAGGTCTGCCGCTCCATGTGGGACCCTCGCCTGCTGGCCGGCATCGAAACGCCGCTGCAGAGGCTGTGGACATCTTCACAGTGCCGCGCTCAACCACCTGCGCCACCAGGGGAGGCCCATGTGCCCTAGTTCTTGTATGCATAAATAAATAAATCTTTAAAAAAAAGTCACAAATTATTTTTTTTTAATAAATTTCCAGATTAGCAGTTAGTAAATACTTTTACCTCGATATTGGAGGAGGGCTTCTGTCACTTAATTCTGATTGTATGTCTTTATGTAACTCTACCAGAGATTACATCTGTGTTTAATTACACACCACACTTGCAATACTCTCCAGGGGTGAATGTCAGCAAAGTCTTATGTGGATGTAAACCCTCGATTCTCATGCCATTGGAGAGATCCACGTTTCTACCATTCTCACTAATGAAACCCAATGGGCAGATAAATGAGATACTATCTGCAGAATTGACCCATTTAGAATGGGTCGGCTGTTTCACAGTAGTACAAAGATCGGTCCCACATCAAGAAGCTGTCTGGCAAATTCAAGATAGAGCGAGTCTAAATGCCCTCTCACCTTGGCAATCCTAATTCCTGCAATCCACTGGTTTAGAGTTCTTGCGTCATCACAGCAGAGATACTTGATATACTGGGACTCCTTCTGAATTTGGGGATGCTAGAAAAAAGCCATTTCAAAGACCATTTGTAAGCTCTTCCTTTATTAGCACCTTTCAAAAATTTTTTTGAAATGCTAACATTATATGTGATCTCATGAGGTGGTGACAAAAATTACTGGTCAAAATTTTAGGATTAGGAAGAAGGGTACCTTTTAAAAATGGGCAACTTTTGAAAGGATCTAAGGTATCTGTGAGGTGATATCATAAGCACTTATATTATCGTGAATAAATTTTTGTTTCAGCTTTTCTAACTTTTAAAAGCCTTCATATCTACCATGTCTCTATCACTACAAAAGTTTAGAATTATTTATCAGATAAGGGAACATACTGATTGGATGTAATTCCTATGTCACAGAATTCCTGCTTTTGGGAACTTCCAGTCATAGGGTTATTTCTGCTACCAGGGATTCAGGGTTTCACTCTTTCTGGACTGTCACCTTCTACTTAAATGGGTCATTTTGGCCTCTAGATGAATGTTCAAGAGAAAATAAATGTTTGTTTATTCTAAAGAGGTAGCAGTTTGGCAGGCTTTCTGGGGCAATCCACGCCTTCTGGGAGTCAAAGGTATGAGTGATATGGGCAGGTACAAAGCAGAGACACACACACACACACACACACACACACACACAGTTACCCCCAAGTCCTCTTCCTTAATCCTCACTGCTTTTGCAATTTCTGTTTTATGTCTCTGTTTCTGTTAGATTGTGAGTACCTTGAGGGTGGGAACCGAGTCTGTCTTTCACTGTTAAACACCCTGAAGCTTATTAGCACATGGTCTGGAGCATGGTAGGGATTCCAGTCCAGAGGTGGAAAGAATTGTTGAAGGAAATAAGATTTCCTGTTCAGTTGGAAGTCTTACAGCCATAAGGTGAAGGGCAGGGAGCCACGTCTAGGCTCTAAAATGTGTGCCATGTGAATTTTCATGGGTCTTTATAATTTCTCATGAACCTTATTATACAGAAGAATGATTGCCAACCATAATCATTGTGTGTGTGTGTGTTTGTGTGTGTGTGTGGTAAAGACACTGCAGAAAATGTAGAAATTACGAAGAATTCTTCCTTTTGGCTTTTTGAGCTAATTGAGCACAATCTGCCTTTATACTTTTATCTTTCATTAGACTTTTCCCTTCACTTAGGTCCTTTGGTCCTCAGAATTTGCATCAGCATCATTGGAAGAAAGGTCAGTTTCTAGAATTTATTTAGCACCTTGGGTTCTCTCTTCCAGAACCACAGACGGCTCAGGGGGGCTCCGGGACATGGGCTGTAGTTTTCCACTCCCAGCCAGCAGATGGCGGCAAACACTTTTGAACGGCGGCAGCACTTTTCCCTGGTACTGCTACATTAGTCCTGAATGTTAGCTTTTATTTTTGCAATTGTTACCACAAATTAATCCTCTCGAAGGCCCTTAAAATTGGAATTGTCTATCATCTCAGATAATGTGACCCAACCTCAAAAAAGGATTGTTACATTAATTAATTAGAAATTCATATTAATGAAAAGTAGCAGAAGATCTGGTCCCTGGATGGAACGTGTCATTCCACAAATGCCTGCAGCATTTCCTTCAACGCCAAAATTCGCAAAACCAATCCCAAATCCTTGTCTTTCAATCCCAGAAGCACAGCACCCTAACTTAAAGCGGGGTTCTTGTCTGTTATGTAAGAGGGGCTGGAGAGCCCCTCTTGTTTATCTCCCTTTTTCAGAGACATTAAAAAGGTTGCCATTATTGCTTAGAGCTTGGTATATTAAACTTTTTTTGGCTGTTTGTCTTTTGATTCATGCAGTGTGAGAGCCAAGTTCCCAGAAGCAGACTCCAACTCATGTCGTGCTTGTGATGAAAGGTACAAAGCAACTTCTGTATTAAGGTTTCCACTTAAATAGCACAACAAACCATTTCTCAAGTACGGTATTCATCCAAATAGAGTAAAATGTGACTCTTCCAATAAATATAATGGCTTCTGAGCATAAAGCAGAAACAAGGACTCTTTAATGCAAGTACTAACAATGGCTCCTCCTGTAACGACGAGGTAGGTGAACAGATCTCCGTTCATTCGTGGGGCTAGTTTCACCAATCTCCTTATGCCACATGTATTAGGAATGTGTGCAGGAGAATAATTAGGCATCAGATGATCTGAAAGTTCTCTTTATATGGTTGTAAAAGAGCTTGCCCAGCGGTCACCAGGGCAGAGTTGGGGCTTAGCTCTGTGCTGCCCCCTTGATGATGCAGGCTCCCAGGACCTCATGCAGCAGGCCACTGTGCTTGCTTTGTTTACACTTCTTGGAACCTCACCCAGGGGCTTAATGCCTAAATGAATCTTCAGTTGAAAATATATGCAAAGAGTTTTAAGGGAAAATGCTGGCTCAGCACCACTGGGCAGGCTCTTCTGCAATTGGTTGGGTTTCTCCTAACCATAAAAAGAGTGAAGCTCTCTTAGGGCATGCAGCATAGTGCACAAAGACCAGACTGTGGAACTGCTAGAGGGCTTTAAAGGTCCTCTAGGGCGCCTGGCGCTAAACCATTTGTAGATGACCTGCTTTTGGGTTGGGGTTTTGTACATAATAGAGCAGCTCCCTCGCTACGATCTATTGAAAGTCAGCCCTTGACACAAGGGTTTGAGAAAGAAAGAAAGAGAAAGAGAGAAAGAGAGAAAACAGTGATAGGAAAAAAAAAGATCCTCTAAACATACAAATGAGGAAACATTTTTCTAAGGCTAAGGGGAGTGTCAGAACCATAACTAGAACAAAGACCTGTACATTAAACATATAATGGCCAGATATAGAAAGATGAGTTACCAGAGGCTCACACCATTAATGGGGGTTGTGCTGGGGATGTGCCAGGGAGATGTATGTATGCAAATAATGTGGTTACTGTTCCATGCAACATTTGATAGTAAACTTTTGAAAATGAAGACTGAGAAAGGCTTTTGGGGAAGAAGTGATAGGATTTTGTCACATCTACAAGTTCCATGTGGTTTAGGCCTGCAAGCCATGAAAGAAGAGGCAGAAAATGAGCTGGAGAGGAACCAGCATAAAGGGCCTTTTATGGAACAAGCAACTGACACTGTCCCTGGTTGGTGGAGCCATGGGACAGAGGAATGTGGGCAGCGAGAGGCAGGCAGTGGATGGTGAACCTCGAGTGAGAAAGGAGAGAGGGCTGGAGGAGAGATGTTGCTGGTGGAAAACCAGAAGAGCTGGAGGAGAAAAGGAAAGAGGAGAGAGTTCAAGGATGACTGAGTGAGAATTATGGGTTTAATGGTGCCCCCTCAAAAGATAAGCTGAAGTCTTAACCTCGATACCTGTGAATGTGGCTGTATTTGGAAATAAGAGCTCTGCAGGTGTAATCAATTTCAGATGAGATCATAATGAATTATCGTGGGATCTAACCCAACAGAATTGTTTCCTTACAAGGAGAGAAAAAAACATAAGAGACGGATATTCAGAAGGAAGACAGCCAGGTGGTGATGGAGGTGGAGCCTGGTGATCTGCTGTTACAAGAATGGAAACACCAAGGATTGCCAGAAAGTGCCAGAAGTTTGGTGAGAGGCATGGGACAGATTTTCCCTCGGAGCCTCTGAAGGAAACAATCCCGCCGACATCTTGATTTTGGACTTCCGGCCTCTTGAACTGCAAGCAAATATATTTCTGTTGTTTTAAGTCATCCAGTTTGTGGCAATTAGTTCTGGCAGCTCCGCTGGGTGATGGTATTATTCATCTGGAGAAGATTGCGGAAGGAGGAGTTTGTAGGTCTAAATCCCCATTCTGGGAAGCTCTTGGTGTGAGGTCTGCCTGACTTGGCTGTAGACCCTCGCCCTGGGGTTTGGTTCCTTGCTCCCTCTGACAACATTCGTCCTGTTTGCTCACTCCAAAGCGTGTCTCATCACCAGCTAAGCCCCAGTGCTGGTTGTTTAGAGTTAGGATACATGTTAATATTCTGAGCAAAAACGTTGTGCTTATAAAAAACAGAGATTCTTCAGGGATGACAGTCATTTTAGCTCATTGTTATCTGATAGTTGCAATAATAAGAAATCACGAACATGCAGGAGAGGTCACCCACAAGTCAAAATTATTAAATATAATAAATTGAACTCAATTGTTAAAACACAAACCAAAACTGACCACAGACCTAACGAAACCCAGAGCTCTGTAGAAATACAGCAAGACTCTCAACATGTGTGTGTGGTTATAAGAATAATAACCCTGATCTGACTGGAGATTCTGATTTAGAACACTCAGTAACAGTTGTGTATGTATGTTATTTCTCAGTTACTTTTGTGGGGGGGAGCAGTGATTTTAACATTTCTCAGGCACCTTTTGTTTTTAATGAAGAAAATTCATTTCCTTTGAACGGTTGTGTTTTTAAAGACAGCGGAAGCAACACAGGGGAGTGTCCAGGCTGCCTGGAGTGTTGGGGTCCAAGGGAGAGACCTACCTCCTGGAGTCCCTGGTGTGTGACAATAGCACCCTGTGTGGGCAACTCTGAAATGGCAGAGGGTCCATGATCTCTTCTATGATGTGGCCCTTGACACAGAATGTGCTTGTTACAGACATTCAGTACTGGCCTCCATCTGTGTAAATGGCGCAAACCTACAGGGTTTGAAACTTGTTCTCAGGAGATGCTACAGCCGTGCCCCCGGCGCTGTGCTTGTGCCCACCAAGAGCAGTGGCCATACATTTCTAGACACCTGGAGGGAGGTTTCTCCTGGGGGTGGGGGGTAACCACATCTTCTTGATTCAGTCATCTATTTTTGGGCATTTGGGTTGTTTCCAGGTTTTACCTATTGTAAACAGTGCTGCAATAAACATAGGGTACAGGTGCTCTTTAGAATCAATGTTTTTGTGTCCTTTGGGTACATCCCTAGGAGCGGAATTATGGCTTTGGTCTTTTTAACCTTGCCACCAGCTCCAGCTTTCTTGGTTTCAGGTTTCTACTCCATAGTAGCCATCTTCTCAGCTTTTTCACCCACCATCTTGCAAGACTGGAAAGGTGAGGTGTTCTTGTGGGGGGTCATGGTGTCTAAGGCAATGACATGGTTTGAACAGCCCAGACACATAAATTCCTTGAGCCCATTTCTGGGAGTCAGATGTCAAATTTAGCAGATAAAAGTTACTCTTGACCAACCTTCCAAAATACAATGCCTAATGTAATCTTACCAAACACCTGGTAATACGTGTTGCCTCAACATAAAATACACCTTAAAAAGATTCAAGACCCAGTAATATTTTTAGGAAAAATTTTTTTTTTCTATTCTGTATTTTTCTAGGAAATCTTGTCAAGTTTCTAATTTCTAAAAAGAACCAAGAATCTCCCTCAATATTATCAATAAAATTATAAATCACATTTGTTCAAAACATAGAGCTCTCATTTTCAGAAAGGATGAAGAAGTGCAGCAAGACGCACTTTACAGTATTAGACTCAGATATTGGGCATTGCGGGGAAATGATCCAAATTGGTAAAAATGTTTTCCCTTTTCCAATTTTGGTTTAAGAATAAAAAATTTTGTTATATTTATGGCTAACTATTAATATTTAACATTTTTTTAACCTTAAAAGGGAGTGTTAGCTCAGATTGCTTACAAATCTAAATTAAGGATTTTTCACTAGGCCATACCTTTAAAACAAAGCAGAAGTCAGTGGGTGCTTTATATTTCATTTTGCACTGAATCGCATAGTAAATGTTGACATTTTCAAACTGTATAAAACATGCCAGATCTCGAGAAGTCTGAAAAGGAAGAAAATAACCTTAACAGAGTTTGTGATTAATATTTTTCTACAGGCCTCCTTGGTGGTGCAAGGGGTTAAGCACAGCACTGTGAAGCTATCTGCAGCCTCTGCAACACAAGTTCAATCCCCTCTGCAACACGAATTTGATCCCCAGGCAGCCAGGGAGCTACCCACATGGTGCAGCAGACCTCTCCTGTCTCTCCCACTGCTCCCCTCAGCAGTATATTTCAGTCAATGCACCTGTTCTGTGTCCCCCTCTATCTCTGGTGAATCCTCTCACCCCCTGCACCTCTGGCCTGTACCCCAGTTCTTACATGCATAAATAAATAAATCTTTAAAAAAACAATATTTTTCTAAGATTGTTCTCGATGGCACAAGCAAGGATTACAGTTTAGTAGAATATTATTAAATTTCAAGTAACTTATTTAAGTATCTTCCATGCACAGATTTCTAAAAGCCTAGTCTGCACTTTAAGAGATAAAAAAGTACACCCAAGGCAAAACAGCAAGTCACAGACCCAGAAATGGAGCGAAGGTTTATCGTCCTCCACTGCAGGGTCTGGTTGGCTGTGTCACGGGTGCTGATGCAGGAGAGAAAAGGTGACTGAGCACCGAGTCAGAAATTTCATTTTGGCTCTTGCCACTCTAAGTCTGGCTCTTGCCGTTCTAAGTCAGTGATGGATTTCACGATTGAGCATGTAGAAAAGAAATCCCCTCAGGATGAATAATGAGAGGTAAATTTGATGCTCAGTAAATTATTACACACTTCATGCATTTCTTCCTGAGAAAAAAGGATCCTTTGATGCTCTTTAGAGCAGGAGGTGTTGCTATGGCAACAGAAGCCTCTCCTCCGTGTATAATATGCACCCGAGGATTGCAACCTCTAATCTACGTATTTGTTTACACTTCAATTACAAATTTGTCCCATTACTCTTTTTTTCTCCCTCATATTCTTAAAATTTTTTACCTAGTTACTGAATACATAGTAAAGGGCAGAACTGCCACACTTCAGTGCTCGAGTATTTCTGTACATTCATCTTTTTTCCTTGTAAGATATTTTCTTCTGGATTTTCAAAGTTTTAATTACAAAATTACTGCCTACTCCTTTAATTTTAAAAAACAATGTATGTACACACATAATCAAATGGCAATCTTCCTTCATTATCCTCTTTTCTACTTCTGCTCTATTTTTCCAGAAGAAATATTAGGTAATATTCTTGCAAATATTTTTGGGTAAACATTTATGTACCTATGTGTGGACAGACCTACATGCCCACATATATACATATACAAGTAAAAAAATTTAATGACATTTTACTCTAAATACTATTCCACGAACTTCTTCTTTTCTTAACATTGCATCCAGGGCTTTTTCTAGGTCATCACATATCCATGGATCTAAGACATCATTTTATGGCTATAGCGTTCCCCTGTGGAGGTGTAATTATTTAACTATTCTACATAGATGACTAGAGATTATCTCAATATCTTTCTGCTAGAAAAATACTGCATAGCTGAGCAAATATTTTTGTGGGATAGATTGCCAAATGTGGAACTGACATCTGAAGGGGCATTCCTGTTTATATTTGCATAGCAGTTGCTAAATTGCCCCTGATTTGCCTGGAAAGCTTACATTCCGATCTTCTATGCATGAAAATGCCCATCCACTCCTGCTGCCTGAGGGTTTCATTAGTTTCTTTGAAGCAATGCTTTTTTGCTAAGGTGTTCATTTTTTGTTTGTTTGTTTGTTGCTGACCTTAGTCTTTCCTTTGGGCACATAATAAATTCCAGAAGCCCTGAGAAGAAAATAACGCCTTTTCCAAGATTTCTTTCCATCTTCTTTCAGATAAAGAGCTCCTTCAAGTTCCGGTACAATGACGGATGTCCCACAGAAACATTCCTAAAATTGAGATTCCAATTACATAAAACACGTGAAAAATAAAACATACATTTTCTTCACACTTAAATAAACTGTGGCAAGTTAGCCTTTAAGTTAAAATTCATTTTTATCTATAATTCAAATTGACTGCTTAGTTTATGTTGTGTGCTATTTACCAAAAGAGAAAGAAGCAAGTGGAGACAGCTGAGCCTGGTTCCTTCCTGAGTGAGACTTCAAGGTTTCTGACCACATAGCTTTGTGGCCATAGGCAAGCCCCTAAATCTCACTTCTTTTATTTGAAAAAATGGAGTAATAATAGCCTTAACTTCATAGAGAAGTTGTGAGTATTTCTGTAGTAAATGTTAAATAAAAGCTGCTGGTAAATAGAAAAATGATCACTTTTCTTGCAAGTGAAAAAAAAAAGTATCATAGTTAGTACCTACAAAAATTATAATAAATAATTATATACATAAAATATGTATATTAATTTATTCTTGGGATGGTTTTCTTATCAAAAATGCAGAAGGCAATTATTAATATATAGTATCAAAAAAGACAGTGCCAAAGTATATTTTCTAGGTGTATATTTTCAAATGTCAGAATTTGCATAGGGTTATATAATTCTTAATAAATTTCTTTTAAAATACAATGCACTAAAATGACATATTTTTCACCTTTCAATTCAAATTCTCAGACACATTTTTTGCTTTCTTACAACTTTCAGCTTCATTTCATTCAGAGTTGTAAGTGTAGAATAGCTTTTAGCTTGGCATCTTTCACGTACACTTGCATGGAGTGGAGCTGGGATACATTTATGTTCACATTCCACTCCTTCCCAACGCCTCCAGTTTCCCTCACATTTAATAGCTATTATTGATTGTCTTGTCAATCATCTTGGAAACCCAAGTAGATTTTTTGGCCAGACTAGAAAGCAGGATCACCATGACTTTTTATAGTATAATATGCCTTGCATTTTCTTTCAGCTTTGAAAAGACAACTATTCAGGCAATTGTATAAATCAAGGCATAACTTGTCCCTGATATAGACTCAGCATTGACGGGAAACAGGGGGGCTGTGTTGGGAAGCTGTTTGTTCCCCTTCTCTTGGTCTCTGTCACTACATTCAGAACCTGAATCTCCTTGTTGCTGAAGTGACTGGTGCCCTTTGGTTAATACAGAATGATGTGTCCATTCCCTCCATTGGGCCTCCCTGTGAAATGCCCACTGGCTCTTGGTCCCAGGAACCAGGCTTGAGCATGTTTTCAGGACCTTGGGAGTCACAGTGAGTGTTTGCTACAGGGTGGGGATAACAGGAACACGTGCAGGGCCTGGGCAAACCAGGGAGAGTGGGAGAGGGTGTTCTTCTAAGTCAGTCAGCTGTCTCCAGGTGGGAATATGGGCCCTGTCATCATGAGGTCCTCTGAGTTTTTAAGACAAGTCCAAGTAATGGTCAATGCAATGTCAAAGATGAAGGAAACCTGTCTGGGGCTCCAACATTCCCTGGTCACCTATGACCTGGCCCTCATCTGTGTTACAGGCTGGGAATAGAGCCTGGATTTTTATCATAGTAACTATGTGGAAACTCATCAGGACCATCAAATGAGTTTCTGGAACACGTCCCTGGAGTGGGCAATGAGGTACCTGTAGTAATGACACTCCGTCTTCCACACATCCCTGGTTTGCTGGAATAATTCAATACAATTCAGGAAACTGGGCTTCTGCACTTGCCCAGAACACGTGGTCCTTACTGGGCAGAGCCCACCTAGCGTCAGCTCTCCAACTCCAAATCTTACATTTCCCACCATCTGGCTGCAGCACGGACAGTGGGAAGCGTGAGATTTGGAAATCTTTGTATCTGACTTCCAAGGAGCACTAAGTAATGGACTATATGAAGTGTTAGCTAGCAAGGTTTATGCAGATTTATCTTTCAGTCAAGAATCACAAATCCAACTTTTTGAAATGCAAAACATATTGTCTAAAGCCATTTTTTTTTTACAACTGACTTAGTTTAACACAATATTTATAATCTAGCAAAAACTTGATTTTAAAATCCCAAGTTTAAATGTCAGTGTTTCTCAGGATTTTGCATTGTTCTGAGAAACAAATAATATTTAAAAAGACACCTCCTCTTTTCTTCTACACAGCAAAGTCAAACTTACCTCAAGTAAGGATTCTTTGTTTTTAGCATTCATTTTCTCATTTGCTTCTTTGCTTTCTTTTTTTCCTTTGTTATCCAAGTAAAAATTCTAAAATAAAATATTGAAAGATCAGATGAGTCAGCTTTCATCACCATGCATTGCAAATTCTCGCTGCATGAAATAACAGGACAGCACAATATACTCTGTCATCTCAGCACTGGGCCCATGTTGGCGAACACCTACCAGAATTTAACCTGCCCTTCTTTGAACTGCTCACAATCAATGAGGAAACAAACAAGATTGGAAACTAGTTAAACGCCGCCGTGGTCCAGAACACTAGTCAATGCTGTAAGTTGGGAGACCCTAAGGCGCTGAGTCTGGTTGGAGGTCAAGTCCAGGTTCTATGCTCTGGCTGGTAGGTACCAAGTAGGATCCCACGGCTCTGGGAACTAGAAATCCTGGTGTATCAAGAGAAGGTTGATTTTTATAAAATCAGTTGAAGACTGATTAAAATTAGCTGGAGACTAATTTTAATTAAAATTAAAATGCATGGGCCATTCACAACAGACTTTGTTACCTGTCAACTTGAAACCATCTCTCACTTTTTGACTCACTTCACTTTGCAAAATCAGCTCATAAGAACAGAAGTAGAAAGGACATTTCTGGAAGGAGAGTCAGCCTTACAAGGCAGAGAAGACCTTGGCTGAAAGGTGCTCAGGAATGGGGGCAAGGTATCTCAGGGGGTTAGTGTAATGCCTTGTTGACACTGAATATTAATGAGATAGCTGGAAATCAATGTTAAATGCATACATTTCTGACCCCCAAAATCATGAGGACCCAAAGGCTAATTTTTACATACTGATATGGCTGAAGTGTCACTGTGCAAAGTGATTATTGTGTGTGTCATAGATAAAATGTTGAAGATTTTAATGTGAAAAGTTTTGTAAGTCTTATAAAATAATGTATTAAAAATGGATTAAAACTAGGACAATACCGCTATAACATAGAGACTAAATTAAGAACCCTCTTGAAAGTGGGCATAAAAAGGTTTATCAACACCTGCTGTGAAAGTTCTTGGTCAGTCATTTCAGTTCAGACAGCTTTGTAAAGCAGCAGAACTCAAAAGTCAATTCATTATCTGTTATAAACTGAGAACTATTGAACCTGAATTTAATAAAAAAGGAACTTGAAAAATGGGAAATGAGGCTTTTAGTCACAGTCCCTTCCCTTTTCTCACAGCTTTTGAAATTGCAAGATTTGGGGACACCTGGATACAAACAGCAAATACATTACTTTAAAAATATCACCTCCAAATGCTTCTCGGCCTTTTGGCTAAGATCAAGTGTAAAAATATCACCTCCTTGGTCATATGAACTCATGTTTATTGCAACACTACTTACAATAGCCAAGTTATGGAAACAGCTTAAACAACATAAGTGCCAGCAGCACATGAGAGGATAAAGAAAATGTGGTATATATACACAATGGAATGCTACACAGCATTCCACAGCATTCCACAGCTCAAAAATAAAGTGAATTCTTGTCATTTGCAACAACATGGATGGAATTGGAAGGGGTTATGCCTGAGTTCAATGTATCATCCCTATTTTCTTCATCTCCTTTTATGCCAGAGTCCATTGGTCACCATATTCTGCAAAACTGGAGCTCCTAAATATTTCTTAATGGTCTCTAGTTCATCATCATCTCCTTTTTCTCGGCATCTGGTTTAGAGTAACCTCGATCCTCTTGTTCTGTTTCTCTCCAGTCTAAATGAAGTCTTGCTTGGTTAAAAACAATTTGATCAGGAATAAAATGACAGCAGAAAAAACAAATTGGTTAAAATTCTCCTTTCTTCTGGCACTACTAATTTTTCAGGTTTCAGTAATTCTGCTGATGGGCCCATTTCCAAGAATTTATTAGAATTCTTGAAATTCTTGATTCAGGAATTTTCACCTTATTTTGCTTTTATCTCCATTCTTTATCCAATTTTGCTTGGCATCGATTTCTAAAGTTTTGGGTTTGTGGTGAAATACTGGCAAATGATGTGAATGTAAACCAACAGCCTAATGTCACTTGGCTCTGCTGCTAGCAGGGTGACAAGGACCTTTTCCTGGGACTTAAGTCCTAAGTGGGTTGAAGCGTCCACCAGCTCTGACAGGTGCCAGAAGCAAAAACAACACACCACAGGCCGGATGCAGCAAACAGTATCCCTGATTACTATCTGGGGCTTCAGAAACTTCCGCCCCATCGAAACCTTCTGCAGATGGCATTTCACTCATTGTCGTGACTTCCATAAGCCATTTCTCTGCAAGAGCAAAGCCTGAAATTCAGCTTCATGCACAAAGAGCAGAGCACACTCCATGCAATGGTTTCACTCACAAAAGTGAATCTGAATCACACAGCAGCAAGAAATGCAACTTAGCAGAAAAGAAGTTCAGGACGTAACTAAACAGGCAAAGGAGGCAAGGTTAGTTTGGAAAAAACCACAACATGCCAAGGGACAGAAAATACCTTTTATTTTATTTTATTATTATTTTTTAAAAGATTTATTTATTTATTTATTTATTTATTTATTTATTTATTTATTTATACAAGCACTGGGTACAGTCAGAAGCGCGGGAGGGTGAGAGGATTCACCAGAGCCAGAGCGGGGAGCAGAGCAGGCAGAAGGACCGAAGTACACTGCTGAGGGGAGCAGCGGGCGGCAGGAGAGGTCTGCGCGCCATGTGGGACCCTCCTCCGGTGGCCGGGGAGCAGCTGGGGATCGAACCGGCGTTGCAGAGGCTGCGGGCAGCTTCGTAACCCAGCGCTCAACCGCTGCGCCACCGGGGAGGCCCAGAAAATACCTTTTAAACTAATCTCATATGATTAAAACTGAATGAACAGCTAGTGATTGGAAACATTCATTTGTGACCTGTCTTATTTTAAACACTGTTACTTTGGTCAATCTCCTTTCCACCAATTTTCTGAATCAGCTGTCATTCCCTGCCCTACCCCCACCTCTCCATGGTCCAGTCATACAACTATTTGCCATCATAATCACGGGCTTCCTTCTTCTTGGACTTCACACACCCATGGCCTCCAAGGCTCACTTCCACTCTGCAACTTGCCTGGCTAACTCCCATGAGTTTTTCAGGCGGGCACTCAGATGTACCTTTCTCTCCATCAACTTCCCTGTCCACTTTCTTCTCACCCAGTAGCTGGTCCTCCATCTATTGTATCCCAGTACTTTTTAGATCCAATTCTGAGTTCCCACTTTCCTTCCCTCCCCTCACATCCCACTTTCTCTTACTCTTACTTTTACTTTGTTACCTTTCCTATTTCTGGTTTATTTGTGCCATATCTTACTGCCCTGTCCCCCAGTGACTATAGCAATTTCCTACAATTTTCTTCTGAATCTTGCAATGCATTAACTTTGTCGATAGACTATCCAGTCTTTTTTTTAAAAAAGGATTTATTCATTTATGTATGTACGCAAGAATTGGGGTACAGGCCAGAGGTGCAGAGGATTCTCTGGTGAGAGGATTCACCAGAGACAGAGTGGGGAACAGAACAGGCAGACTGATGAAATACACTGCTGAGGGGAGCAGCGGATGAGACATGAGAGGTCTGCTGCGTCATGTGGGTAGTATCCTGGCTGGCTGGGGATCGAATTCTTGCTGCAGAGGCTGCGGATAGCTTCACAGTGCTGTGTTTAACCCCTTGTGCCACCAGGGAGCCCCTACCCACAAAGTCTTTCGGATGCTCTTTCCCTTCAGGTCCTGCAGTATTTTGTCATAAACGGGATGTTGGTTGTTTTTCACTACCCTAAACCTGAACAGGATTCCTCTATAGCAGTATCTGTCATCGGTGTGGTGGTTATTTTTTACACTTAGGGTTAGGCTTGAGATTAATTAATTGGTTGGTCTTTTCCGAGTTTCACTGATTTAAAGAGCTGACAGTTTTCTGATCTTGGGTAATAGAAACAAATGTAACTGAAAAACCAAAATTCCCATCTACACCATTACTAAGGCTCGTCTGTTCTGCTGGTAGTGTTCTGTGCATTGGGACTTAATCTCCAGAAAGTACCAAGCCTTAACTCTGCCTGTACTATTCTCATTTTAAACTAGGAAGCTATGCTTTCAATATTTTTGTCCATATCTTTTTCTCTAGCAAGATTATAAATTGCTTGAAGGCAAAGATTATACTAATCTTTTTCTTCTCCATAGGTAAGCACAAGGCTATAAATGCAATAGATTCTCGATAAAAGTATGCTAAAGCCAAGCAAGCAAATGCTGGTGTGAATTCCATTAAAGACTTCTCATACAAGCCAACACTGAAAAGACATTGAATACTTTGAAATCTTTTGTGGAGACTACCAAATAAATTGTTCAGAAACTCAGTCTTTTTCTTTTATGATTTCTGGTTAAGTCTAGTTCTTTATGTACAGTTTCGAATTCACTTTCAAATAGTGGCTGGGCAGTGCAGTGATTTGGTTCAGCTGCGCAGGAAGATCAAGTCTAGGCTCAGACCTAGCCCTGAGTAGGGAGCAGAAGCAGGATCTCAGTTATGCCCTGCCCTATTCAAGGATTCATCAATTCATGTAAATGCTGGCAGTAAAAAAAAAAAAAAAAAAAAAAAAGCAACTAACACCCAAATGAAATACAGGATGTATTTAGATTTTTAAATTAACTTTGAGATGTTGCTTGAGGAGAAAAGGCTAAGGTAATTAAACAAAAGAATTTCTAGGATGTGTTTACTTAAGAAACTTCCTGTGGAAATACTCTTCTCTGAGATTTTTTATCCTTTTGGTATAACTTAGCATAAAAAATAAGGCTTATGTCAACAACTACCAAAGCATCTCAGCACAGAGCTTTCACAAAGGGATGAAGGTATTTCAAATTACACAGCCTCCCTTTTAGGAGCCAGGGTGTTGATGAGAATGTCACAGAGCATTTCTCTCACCCAATGTCAGGCGCTGAGGTCACTCTCCATGAAGAGCACCAGTGAGAAGACAAATTATTCACACAAAAACTGAGAAAGTAGAAATATTGAAAATGACCATTTCAGGGCCTCCCTAGTGGCCTAGGGGTTAAGTCTCAGCTCTATCAAGGCTACAGCCTGGCCTGAGTTCGATCCCTGGCCAGGTGCTGACCCACATGGCACAGCAGACCTCTCCTGTCTCACCTGCTGCTCCCCTCCACAGTATATTTTAGTAAATCCTCCTGTTCTTCTCCCCACTCTGTCTCTGATGAATCTTCTCACCCCCTGCACCTCTGGCCTACATCCAAGTTCTTGTCTGCATAAATAAAAAAATATATATATAAAAAAAATTCAGGGTGTATAGTTTATGCTTTGTGCACTCATTTATAGACGCTATGGCAAACTGCAGATATCCATTAAGCCTCATTTTCCTCTTCCTCCTCTTAGTTATACAACAATAGAGTCAAATTACACCATTCCCGGGCACCATTTTTATACTCAATATGAAAGTTGTCACGTGAAGATGTTGTGCAAAATGGTGGTCCTGAATATAATTCCCTAATTCCTGCTGTATATATATTGTTCATGACTTAAAGGAAGCATTTTCAAATAAGGGGAACAATGCTTTTTATAATGTAGACTGTTTTTTGAATTAAAATACAACAAATTGTACATTTTCACTGTTCTTTTTCCCTATCCTAGCATTACAGGCAGTAAACTTGAACAACAAAGACAAAAACAAGAGTATCTTTAAAATAAGAAGCACATAGTATATCAAGGTATATTGGATTAGTGTAGCCAAACAAATAAGAATAGGAGGAAGATTAGTCAACAGAATTTGTGTGTGTGTGTGTGTGTGTAAAAGAACTGGGGTGTGGGCCAGAGGAGTTGGGGGTGGGTGGGTGAGAGGACTCACCAAAGATAGAGTAGGGAGCAGAATAGGGAGATCTACTGAACTACACTGCTAAGGGGAGCAGCAGGAGAGACAGGAGAGGTCTGCTGTGCCCATATGTGAGTGAGCTCCCTGGCTGGGGATCGAACTCAGGCCATAGTGGTGACAGCACTGAGACTTAAGCCCTAGACCACCAGGGAGGCACAACAGATGTTTTGAATGCTGAACCTAAAGACATAAAATGGATTCTTTAAGAATCTTTCAAGGAAACTGACCACAGATCTGAGGCATCCAGAAGGGGAGGGGAGTAGAGAGAGCAGGGGAGGGGAACACAGTGGACTATGGTGGAGGACTATGGGTGCTTTGTGGTAGGAAAACTATGATGAGCACACCTGAGGGGAGGAAACCTCTATTGAGAAAAAAGAAAGTTGTAAAATAATGGTACATCATTAATAATAAAAAAAAAATCTCTTAAAGGGTTTTTAGTTTGCATATGGTCTAGCAGTTGAATTTGTGTTCATTGGAAAGACATATATTTGTGAATTTTGTAAGCTAACAAATGAAGGGATTAGTACATAGATGACATTAAAAAATCCTCTATATTTTATGTGATTTAATAATATCCAAGTTACCTTACCTGGGGGTTTTTAAATACAGAGTATTTTTCCTCTTTCTCCAAAAATAGCACTTTATTTTCTGTGTCTCTTGTCCAGTCTGATAAGACTTCCACAACATTTTCATGATCTTCAAAAAACCTTTCTGATGAGACAAGAAAAGTTTTCATTCAGACCCAAGATGTCAGGGTTTCCAAGGCAGAAACAAGCTCGTATTGAATTAAATACATTGCTTCATATTTCTCATAAGTTTTTAGAAATTCCTAATTCTTACAAGATGTCACCTTGTAACATCCTTGTTAAATTCATTCTTCCTTTTGGGTCTTTGGCCTATTTTCCATTAAAAACAAAACAAAACAAAACTGACAGAATCCATGCTACAGTGAGAACGATCAGCTATTGCACTTTTTATCAAATGACATTTTGGACTTGAGACAGTTCCAGGTGGAGGTAAGCATATCCTATCTGTAAAACAATTAAGCAATGTCTGGTTAAACAATATTGTGAGATATGTGATAGGGACTGGAAAAGATCACTCCCTAAACTCTAAAAACCATGTCGGAATGTCTGAACCACACCTAAACACAAAGGAAGACTTTCATTTCTCTATTTGCCTCAGAGAGTTGAAGAGGATTTCAAGGGTTGTTCAATGGACACAGTTCACTGCCTCCAGGAAGGTCAACTTCCACCCAAATCTTCTAAAAGAGGCGATTCTATATTCCACCAGGTCCTCCAGGGAGGCGACTGTTCTGAGTGGTATTAAGAGTGAGAGGAAACACAGCGTTGCCTTTTGCTTATTTTCCTTTTTACTCCATCAGCTTCTACTAACTGTCCTTTGCTCTTTAGGGCTGAGTCTCTTCAACTAGACAAAGTGTCAGACATTAGGCTAATGGGTTGGGAAGACAGGGAATGAACAATGATGTGAGGCCTGCGGCGGAATCACACTACCATTTAAAGAGGCAAGCTCCAAAGCAACTTCCGCTGACAGCTACCCAGGCCTCCCACAACCTGCTTTGCTTGCTAAGCCTGCAGTAAAATATACCAGCCCGTCACTTTCTTTCCCTTATAGATCCATGAGGGAAGCAGCAGTAATAATGCTTGTATCCCCCAGGTCTGGCCACTTGGTGCAACCCGAGTGTCTTCACCACAAAGAAATGAAGAGGCAAGCAATGGATCTGACATGAGGGAAGTGAAAGCTGGGAAGTCTCTACTGCCTGGAGCCAAGGGTAATAGACCAACCCACAATAAAGTGCACACATGGGATCTGGAGTTCAGGCTTCTGCTGGGATGGGACTTACCAATTTGTAGTTCTGGGTAAATTTCATAAAGACACCAGTCTACATTGCAGTCACAGTGGGTCTTTTCAAAAAGGTTGTCGAGAACATCTCGGGCCAACTGCCGCTCATCCACCATCAGGGACTTTGTGCTGCTGTCATTCATGTGCACCTTGACGACCAGCTGAGGAGAAAGCCACAGAGAAGCCAGTAAATTTCAGCCACTGGAGAAAGCCCAAGAGACAAGGGCTCAGAGTTGCTATTGTTTCTGCGAATTAAGTAAGAGTGTGAACCTCAAACTCACTCAAAGTGAATTCCCTCATCAGCCAGGCACTTGTGTTAGTTGCTAGGGCTATCGAGATAGAGAAATCAACTCACAAAAACAGAAAAATACATAAGAAAGTCCTTGCCCAGTCTTGGGAGACTCTATTCTGGCGGGGGAGACAGAAAACAAGCAGAACCAAGGAAATGCAGACTCCCTGCTTGCCTGCTTTCTTTCTGTTACTCCTGCAACCCAGAAGATTTCTTGATTAACACCACATCCATACTGTTACGGCAATTTCCCAGAGAAATCATGGGGCCTCCCCGGTGGCGCAGCGGTTGAGCGCTGGGTTGCGAAGCTGCCCGCAGCCTCTGCAGTGCTGGTTCGATCCCCAGCTGCTCCCCGGCCACCGGAGGAGGGTCCCGCATGGCGCGCAGACCTCTCCTGCCGCCCGCTGCTCCCCTCAGCAGTGTACCTCGGTCAGTCTGCCTGCTCTGCTCCCCGCTCTGGCTCTGGTGAATTCTCTCACCCTCCTGTGCTTCTGACTGTACCCAGTGCTTGTATAAATAAATAAAAAATAAATCTTTAAAAAAAAGAAAAGAAATCAGATGGCACTCAGAGAGGTGGAGACAGAGATTTAATCGGCTCAGTGGGATAGCTCCCCAAAGGGCTCCAAAGGATTGAGCACCCAAGAACAAAAATGGCAAGGTTTCATACAGTTTGTATGAGGAAAAAATGGCTAGGTTTTACACAGTTTGTATCCCATTTATCACAGCAGAAGTGTTCTTTATTGTTCGGGAAGGGGGTTCAAGCTAGTCATGGCTACCAGCGCGGACAAGCAGTGCAGTACAACCAGCATCTTCTTCGCTTCAGCAAGCAGCAGAATCAAAGCAGTAGACTCCCCCAAGCAGCAGGTTTGGGAAAGCAACAGAAACTAAGCATCAGACTCTCCCAAGCAGCAGGCTTGGGAAACTTTCTGCTTAAATACCTTTGTAATATTATTTTCTCTCCTTTGCTTAGCTGCAAAGGGTCCCCTTTCAAGCAACTCAAGATTTCTGATGCTGGTCAGAAGGTGGTTAATCTACAATGCTGTGAAGCAGGGCATGCAGGACCACAGTGCATCACCGAGGGGCCTCATGAAAGGCAGGTTGTGCCATGTTTGATGTCAGAGGTGGAGCAAGAGAGGTGAATGCCGGCTGAGAAACACGCACGCAGGCCAATCTGTAGTCTAGTTGACTTTTCATTCTAGTTTTAAAAATTCTACTGCACCCCTCAGTGCTCTACCTGATAAGGAGATACAATCTTCCATCTCACTGTGTTTGGATTCTGGAGACTTGTTCTCACTTCGGGAAGTTACACTGTCCTGAGATCTCACATTTCCATGTGCCATAACTTTTTGTCTGCCCATTTTGCTACTTGTAGTGTCCCGATTTCATTTTCATTTTTAGTATCTTTAACAGTGATACTGTTAAAGATATTTTTAGGAGGGACAGCGTTTTAACTTTTCCAGCAGTTGGTACTGTGGTTTTGTTTCATGTTACTTAAACTGGCCTTCACTGGCGCCAGTATGTGCTAAAAGCTGTTGTCGTGGCTCGGTGTGCAGGGTGAGGAGGGCCTGGGAGGAGCTGAGATGTGGGTGTGGGGCTGGCTCGTGGTGGCGGCGCCTGACACTTCTCTCTGGTGTCTAGGCTGAGAACCTCAGGGTCCACGTCCTCTCCACGTGCCCCTCGAACTAAGCACCAGCCAGATGTTGGGAAAGGGACAGGAGATCAAGACATCTGCTCTGCTGTTATCTCTGTGGGGGACCCCACATTGGTGCAGCTCCCCCATGAGGTTTCCCCTTTCTTCAGAGGTGTGTGCGGTCATGTACCCTCTGCTCCTCCTCCACAGAGCCTCTGGCCAAGCTCACAGCCCTGCCACCAGCGTCCCCTCATCCAGACCACAGCCTCCAGGTTCCTCCTTCACCCACTTCTGGTTTGGTGAAGCACAAGTGTCCTTTTGTGTCAGGCCTTTTGAAGTGTGCGTGTCTCCACTGTCCAGAGACAATCATCAGGTCCCACCCTCACCCACGGGCCGTCTCCGACCAGTGTCCCTCTGACTCACTGGTCCAAGAACCTCAGCCGGTGGGGACCAGGCCTGCTGTTGCTGTTGCTGGCCTGCTGCATTTGGAGCAGGGCCTGCTCCACCTCCTCCTGCTCCAGTCGTAGTTCCTGGTGGGTGCCATCATGGTCTGTTTTTCCCTCGGGAGCTATTGGCTTTGATCTGCTGCGATCTCATTGTGAAGACACGGAAGAGGCGAGTCTGGTGCCCACTCTGCCGCCACCTGCCTGCTTCCTCCGCTGTCTCCTTGCCCATCACTTGTCTTCCTCCTCTGTCCGTTGTTGTGCTGCTGGCTGCTTCCTCATCTTTGTTCATCTGTTCCAGGCAAAAATAGAGCAGATCAAAGGGCCTGTCTTCATAAAGTCTGCATTCCGGGAGCCAGTCTCTGAGTCGGTTCTCCAGCTCACAGATGTCCCGTTTTTCCAAAATTTTCTTCTGCCACTTTGTTTTCAGGAAAGCCTTATCCGAGCCAGAGTTTGTATATCCCTATTTTGCAAGATGGGGATACACCAGTGAAAACAACAGAAAAATCCCTTCAGGAGCATCTAACAAGAAAAGTGGAGGGTGTGTTGGTTGGTGATAAGCACTGAGGAGAAAAAGCAGGGAGGGTAAGAAGTATTGGGGTGGGTGTGCAATGCCAGAGAGGGGTGGTCCCAGGGAGCGGGTGATCAGACTTAGAAGAGGAACAGAGAAACCCACTCAGAATCTGGGGAAGAGCTTTTGAGCCAAGGGGACAGGAAAGTGCAAAAAGCAGAGGAGAGCCTGGGGCATGTGAAGAGCAAAGGGGGACCAGCGGCCAGGAGGGGTGAGAGAGGCAGCAAGGCCACACACGGGCTTTGGGTCCCTGTGGGGGATTTGATCTTGTTATGTGAGCTGAGGCACCACCTCCTTTTGAGCCAAGGAGGGCCAGAAGGAGAGGATGGGACGGGAACACTGGGGGAGCGGCTGCTCTGAGGCACATGGCAGCTCAGCCACAGGGACAGACACGTCTAGGGACCACGTGTCACATGTGCAGGCAGCAGGCAGGCAGGTGGATATTCTGGCGCTCATGGCGCTTTCCTTCTGATGGCTGTTTTCTCTGAGCAAAGGCAGTGATGTGATTATGTGAGAGAATGTGAAAGAGGAAAGGGGGATGAGGTAGAAATAGTTTTCTAGATTAATGGGAGAGACTGGGGGCACTCTGGCAGGACTGAAGGCTCAGGTCCTGAGCAAGAGGGGCGGTGGATTAACCAGCGTTGATCCAAGTGAGTGCAGGGGATGGAAGGGCAAGGCAGCCAAAAATAAAGAACTTCAAAAACTGTCCAAGGAATTTTATCACACGTGGAAGAATAATGGTAAAGAAGTTCACACATGTTTGCAGTGAATGGAACCTGTTTGATCTGGAAAGATTTGCACAGCTGAGCCCTGGAAGTCTGAATTGAGGGAGAATCAAGGACAATTTACTGAATATTGTTCTACATGTTCTGAAACCTTTTTCAAAGAACTGTGAGAGGTATTTTGGGAACATAGAGTCTAAAGCCCTATATGGAAAGAACAATTCATCCAACTCTATATAAAAAGTTCTTAATGAGTTTCAGAGATGGGATATGCTTTAAGAATTGAATTGGTGGTGGGCCTCCCCTGGTGGCACAGGTGGTTGAGCGCCATGCTGTGAAGCTGTCTGCAGCCTCTGCAGCGTGGATTCGATCCCGGCTGGCTGGTGCGAGGGCCCCACATGCGTGTCAGACCTTTCCTGTTGCTCCCGCTGCTCCCCTCAGCAGTGTATTTCGGCAGATCTGCCTGTTCTGCTCCCCACTCTGTCTCTGGTGAATCCTCTCACCCTCCTGCACATCTGGCCTATACCCCGGTTCTTGTATAAATAAATAAATAAATAAATCTTCAAAAAAAAAAAAAACGAATTGAATTGGTGGAGAATTGAAATTCTATGGGGGCTACAACTGAGCGGAGGGTGGAAGAGCAAACATTGTTTTAAAATGAACAGTGATAGAGCTTCCATATGATCCAGCAATTCCACTCCTAGGTATTTACCCAAAAGACACAGACACATCAATCCCAAAGAGCACCTACACCCCTATGTTTATAGCAGCACTATTTACAATAGCTAAGCTTTGGAAACAACCCAAATGCCCCAAAATAGATGACTGGATCAAGAAGATGTGGTCCATATACACCATGGAATATTACTCAGCATTCAAAAAAGATAAACACATGCAATTTGCAGCAACATGGATGGAGCTGGAAGGGATCATGCTCAGCGAAATAAGCCAGAAAGAAAAAGAAAAATACCGGATGGTCTCACTCATAGCAGGGATCTAGAAAACTTAAATAAGGGACCAGGAAAATGAATAACTATAAGAAAGTGAAAATCAAAATCAACAAAAAACTAGGAACCAGAGACACTCCATGGGGGGTAGGGGGCAGGGAGGGGAGGGATTGGGGTCAAAATAAGGGGGTTGCAATTGTATGGGGAATATAAAAATAAAATTTATTAAATAAATAAATAAATAAATAAAATGAACAGTGATGTAAAAAATAAATAAATAAATAAGAAAATAAATAAATGAAAGTATAAAGGTAAAAAAAATAAATGAAATAAGACAAAGACTGCCTCATCTTTCTCTTAATTTACCAAATGAACTATTATTAACACAGCTATCTTAGATATATGCTTCTAATGAGGTTAAATACATGTGTTTCTGCTATAAAACAATACATGTGGTCCTGAAAAACCTGTGCTCTATAAAACACACACACACAGTAAAATTACAGACTTACTGGGAAAACAGGGCTGGGGCCGGCTGCTGAAAACATAGAAAACTTTGAAGCCACAGGAATAGCCAAAACAACATTTGGCACATCAGGAGATAACCTGGCTCTCCAAGGCAGGCAGCAGTTTGGAGGCTGCTACAGGGGAAATACGAAAATGCACGAAGCAACAGTGGGAACCCGGAGACTGAGGGACAGCCAAGGGCAGCCGAGATCTGACCCAATTAAGGCAGGTCCAGAAGGTGGCGCCACCTGCGGTCAGCCAAGAGCTGAGCTGATGGGCCCCTGAAGGGAGGGCACCCTGGGGGTACTCACTTGCTTTAGCATTTGTTGAAATAGAGCTGAGGGCCTCCCTGGGGGCGCAAGGGGTAAAGACGCAACCTATGAAGCTATCCGCAGCCACTGCAGGACGAGTTTGATCCCTGGCCAGGGAGCTACCCACATGGCGCAGCAGACCTCTCCTGTCTTGCCCGCTGCTCCCCTCAGCCGTGTATTTCAGTCAATCTGCCTGTTCTGTTCCCCACTCTGTCTCTGGTGAGTCCTCTCATCCCCCACACCTCTGGCTTGTACCCCAGTTCTTGTGTGCATAAATATATAAATCTTAAAAAGAAAAAAAAAAATAACTATTGCTGAAAGAGTCCCTGCCAGTGCAACAACCAAGCCAAGGCTTTTCCTTTCCTTTCTTGTTGAAGGTCGTAATGCTATTCCTGTTATTCCCAGAAAGCTGCCAAGGAAAATTATGTGTAAAATAGAAAATGATGTATAAGCCAAGGAAACGTCCATGTTTATATTAACATGTGTCCCTTATTTATCAAACACAAATGAGCTCACTGATATTACTGAAAGAACAACTAATTCATCTTTGTCCTTTAAAAAAATGCAACAACAACAAAAATGCAACAATTTGGAAAACAACACTTGAAGTTTTTATTTAATGATTAAGCATAAGAAAATGTCATCATACATGCAAAAGTGAGTCATAGCTTACCTTCTTCACCTTGGCCTCCTTCAGTTTTTCCAATGCTAGCTTAATTTTATTAGCCTTGGCTTGAGCTGCCTCTTCTTCCTATAAAATAGCAACAAGACATTCAACACAATCCAAGAAATAATTCCAACAAGTACCCGTGCCATTGCTAGCATCTTAGTTTATGTTGAAAAAAGCCTGTAATTAGTAGTACCACATTTCACATGATCAATTTTCAAAATTTAAATGACTATAACAAAAATCTTCAAAGATGCAGAAAGTAGTCACCCTTTATATCTTAGAATAGTGAGTTAAAAGAGGAAATCATGACTCTGACAGAATACATATTTAGACCACAAAAATCTTGGCTTGCTCAAAAATAGGGCTTAACCTGGATCTCACTTCCTGAAACTATATGTGATTTTGGGGGTCAGAGTGCATTTTCTGGGATTCTTAGCTTTTATTGGGTCCCTTAAGGGAATTTCGAAAGTTAAGACTTCAACGCAAACGCAATAAAAACCTTGACAAGCATGAGCTGACAGAGGGGAGAATGAAATATTTTATGAGCTCAAAGCCCTGTGATTTTTGCAAGTTAATATTCTGAGAATAGGATTATTAAGGCTCTCCTACCTATTTATGATGGAGAGGAAATCAGCCCTCCTACTTATATTCTAATTAGTAGAAAGCAGACATGTATCTTCTTACAACTGGTTCTTCCATTTTTTTGGGCCACCATCCCTTTAGATATATGTTGAAAGTGATAAAGCCCATAAAGGTTCACATATACTCTAACTCTGCATATACTTTCAGAGAATCATGATCTCCTTAAAAATCTTCATGGATCCTCTATTAAGAACTTCCGCTCATTAGCATGGTTATTAAAAAAGACAAGGGACAACAAGCATTGACAAGGCTGTAGAGAAAAAAAGAACCCTTGTGTCCATATTATGGAATATAATATGGACATTCCTCAAAAAAAAAAAAACCAACTAAAAATAGAACTACCATATGATCCAGCAGTCCCGTTTCTGGATATTTATCCAAAGGAAATGAAATCAGTATCTCAAAGAGATATCTGTTCTGTGTGCATTGAAGCATTATTCACAGTAGCTGAGGCATGGAAACAACCTAAGTGATCCATTGGCAGATGAATGAATAAAGAAAATGCAGTATATATATCATGCATGTACATATATTTATATATATATGCATATATATGAATGTTATTCAGCCATGAGAAAGAAGAAAATCCTGCAATTTGTGACAATATGGATGAATCGTGGAGGCAACATGCTAAATGAGATAAATCAGACAAAGACAAATACTGCACGCTCTCACTTATATGTGGATTCCTAAAGAAGTGAACTCAAAGAAAGAGAGAATACAATGGTGGTTTCCAGGAATTTGGGGAAGGGAGATTTTGGTTGAAGTGTAGTTTCCAGTTAGATGACAAGTTCTAGGGATCTAAGGTACTGCAGGGTGACTAAGGTTAATGAAACTGTGTTATGTACTTGAAAACTTCTGAGAGTATCGATCTTAATGTTCTCCCCTCTCTTACACACACAAAGGAATTATGTGAGGTGATGGAGCTGTTAGCTAACCTTATGATGGCAATCATTTTGTAATAATATTTGTATTAAATCACCATGTGGTACACCTTAAACTTACACCATATTATGTGTCAATTATATTTCAATAATCTATTAAAAAAAGAACCTCTGAGCTATATGATTGCCAGTTTTCAAACAATTTTTCAACAATAACTGCACAACTGAGCAGTGAGTATGACAGTGTGTGCACTGTATGATATATTTAACACTTGATATTTGTTCATATTTAATATTTGGTTCACTCAAAAGTCATTCTGGGAATTTCAGTGTTATTAGGCTCATATTTATGAAATATCATTATCACATAAAACAGCAAATGTATAAGTCACAGGAAATACCACTGGATTCTTACTACAAAATATTTTGAAGTGAATTACTCTAAGAAAAATCCTTAAAAGTGCTTTTAAAGCTCTTTTATCGATTTTTATGAGACATATTATAAGTTAGTGTCCCAAGTAATGATTATATGAATTTTCCAGCTCTTTGTTTTCCCATTATTGAGAAATAATGTCATAGCTTCTTGCTCCACAACACTCTTCCCCATTGACAATATTACAAGTGATACAGATATATCTTTGTCCTCCTGAATAAGGCTGCCAAATTCAGCAAAATTCTATTTAGTTCAATTCAGAAAATATGTAACAAATATATATATATATATATATCAGTTCTACAGTTCATACCAAGTTAATAAAATATTACCTTAAAGCTTGAGTATTTTTAGGAAATGCTATATACAAATATATATTTTAGACAATCCTTAATAATTCTTGAATATGGCCCTAATGTGTTCTTTACACACACCTATGTGTCTTGTTTACAGAAGACTTTGGTTTTGCAATGAACATACTTGGTATTCTTGTTTTTTTGGCATCTCAGCACTCCAGGTATACAAACTTACGAATGTAACTATCACTTGAAAGAAAGTCAAAGATGGTGGGGAGCAGAGGGCAAGGCAAGAGTCTTGCCATGTTGGCCTACACACTTACTTGAGAAAGAGGCTCCGGGGGTGGCGGTGGCAGAGGAAGGTCTAATACAGGATCATCTGGTGGAGGTGGTAAATCATCTTCATATTGGCTGATACTAATTGCAGCAACATTTGTTCCAGAGCCAAAAGATGCTGTGCCACTGTAAGTTGGTACCTCCAGAGATGCCGAAGGATGTTGATTCTGAGAGGATTTTTTCTGTGCCTCTATTGTCCTCTGCTCAGCTTCACTTATGTCTGCTACCAGCTCTGCCATGAGAGCATCTAAATCTTGATCTTCCAGTGCATTTAAGGACTCTGATGGGGAAAATCACATTAATGAACAAAACAAGGATGTATACTTGGAAAAACTGAAAGAAGATAATTTTTTGATTGAACTTTTTTATTTTCTTACATTGTTGTTCATTTTTGTACAAAATTTGATTTCTCCCCTCAGGTGTAATACCCATAAATCTCCCACCACCACTGAAAGAAGATAATTTTCAGAGTAATATGTAAATACTGATTATAGGAACTAGGAGGTGGGGGAAATTGGGAGGGGTTGGTAAAAAGTACACAGTTTCAGTTATAAGTAAGGCCTGAGGAGATAATGAATTTGGTGACTATAGTTGATTCTACTGTGTTGTACAATTAAAATTTTCCACGAGAGTAAAACTTAAATATTCACATACACAAACATGCAAGAGTACAATGTGAGGTGACAGATGTGTTAATTAACTCAGTGGAGGGAGTTCTTTCACAATGTATACATAGAGCAAATCACCACAGTGTACATTTTCATTTGTCAATCATACAAATAATCCTCCTCCACCAAAAAGGAGAAATGTGTTCCCTGAATTGGGGGACCTCATAGACCACTTCTAAAGTCAAATTCAAGTACATAATTAGCTTCTTTAGTAGGGAAGTCTTATTTATTCTGAGAAGATCTTAGAATTTTAGAAAAGTAAAGGAGATGCTAGAAACAGATGGAAAGTTCTCCTCTAGCCTTTGGAGGGCAGACAGAGCACCACTGGTAAATATATTTGGAAGAAAGTCAGATTCAACCTAATAGTGTTTAAAGGCCTTGGAGGTTTGGGGTGGGAACAGAGCTCCTGTAAGCACACCCCCCAACTCTAGAGAGTCTCAATTCAAAGAAAGAGCAATAATGATCAGTAGCAGGAAATAAAACAGTAGGAGAGAAATTTTTGTTAATAAAAAATTGTGACTCTCTCAGAGGCAGTAAAAAATGTCAAATAGATCAAGTATAGTTAGTAAATATAAATCAAACTATATTATATTAGGAAGCATTTGTTCATATATTACAAATCATTATGAAATGGATATTATCCTCGAAGGGATATTTCCTCATTTACGTTTTTTTTTTTTTTTTAATTTTTTTTTTTATAGAGGCATGTTTTTATTTATTTATTTTATTTGTTTGTTTGTTTATACATGCACTGGGTACAGTCAGAAGCATGGGAGGGTGAGAGAATTCACCAGAGCCAGAGCGGGGAGCAGAGCAGGCAGAAGGACCGAAGTACACTGCTGAGGGGAGCAGCGGGCGGCAGGAGAGGTCTGCGCGCCATGTGGGACCCTCCTCCGGTGGCCGGGGAGCAGCCGGGGATCGAACCGGCGCTGCAGAGGCCGCGGGCAGCTTCGCAACCCAGCGTTCAACCGCTGCGCCACCGGGGAGGCCCTCATTTACGTTTTCTTATACTAATGTGCCTTATAGCTCTATAAGAAGAAACTCCTTTTCTTAAAAAAAACTATAGTTTTAAGACTTTTTGCAAATGCAGGATGGTTCCCTTTTATAATAGTCAAATATGTCTTCTTGGCCTCTTAATTCAATCTGGACAAATTAAAACACAATCTGAAATCCAGGACTTTAAAAATTATATTTATCATGAAGCTATAACTAAAATAAATTAAAACACAATCTGAAATCCATATTTTAAAATTTTTGTTTTCAAATTATAGCTCCATACAGATTTTAGTCATCATTACAATTTCAAATGAAATCAAATTATTATGCTTACCATTTAAATCCTTAAAACCCACACTGTAGTTACATTCAGCTCTGGCTGGTTTAGGGTCCGGAGGAGGAAGAGTGTCAACTCCTAAACTCTGAAAACAAATCCCCGTCCCCAAAAGTTACTCACGATACAAACATTTGTATAACGCATTGTAATATTAAGTCATAATTCATTTATTTTCATAGTTTCTCTCTAAATATATTCTTTTAAAGAATTTTAAATTGCATTCTTACTTTAAAAAAACAGTTTGTTTTTCCCCTAGAAAAGTACAACTTAGAAATTATCCTAGAATTTGATCCAATTTTCAGTTAATGTATGTGTTGACTTCTAGAAGGCACATCTTGAAACAAAACAGGTTAACTGAGAATGAGATAGTTAACAGTTATAAATAACAGGAAAAATGTCCTATAGAGATACATTTGTGACATATATACTACATATAATTCTACACTGACTTAATAAGATCACAGGAAGGAATATTTACTACTTGGACAATAAATATTGTTTTAGGCAAGCAATCTGCCATTATACAGTAAAATGCTATGCTGCCTTTTCTTCCATTCTAACTTAATAAAACTCTTAAGAGAAATTTAAGCCAAAATAAGCCACTAATTTTGTAAATAATTTTTTTTAATTAGAAAAAGTGACTTCTTGAGAAAAAACATTAATAAACAGAATCAAAAATGAAAAAGGAAAAATCACCACACATGGACCAGAAATACAAAAACTCACAAGAAGTTATGTGAACAACTATATTCTGCTGAATTCAGTAAAACTGAGAGTGGATAAATTTCTAGATCAACATAATCTACTAAGACTAGCCCAGCAAGAAACTAGGCGAAGTGAACAAACTGGTCATGAGTATGGAAGTTAAAAGAATAATAAAAAAATCTTCTGGAAAAATGAAAGCTCAGGGCCAGATGACTTTACAAATTAATTTTATTAAACTTTTAAGGAAGAAGTAATGCTTGAGCAAGAAAACCTTCCTCAAATGGTTTTCTTAAAATACAAGAAAAATAAATGTTCCCTAATATATTTAATGATGCCAACATAACCTTAATACCAAAAACAGATCAAGACAGCACGAGAAAATTATAGACCAATATTCCTGATGAATACTGATGTAAAAATTTACAGCAAAATACCACAAATTGAATTCAATAGTATATCACAAGAATTATACACTATGATGAAGTGGGATTCAGCCCAGGGATGCAAGTATGGTTTAATTTATGTAAATCAGTTAACATAATACACCCTATCAACAAAAGCACAGAAAAATCATGTTAACATCAATAGATACAGAGAAAGCATTTGATAAGATTAGCATCCATTCATGATAAAAACTCTAGACAGTATGGAAATAGAAGGAAACTACCTCAATATAATTGACAAAATTATCACAAACCAACAGCCAATATAATGCTTGACGGTGAAGAACTGAGAATTTTCCCCAAAAGATCTGATAAGAAAAGGACGCTCACTGTCACCAGTTCTGTTTCATTTAGTACTAAAGATTTTGGCCAGAACAATCAGACAAACAGGAAAGAAAGGGAATCCAAGTAGGAAAAGGAAAAGAAACAATCACTATTTACACTATCACTATTCACTATATATCTGATATATCATATACATATAGATAGAAGACTCTGAACAACTCCACCAAAAGTTATTAGAAGGAAAAGATAAATACAGCAAAGTGGCAGTCTATAAAATCAGCGTACAAAAATCCAGAGCTTTGTAAAGGAAAAAGCTTTATTTCTTCTCCCCAACCTCCACCACGGTCACAGTTACATCAGAAGTGTATAATACTGTCAAGTTCCATTAAAAACAAATAGCTCACTTGTCATGATAACCCCATTGTCTTCTAGTTTGAAAGTTAAAAAGGGGAATTTACCTGGGTCAGAAGATCCATCTCTCCCAGCAAATTGCTGAACATTTGGTCTATATCTTCATTTGACTCACCCATCTGAAAAAGGAAGAGAACGAGAAATAAACCATCTAATAAAGGCCTGCTCCCTGGATAACTGTCCCTTTTCTTTCTTTTCTCCTAGACTCCCCTCCATAGGCAAGTTCATGGAGAAGAGGCTATGGAAGGTTCATTTTAGTCTTATAGCCCATGCTTGACTTCCCTCCAATTTGCGTTGATCCAAGCTCTGAAACCTGTTTCAGAGTGACAATCAGGCACTGTTTTTCTAGATTAAACTAGTCTTTTGGGGGCCAATTGAACAAGTGAGCATCATTGAAGAATTCCTCTCATGCTAAGAACCTTTCTTAGAAAAGGAGAAAGCCTCAAGCCACAGGTAATTGTGTCAGAGTTAAAGAATTTCACCTCCACTTGAGTAGGAGACACACCTGAAAGAGCCAGTTGTGCATACACGGGGCAGGGAGGCACAGGTTTGAGTCCAAGGAAGTCATTCAATGAATGCTCACACTATACAAGGTAGGCAGGTGAACACTGGTACGGAAGTGACAGGTAAGTCAGACATTGCAGGCATGGTCTGTGTGTGCAGGTCAAGGAAGACAGCATCAAGGAAGAATCAAGGAAGAATGACGGAAGGTGCATGTTCACCCTAATTTATGTAGAATGTTGGGTTTACGGAGTTTATCCTAGTCGGAAGGAGAGCTCAGTGGGTGGACCCTGCCTCTGGTGGAGGGTGGGGGAGTCATTGCTAGGACAGGTTTAATGTGGTTTTGTCCCTTCCCAGTTGGTTACAAAGCATCGGAATCATACCCTCCCTCCTTCAAATTACCTATAAAATGTAGGCGAGAAAATATTTAAATCTACAAAGTACCCATGGTTTCACAAACTGCCCTACAAGCCATCAATCTTGTACTCAAAATATTATAATGGATAATTAATTCACGACTTTAATAAAAAGAGAGTGACAGAATAAAAAATAAAATTCCAGAACTGCCCATATGAATTTTCATTAAAATATTATGCAGTAATCATGAGACAAAACAAAGGACTCTTTCAGATAAATTATTATTAATAGGAAAAGCTAACAGCATTAGTGCTAACATATTTCAAATTTTTTATGACAAAAGTAATCCATTCAGAGTGGAAATAGAAATTTTTTGCCCATCTAAAAACTGCCCACAAGTGTTAGAATGAACTCGTAGGACCCAGAGATGACATTATTAATAAGGAACACGTCATCAATGCTTTTTCTTAATTCACTAAATTCGAAAAAGCACTAAACTGACGACAAATAAAATCTTGAAAGGAAACATGGCATCAGTGAGTCAGAAAAACCCATCGAGCTCAAAGGCTTTAGTTTCTCAACACGAGAAAGGTTAAGGACATGCCAGAGTGAATCACACGCCTAAGACGGAAATTACTTAAAACAAAGCACGTTCTTGTGACCTTGACTGAAACTCCCTCTGTTCAGCTGGTAAAAATCTTTCTGTCCTTTCATTCCTTTCTCCCAAAGTCAATTGATAGTGAGTTACTAAAAGAAGCCAATATCACATTGTGTTTTATCTCCTGCATTCCCTACCAGGCGTTGACAAGGGAGGCTGGGTGGATGGAGACCAAATACTAGCACACATGGAGGAGTAAAATTGTAACCCCACACTTAGGCAGATATGCAAATGACTGACAAATTAATAAAGGAAATTTTTAAAAATTTGCTGTACACCTACGATCCTAAGGATGCATGCTATTGAATGAATCACAGTTAAAATGAGTTGCATTCTTAGTGAAAATAATATTTGCATTAAGGTCAATTAGTAATATAAATTTGGATTAATTTGTAAATCCACTTATACATTTCCTCTCCCTGGGAAAGACACACGCGCGCGCGCACACACACACACACACACACACGCATACACAACACAGTGAGAAAATTGGGCTGGGTCCATTTGTATATGTGACATTTCCAAAAGTCACAATCAAGATTAAAAAAAGAAAAAGAAAACACCCAGCCCTGAGAGTTCAAAGTGTTATTTGGGCTAATAGCCCAAAACAGGGGTGGAGCTGCCTTAGTGAAGCAACAGATTGCAAGACCAGCAGTGTGTACATCATCATTGGGTGGAATTAGCATATTTTTGTGAGTATGTCATTTCTGAGTTCAATTTGTATATTGGGAATAACAACAAACTATTGACTGAGAGAAAACTAGAAAAGTATTTTATCAGATTTTGATGAGATTTCTGGGTGGAGGTGGTAGAAGAGGTGTGTGTGGGGGAGGTTGCACATTAGGCACAAGTTCTGCCTAAGGTTCCCAGAATGACAAAGGAATTTTCCCGAATGCTCACGATTTCCCTAATGCACAAATTTTCAAGCCTCAGTTTTTATCCTCAAATGGTTTCTCTTCCCCACATATATCAATTTCATCTATAAACTTCAAATATGCATATTTTAAATAGAACATCTAAAAGAAATTAATTGTAACAATGTGAGGTGAGGGATGTGCTAACAAAGCTTACTGTGGTGATCATTTCACAATCTACATATATCACACCGTCATGTTGCACACCTCAAACTTACACAATGTTAGTGAGAGCTATATATCAGTAAGGCTGACCAAAAAAAAAAAATCTATCCTAAGAACTCTGACATACGTGTTTAGCAAGACATGTACTGTTGCAAAGTTAACCTCACCTATTGAACTCAGTTTGCATACAGAATTCATAGCCTTTTGAATAAGCAGTTCCAGCTGTGATTTTGGATGTAGATCAGGGCAGAATTTATTTTATCTGTCAGATTAGCTTGCCTGAGAACAACCCATTCAGTACCGACAGGCATTTTCAACATCATCTCCCTCTTCACCCCACCTTATAGAACTCTCTGCCACTCCCGCATGCCCTATTGTGGTTAATGGTCATTGTCCACTTAGTGAAATAGTTCTTGACTGTCATGTTTCTGTACACTCAGAAAAAAAAAATCCTGTTGGTTTGTTCTGTGGAGATTTTTTCTCTTTTTCTTTATTCTCACTACCAAGCCATAGGCACATGACTCACTCAGCCTCTCGCTGCCTGGATCTCCCCCCAGATCTCACCACTACCACAGAGAATCTGAAATAGAAACCTACATGTATTGCTCTCCTGTTTAGGAGACCATGTTTGTGGCAGATCATGATAAAGCTTTTTAGACAGGGTTTTTAGCCTATCTTTCAAAGTCCTTCACAATTTGCCCCAATTTGTCTTTCTGGGTTCAACTCTAGCCCTTGACATTCGGGGCCCTTGACATTCCCAGAATAGGTTTTTAAAATTTTTCTTTTTGTATATGCAATTCCCTTTAAAAGAGATACTCCTCTGTCAACTTTGCCTTTATGAAATCTTATCTACCATCCCAAATCTAGCTTTGCTGTCAATACGTCAATGGCGTCTTCATATTCAGTAGAGAGATTTGCTGTCTATTGTACTTGGCAACCGTATCAGCAACCTTGATAAAATATTTAACCCACTGTGTTACAGGTTCTTCCCTTGTCTGTAAAATCAAGAGGTTAATGTGTGTTTCATAGTATCATTAAGTACGTTTAAGCAGAAGAGCTTACAGTACTGAATCATGCCCATTTTGTCACTGTGTTAGAATCTCATTCATTTTGGGAGCTGTTAATAAGAAAGGATCAGATCATGCTTATCTTTTTGTTAAAAAATTTTATGTTGAAAGTCTAGAGCAGTTGCTACCAATCTACCAAGGAGAAAAATGCCCTCTTGCTTCTGAGCACAGCTGAGGCTGAGAGGGTTGAGAGAGAGAAAGGAATCTCCTCCCCACTCTACCTGCTTGGTAATAAAACGACTATCAGTACACTATTAGGTGTCCTTGCTCTCTGATGCCACCATTCTTGTCCCTTGACTTGTTGGCTGATTAAATCTACCCTCACAACCACTCTTGTTAGGGCACTTTTTCCAACTTTGCAGATGAAGAGACTGAGGCACTCAGAGATTAAATACCTTGTGTGAAGTTAGGCAATTCAACCTGTTAATGGTCAACAAATATTTACTCATCCCAGACATTGTTCTAAGCTTAAACAAGTCCCTGGAAAACTTTCCTCTGCAGTTTCTGTATTCTGTTTCTTCTCAACAATGTGCCAAGGATTGTGTATCTAGATGTGACATACACACTGTACATTTTTCCACATTTAATACAATTAAAGAAAAATGTTTGCATCTTTTCATAGGGATTGTTATCTTTTTAAAAATTGTATTGAAGTATAATTAATATCTAACATTATAGTATTTTCAAGTGTACAACAAAAGGATCGCGTTTGTATAGATTGTGAAATGATGACCACAACAGACATTGCTTTTTTTAAACCTACATCCTATCATGTATTTCTCAGTGCCATTGAGCAGTGCTTTGTCTATAATTAGATTGCCAGACCTAAAATAGAAATAGATTTAATGAGCAAAATGGTTAGGAAAAAAATCTGAGGTTCTGTATCAATGTGCTTTGGCATTTTAATTTTTATTTAATTAATTTATTTTTGCATAGAAGAACCAGGGTATAGGCCAGAGGTATGGGGGCAGGGTTGGAGGGAGGCGTTGAGAGGATTCACCAGGGACAGAGTGGGGAGCAGAACAGACAGATCTACTGAAATACGCTGCTGAGGGTAGCAGAGGGCAGACAAGAGAGGTCTGCTGTGCCATGTGGGTTAGCTCCCTGGCTGGGGATTGAACTCAGGCCGTCGCAGTGATAAGCACTGAGACTTAACCCCTAGGCAATCATTTTTTAAATTATTTTTTTTTATTATTTTTAAACCAAAAAGAAAGTTTGTCAGATTATTTTTTCCTTGAAAAAAATATTCCAACTGCAGCTATGAAAGAGGAGAAAATTTTTTTAAAATGTGCTTATGACAGAGCTCACTCTTCATATAGAGTATGTACTACACAATCCAGGTGATCACAAATGCTGGTGGAAACTGTGGAGCAGCAAGTGTAGAAAATTATTAGAAAATAAAATATTGAATTTTACTTGATTACTTCAGTGTAGTATTTTTTCTAAATGCAAAGAGC